CAATTACTTGTTTTTATATTTTTGTCTAAAAAACACGATTTTGTATCTAATTGTATTAATATATATATATATATATATATATATATATATATAAAGTTTAATATAATCAAATCAAATTAATATATATATATTAATTTAGTTATATTATATTAAACCTAATTAATATTTATATATATATAAATTAAGTTAAATATAATTTAATTAAATTAACACATATATATATATATATATATATGTATATATAAATTAAGTTTAATTTGATATTTTTTTAGTGGTATCTTTAAAGTTTGAGAAATATTTGCATCATTTTTCAATGGAATTATACCATATCTATAATGCTATGAATCGTTTCTTTGACTTCACGCGCTATAAAATCGAAACGCAAAAGCATGTCACCACGGCTATGGTTGACCAAAGGGAATGCATGAGGAATGCAGAACCATTTGTTGATATCAATCCGCGTAATCATGCTCCTGACTGCTTAGCATACTAACGACTAAAATGGAACTGAAAAGAATCATCATAAACAAAACGATATCATACTATCATTTCTAATACTGAGTCGATGTTTAAAATTTTAAGCAACAGGTATCTTTTTGTCAAATTAATTATATTTCTTGCACCACAATTAAATACACATTAATGTTACTACTGGCTTGATTATTTTAATGAGCGCGTGATTTCATAGAAACAACTTTTATCAAAACTCTGTCAATCTTGTAACGCTTAATTTTTTAAAGCTTTGAACAACAAATGACTATAAGTGTCTTATATTCATATACCTACAAATAGCAACACCTTGCCGTACTCAGCTTTTGGAAATTAAAAAATTCTAAACGTTTTGTCCGGTTATTCGCCCGTCGCAAGAGTGTTAAACGGAAGTCACTGTGCAACAATAACAATAGGAACTCTATACGGTTCACGTCGATAAGGAATCGGGTCATTTTCCACGAAAGTGTCGACGCGGCGTCGTAATTCTCGCGGTTCGCGGAATAATTGGAGAAAGTTGAAAAGCGACTGGTGGGGAAAGGAAGGTCTGCCCTATGATCCCTCCCCCCGGAGAGAAAAGTACGAACAGGCCAGAGGGGGAAAAAAATGCAAGAAGCATTTACAAAGCATCGAGAAAGAGAGAAAGAGAGAGAGAGAGAGAGAACTCCCACTCGATCGAGCCTTTTGATGTTTCGAATAACCGTCACGGTCTAGGAAACGTGGGAATAATAGATGCCGGATTTACACGGTTCGCGGCGCGCCGAGTTCTCTCTTGTGTTCGACCACGATGCTCGTTCTCACCTTGTTAGATCGAGCGAAGGGGTAGGCGGCCGTGTTGCAGCTAGAACAAAAAGAAAAAAAATGGCGGCGAGCCGAAGAAGACCATTAAATTACAATAGAAAATGCCAGCAAGTGAAACGTGTCTGGATCGTGACTATCGGCCCGCCGAACGAGGGAAAAAAAACGGAGCTGGGATGGATATAGTTGGAACGAGAGCGCCTTCGTCGATCGAGCTTCTTCCTCGAGCGTCGACAAAAACTGCTGTTCTCGCATAATCCACGATAGCGAGAGCGAAGAAAAAAAGAAGAAAGAAAGAAAAGATACATGGAACGAATCTGCGTCGTTCGTCTCGTAAACGTGTAATCGTCTGTATTTGACTAATCGGTACGACGGTGTCCTCTGTGAAGAAAAAAGTCTCCGGGATGTTTTATTTATTGAGTTGTCTTGGGTTCGCTGAGTGTTGTATAAAGAAATTTTTTTTTTTGAGAGACAGGTGATTTATTTCCGATAAGTTTATTTAGAAGAACGAAGACGACTGTGGGTAATTTACTACGAGTAATAATAAAGTTTAAGATAGATTAGAAATACAGGTGCCTATGCCTCAATTACCTGTGAATCGTATCAAAAAAGAAAAAAATTTCAATATCGATCGTCGTGAATAATTCACTACGAATAATAATAAATTTTAAGATAGATTAGAAATACAGGTGCCTATGCCTCAATTACCTGTGAATCGTATCAAAAAAAAAAAAAAAAAATTTCAATATCGATCGTCGTGACTGAACAGAATGTGAGTTTCTCAAACAAAAATTTGCATCTTTTCGTCTCGCGTCATTTAATTATCCGAAGAGAATCAATCAATTTTCAAATCCTAGAGCTAATAATTCCTACGACTCTAAAATAATGAAACAGCTGAGTGATTTATCGCCGTGGAAGCGCGTTAAATCGCGTGGAAATTACATCGATGAAGTGTATATAACGTAATATTTGAAAGAAACGAAGCGATGTTAAAGGGAACGACGGTCAACAGGCAGGAAGTTAGAATACGCGTAGGAACTTACACGAGAAGATAGCCGGGGCAATTAACGGAGACGCTAGATCACCGTTAATTAAAATATGCCTACGTGTATACATTTGCCGAACGGAAGAAAGGTAAAAGTTTCAACAGATCTTGCGGACGTTTCCTCGACCTTCGACTTCTTCTCGGCTCTCGGAACTCCTCTCTTTCTGTCCATAAATCTCACGGAACTGCCGATGCGAGGAAGAAGATGGAAACTGGATATACACACGCGGCGGAAATGCGTGAATCAGTGATGCCTCCGGAGAAAACGACATCGTTGTACGAGTTTACCGTGGAAGCGACTGTGTGTGATTATCCTCTCTCCGTTTCTGCGTCTCTTCTGGGTGCGTTGACCCAGCTTACGGTAACCGAGGCGGTGTGTTGCACCTGCTTCGACGTCGACTTACCGGTATAAAGGGTCGTGCGACCCGAATTATTTTCTTTCTTTCGTCGCGTCATCCCGCGAAATCGCGCTTCGACTCGAGCTGTTCGATCAGCGTGTCGCAGATTATCCTGCATTACGGTACACTTATGCGGCGGTATACGTGAACACGACCGTGGATTCGGAGAAGCTAATTTTACAGACTTTGATGCTCTTGCCAGAGATTTTAATGGGCCGCGGAATTTCTAGACAGCCAGTCTGTTGCTGTTTTTCTATAAATATGTTGCGACATTCTTAATGGACTTTATTAATCTTTTCTAACTATTTTAATAAGTTATTACATTTATTCGCTGTCGAAGTATGGTCGTTTTTTTCTTTCTCTCTCTAAAAGTTGTATACTTGTAACTTAATTAATTAATTAATTATTAACCCTTCATCCTTAATCCTCGAGTTCGCTTTAATTTCATTGCTTGTTGTTTCTCAAATCTTTCGCGAATCTTCATGTTTCTCGGAACCGTGTACCATCCTGTCATTTAATAGGCATAGACTGGTCGCATCCTCGCCCCTAGCCGTTCAATTACACAAAGTAATCGCGGCGGTACCGCCCACGTCTTAACTGCCTCAACTGCTCACCGTGATCGTATTAATCTGCAATTTGCATAGCTCGACCCATTCAACGCGCCCTGGGTTCCTTCCTCTCCTCCTCCACGAACATCCAACCATTTTCAACGTCCTCTTTGGTACACTTGATAGCAGGGATATTGTAAATGAGGTCATAAATTAAAGCATCAAGAGGAGTCACCGATTAATTTAACTGCCGTTCAGGCCAATCAGTAGAATTGTACATTTACGTATATATATAGGTATGAGACCAATAGAAATATCTCAAGTTTCAGATCGTCGTCGTTGCAAACAAAATTGCGTATCATCTTCACAAACACTATCAAAAATATTTAAATTACATATACGATATTACCCGATCCTAAATCAAGTCTTGAAATCTTCTATATACTTCTATATACATTTTCGAAACAACGCATAAACATTAACACCTGACCAATTTTATAATCTCGCTACGTATCTTTCGCATCGTGAATATCGTAGAGAACAAACTCCGATACGAGCGTAAACATAATTTTCCCTGTCGTGGAAAGGATCCGTCGAAGCCATTAACCTGGCGCTGCCATAAATTCCGCGGTGGATGACATACGGTACACACGTATGTAGCAATGCTACGTCGAATCGATCGAGAATCAAGGAATAGAAGCGCCAGCAGGTTCCGCGTATGTACACACGCAGGAAGGATAAAGACGACGACGAAGGGGAGGAGGCACGCGAGGAGCAGGTCTTCTCTTGACCTCACTTTCTAGAATCCTTTAAGTATATGGCGCCTTCTCGTACGGCTACGGTTCGTTTATCCATTATCGATGAACGAACTACGGCCGCTTCCCTGATACACACGACGTGTCTCTACTAACCGAGATACCAGCTAGTGTCCCGTACAGATTCCTCGTGACAGATGGTCCCTCTGGCTGTCAAACTCACTGGCTCGTGTGCTAAGTGGAACGTCTGACTTCGATTCGCGTTTCATGAGGAAGTCGTGGCCCCGTACCGTTCTTCCCCCCCCCCCCGCTTCCGCTTCTTCTTCGTGTGCCTCTCGAGGCACGCGCAAACATGAAGATCGCGAGCAACCATAGAGAGATCACAGAAACGTGTATTAAAGAATTAAGGATCCATATCTTTAAATAGTGTGTCAAAAATATTATACTATGAATAATATAATATAATAATATAATATTATAATATAAATGATATATATAAAATGTATATAAATTAAATAAAAATGTATATAAATTAAATATTAATATATAAATATTAAATTAAATTATTAAAATAAATAAATATTAAATTATAATATTAATATATAAATATTAAATTAAATATTAATATATATAAAAATATTATACTATAGTATTAATGTTATACTTTTTATATGAATATTGTATACAGTTTTTAGTATACACACGTCTTTCATAAAATTGAGTATTAAGTATCGAAGAGTGTAAACGTTTCACTTCATTAATTTTTTTTCAATTCAAATATTTTAATCATTTCACTATACGTTTCGATAAAGTTAGTACTATACACCATTCCCGATCTTACTGTATAATAAAAGTGTGCTCATACATACTAAATTTACCTACATACAAATTTATATATATATATTTCACAAATTATCATTCGATCGTTCAACAAAAGAATTGTTACAAATGAATAAATCTCTTGCAGATCTGGCCCAGATCCGAGCGCTGGTGGAGTCCACGGGGATGCTGGGTGGTTCAACCTGTCCATCCTGCGAGATGCCGTTCGACAAGGGGAAGAAACGTCGACTGATCGACTCTTGCGGGCACGAACGTTGCTATTCCTGCTTGTTCCGCAGCGAGGCTTGTCCGCTTTGCCTTCGAGCGGACTTCAACGACGACGACTGTTTGGAGGGACCCTTCAGGGAGGGGTTCACCGGCTCCTCCGGGCCCATGTCCATCCTCGCGCCCACGGATGGCTGGATCGATGAGTCATCAACGGTGAACTCTCTATGCGGCAGCCCCAGACCGCGTACGAAAGTCACCACGAGAGCCAATCTTCCTTCGAGAGTCATGCACGTAAGCATCCTCGTCCCGTCGTCCTCTTCGAATCGAGCCGAGTAACACTTTCTTCACGCGGATCCCTCGAACACTTTGAATCGTGCCTCTCGATCGTTGGAATGCCTAGGTCATTTTTCTCGCTATTGTTCGATGCTTGTCCTCCTGCGGTTGATTGCAGTCAAAGAAACGATGTCAATTAGAATGGTTTAGAAAGTAAGAACCTAAATATTCTTCGCCGCAATGCGAGTTTTCTGCCGAGCTTCTCTTACGTGCAATTAGAAAATATATGTAAATATGCTTGGAATGGATTTAAACGAGGATTCCAAGTTGATTTGTTTGTTAAGTAAAGATAAAGATTGCTTAGATTTGGTTTGTTCTATTTAGCAAAGAGACACGGACGAATGTGTCTCTTTCATGGCGATGGCCAAGGGTTTGAAGAATAAGCCACCGGCGCTTCCGGAGTCCTCGTCGTCGCAGGGTCGACAGAAGCTTCAGATGATGACACAGAGTACGTAAATTAAACGTTAACGCTTCTTGAATCATCAACACTACTATATATTATGGCTCATTTGCAAGTCAATTGATAGAAAAATACAAGTTTCGTAAGCAAGGGAGAGATTTTTTTTAAGATCACGTGTATTCATTTAACATAATCGTGAATAAGTTTACGAAACTCCCGAGATAAGGAAGCATAAGCAACATGTAAATCGGGGAAGTTCTCTAGAACAGGGCCCCTCAAGATTAAAAATTAATGAATCACACATACACAATATACTTCGCATATTATAACAACGACCTCAACGTTCGTTCACTCTTCATATTGCAACAACATTCACTCAATAACTTCCTGTTCGAAATCATTCAATAACAAGAGAAGCACCCTGTACGAATGAATAATATTTACAAAATACGATGTAAAATTGCAACAACAGGTTGTCCAACGCCACCGAATCAAAGGAAGAGATTCTTCCTGAACCCGAAGGTCCTCAGGAGCTCGTTCGTTCCCCAAAGATCGTCGAGACGAGGAGCATCCTCTCCAGAGCCAGTCGCGAACGACAATCCCTCCGCCCTGTCAGGTAACGTTCAACTGGAAATCACCGTTAACCACTTCTAATAAAATAGATAACCACGTAACGGAATAGGGAGACTGCTTACCAGTAATTATTAATGATAAACCAACCACGGGTGTAGCATGGATGGCCACTTCTTGGGAGGGGAAATCTCGATGGCCGGGTGTAGTGCTCGGGAAAATCAAATCGTTGTGGAGCAACAGTCAAGGGACGGCGAACGATGGGTTGAACCAGCTCATCGACCCGAGGAACAAAGTCACAGGCAGGGAGAACACTTTAAAAAAGAATCGAGTGTGCATCATCTCTCACTCTCGTGTGTTTAGAATCGATAAAATCGTATTGTATTGTACATAACCGGTATTGCTCGAATGGCACTCACGCGTTGTTCCGTTGTTAAATAATTTCTTGTAGCATTGGCACTTATCCTATCCACCCTCACACTTCCGGTAGAGCACTTGCAAAGTTTGAAGCATGCACGGAGACGTCGATTAGTACGATTAGTCTGTGTGTGTTTGTGTGTGTTTGAAGCACGAATTTTTTTCCTGTACAGTTTTCAGTGAACAATAATCGAAATCTTCTTAATTCTTAACCGGTGTAGTACGAGTTGAATTTACGTGAAATTAAACTGTGGCCATTTATATATAGAAATTCGTGATAAATTTTCTCCTATGTATCTTTTTATTTTTCCTGAGAATGAGCTGTCACATCTGTCGCCAGTTATCAACTAAGCAGTTGTTAGTTGAGTTATCAATTTTTTGATCGTTATCCATTAATACATTATTCGTCGTCTAAACTATCGTCGCGCCAATGAAAAAATTAATCCATAACAGAAGTTCTACGTAGGGACAAAGTCAGTATGGATTCTGCATCTTGAAAACACGTGTTTCTGTGTGGTTTTTATTTTGTGCATCTTTCTTACTCTTGCACCCACGCCCATGCTCACTCCATGGTCTAACAACCCAAATGTTCTTTCTTTTCTCAGACGATGAAGGAGGTTACGTGAAGCCTTTGTCCTCGAAGACGAGGAAGTCGTCTCAATCCGACCTTCACATGAGGCTGGGCCTTCTTCTTGGATCAAATCACACCCGAGCGAGCAGCAATGTAGACACGACCGATCTACCTGGTACTTCGAATCGTTCCAGTGCAGGTGCATGCCAATCTAGAGTGCCAATCCAAGGTCACGATAGTTCAGCAGCCTCGTTCAGCAGTCTGACCAGCTTCGAGACTCAAACTCTGGCATCGACGAACACCAGTCCAGTGTCCACGTTGACTGGAACGTCGAGCGAAGCTGAAGCTGCCGCAGCTTCGCGGTGCCCGATCAAACCAAAATCGAAGGTGAAAGGGAAGAGCAAGTCCAGAGACTGTGATAGCGCTGGAAGCTTGGCTTCCATCTCCACGTCGGTTTCTGCGTCTACGTCTATGTCGATGTCGATGTCCGTTTCCGTTTCGGGCTTGTCGAACGGCAGCACGAGCCCTCTTACTCCTAGAAGACATTCCGTGAACGCCTCGCAGCCTGGCCAGAGCGACGAGCTCGGCCAATTTAAAAATAGACGGTCCTGCGCCAGGAGATCGGCCAGAGCTGGGAACATTAAAGGAGCCGTAGATACGAAATGTAAGTGTCACGAACGTTTGAAGAACGCAGTTTCAAGAATGACACCCGACAGACAAGCTTGTCTTTATTCTGAAATTTTCCTCGAGTGACGTTTGAAAGTTGAAAGTTGCAAAAAGACATTACTCGAGAATATTTCATTCGAATAAAATAGATTTTTCTATGATTTGTGAAGTGTAATCTTGATTCGTAAATTTAATTCCTTGCGCTGGCAACTGGTTGCGCGGACCGTAACGAGCGACCGAAATCGTTATACGATAATTCGTCGCTTTCTTCTTCTTTCGAACTCGTCGGTATGATATCACTGAATAGAAACAAACTTATCGTTAGTTTTGCCCGGGTTACATTTAAATATATATACTTGAGACTGAGAAAACGTCGCAATTTGGGACAAAAGATTCTCGACGTGCGTAGCAGGTTAAACAATTTTCAAATAACAAATAGTGATTAATCGATTTTTCTTCGAAAAAAATCATTATTCGCAGATATACCGTTGGATCTTATTCGTTATTAAAAATAACGTTCGTTCAGCTTTGATTGTGTGTCAACACTGAATCAATTGTTCCTTTTTAGTACGCTTTATACAACACCACGCAACGCAGTTGACCCTGAAGCCCCTATTCTTCGAAGTACCTCTACTAGAAGCCGATCCACTGTTCACTGGTCGCCAGTGGCTACTGCAGGAACTAGAATCGGTGGTGAACGGCTCCAGTCCCGGAGTTTTGATCTCTGGATCTCCTGGAACAGGAAAGACTGCATTGGTTCTGCAGTTGGTAGAACGTAGTTGTTTCGGAAGAAGACGGGAGCAGTCTCTCCCCTCGGAGATTAGCGAAGAAACTGACGAAAAAGAGAAAACTGGATGCACCCCGGCTTTACATGCTAGCATTCGTTACACTAATGAGAAGGTACATAAAAATGTCTCCATCCTCTTCTTTATAAATCAGAAATTCATAAACAATTGGTAAAAATTTTATTCTGAACAGGTTCGAGAATTAGCGTCCCACGTAGTAGCGTATCACTTTTGTCAGGCGGATAATAACAGTACCTGTTTGGTACCAGATCTGATTCACTCCTTGGCTGCGCAATTATGTCAAGCTCCTCAGCTCATATCCTATAGGGAATATTTGCTCTCTGAGCCCCATATACAGGGGTCCTTGTCGCAAAGAGAGTGCACTGTCGATCCAGATCTCGCGCTGTCAAGGGGTATTATCGAACCTCTGTCAACGTTAAAGAAAACTAACAGATTGCCTGACATCAATATGGTGAGTAAAAGAAGCAGTTGCAGAGCAATTTGAATTAGAAAAACAAAAAGTATATTTTTTTTTAATGTGGAAAAATTATATTTACCTTTCATCATAGAAATAATAATTCTAATTTCAAAGATAAATTTCTTCAATCTCTTTGATAAAATAATAATTTCGATATCTTCAATTCTTAATCCTATCTAATTTTGTACTTTATTTGTACATAATACATTGGAACAATTTTAATTCCAAAGATAAATTACAATCTCTTTAATAAAATAATAACTCTTACATAATAAATGATAATCTGACAAATAATATCTCTTTAATAAAATAATAACTCCAATATCTTCAATGTAAAAATATAATTTCGTATCTTAATTTTGTACTTTACTTGTACATAGTGTATTAGAACAGTTAGTAAATTTGCAGTTCTTTCAAATAAAATGCAAACTCTGATATCTCCAATATGAAGACGTAATTTCCACTCATCAGGTGATATTAATCGACGCCGTCTGCGAAGCCGAATACCACAGACCAGACCGAGGCGACACCATAGCCTCTTTCCTAACAAGGCACGCTCCCAATTTCCCTAGCTGGTTAAAAATCGTCTGCACAGTAAGGACGCACTTGCTAGAGTGTGCGAAACAGCTACCTTATACCAGAGTGTCCCTGGACAGAGCTCCGAACGATAACACTTGCAATAACGTGACCAGGGATCTGTCGGATTACATTGGATATCGATTAGCTCAGAGTCCCGCGATTCAAACGAACGTGACGGCGTCGGTAAACGGAAAGGCGGAATCATCGTGCAGCGCGAATCAAATGAGATTTGCCTCGCACCTACTCGCGTTAGCTAGAGGCAGTTTCCTCTTCGCGAAGCTGACGCTTGATCTTATTGAGAGTGGTCACTTGGTGGCTAAATCTGCCAGCTACAAGGTGAATAGAATTTCCTCTCTCTGTCTCAAGCTGTATAATTCTTTTCCGTGTAATTTTGAAGTTTTTTTTTTTTTTTTGTGTCATTTGTCAATTAAACAAATACGTTCGTCTATTGTTAAAGTGTTGTTGTTAGTATATGTATATATATATATATATATATATATATTTGAAATTTGTGTTTCAGGTACTGCCAGTTTCTCTAGCGCAGATTTTCCAACTGCACTTTAACCTCAGGTTCCCAACAACGACGTCCTTCGACAAGGTTCAACCCCTGTTAGCCGTCTGCTTGGCCGCTCTGTATCCTCTCACCTTGCCAGAGATCTTCTATTCGGTGAACTCTCTGAACACGAATCACTTCGTCTCATGGGAGGATTTTCTGCAGAGATTCAAAGTAAGTTCCCCTTGTATGAACGAGAACAAAATTGAAACAAAATTCTATAATGACACTGTTCGTTATTTGCTCTCGCTGTCCTCGAATGGATCAAGTAAGTGTCAAAAGTCTCCACTGTCATCTATAATGTGGACTGTTCTTGTAGCTTCCACATACACTAAATAATTTTTACGAAATGTCATTGCCGTTTCAAAGCTACAAACTACTAATAGCTAATATAAATATATTCCTATCAAACTGTTAAATATGTATTTGCGATAATCTTCAGTCCACCTATTCTTTCGTTGAACAATTGAACATTTCCCGTAACAGTGATATTCTTTCTTACTCAATCGCAACGCATTCTCTCGTTATCAGATGCTCTCTGGATTTCTCGTGAAACGTCTGGACAACACATACATGTTCTTCCATCCGTCGTTCAGGGAGTGGTTGATCAGGAGGGACGAGGGCGAATCGACCAAATTCCTCTGCGACCTGAGGCTCGGTCACGCAGCTATCGCGTACAGACTATCTCGTCTTCAGGCACCGTTAGACGGTGATAAAGCCCTCGAACTGGGTCATCACATACTCAAGGCGCACGTTTACAGAAGCGTTGCCCCGTGTTGGCCCTCGCGCGATCTACAGGTAACCAACCACTTGTTCTCTCTCTCTCTCTCTCATTTGCGTTCGTTACAATAGAATCGATTACGAAATCTGTTGTTTCTGTATCCCTGATCAGGCCATCTGGTTGGCATCGTCCACGGAATGTGTTTCTTCGGCGTTGTGCACGCTGAGGAATATCTACAGCCCGAATGTCAAGGTGTCGAGGTTGCTTTTGCTGGCAGGAGCATCTCCGAATCACGTCACCGAGTACCTGGGCAACGCACCAGCCCTTTGCATGTACGCCCACGAGGGCTCGGTGGAAATGGTCTCGCTGTTGTTGGAGTTCGGCGCTGACGTTGAACTGACGAATAGTCAGGGGTACACGGCGCTCTCGTTGGCGGCCGCTCGTGGCCATTGCGACGTCGTCAGAAGGTGAGCGAAGCTTGAATATGAACGTTATGACTTTATATGCTAGTTGACCAATTGTGGGAATTTGAAATTGAAACATAATAGCAAAGCAATATACATTCGTGAAATATAAAGAAAATGAAAATTCCACTTCAGATTAGCCGCTGCTGGAGCTTCACTGGGCCACACAGACATGGCTGGACAGTGTCCATTGGTTCACGCGGCGAGATACGGAAGATTATCGGTGGTCGGTTATCTCTTAGCTTGCGACTGGTTAGTTCCAACCAACGTAAGCGAAACGGAAGGATCTCAGGAAATTGGCAGAGAAGAAGCTGCTCAGCAGGCTGTGGTCGCTGCAGCGGCTCAAGGCCACGAGAACATCGTCGAATATCTGCTAGATATGGCCGAAGTGATCGTCGATCGTCCTGACACTTTGATAGGCGAGACTGCCTTGACTATTGCCGCTGCGAACGGTTCTACCGCCACTGTTTCGGCGTTATTGGCCCGAGGTGCGAGTCCAACCGCCGTGAACGCGAAAGGATTATCTCCATTAATGTTGGCTGCTAGAGAAGGACACTGGGGTACAGCTGAAAGACTCTTGCAGGGTGAGAAGTATTGAAAATTATTCTTATTAGAATATTATAGTAAATACGCAAATTACTATATAGTAAATATATAAATATAAAATACGTAAATATAAATACGTAAGTATAAAATACGTAAATTACTATATAGTAAATATAGAATATTTACTTTTATAAAAGAATTCGTATTCCATGTATAGTAAAATTATTGTAGTTTATATATAATAAAAATCATTTATAATGATCTATAGTAGTATAGCAAATATTTTTACAATATTAAAAGAATATATATATATATATATATATATATATATATTTTTGGTCAGTAAAATGTTGTCAAAACGATGTTTTAAAGAACTTTAAATGTTATATCATCATTAAAAATTACTGATTTCAGTTTCACCTTGAGCTTGCAATATGAAAACAAACTATGTTAAACATTTTCTTAAAACATTTTGTTAAAGATCATTTTGCTTGGATATAAGAGTCAAAAGAATGATTATGGGTACGAAATGATTGTAGGAACGCTATCAAGCAGCACGGATACCGATCTGGACGACGCAGCATCTCTCTTGGATCAACGAGATCCAGTTGGTCGCACCGCGTTAATGTTGGCTGCCTCGGAAGGCCATACAAATTTAATCGAACTGTTCTTGGATAAAAGATCTGTGTTAGAAAGTAGGGATAAGGAAGGCCTAACTGCTCTGTGCTGGGCCTGCGTAAGGGGAAGATTGGTCGCTGTACAAAATCTCATCGACCATGGCGCTGATGTCAATACTAATGATAATACTGGAAGAACTCCTCTGGACTTGGCTGCCTTCCAGGTAAGATATTTTCACGTTCTATTTTAATTTATGTTCTCTCAAACGTAAGCACATTGCACTATTGTATCGTAAGAAAAGAATATCGAAAGAAAGAGTTGAAATTAAATGTTAGATTTCTGGTTGACACTATTACCCTGTTACTATTAATCGTCAAGTATCAATTTATGTCTTTCCACGTTGTAGCCCTTCGTTGTATTGTGATACTTTCGTTGCGTTTGTTGTTAAGAAAAAAATCCATTCAAAGAGAGGCAAATACAATTTATTAGAGTTATTCCGAGTCTAGTTACCAGACTGCGGATTTTTAGAAAATTTGACAATTTGAAATTGCACAGAACGTGAGTACATAGTATGAAAAAAAGAAAGAATGCATGAAATATATGAAGCGTAATGCTTTTTGTAATATCTGACAACTTTATAAACAACTTTCTAGCGAGATTCTATTTTTTTTCTAAGTTGTGGTGCAAAAAAGATATATATAAATTTGCATAAAAATCCGCTAATTATACCATTATGTCGTTAATGGTAATTATTTAGAGAGTCACAATTCCGTAACTAACAATTGCGGTCGATATCTTCCCAGGGCAATCCGAAGCTGGTGCAATTGTTACTCGAGAAAGGAGCAGCGGTGGAGCATGTCGATCTCCACGGAATGCGACCTTTGGACCGAGCGATCGGATGTCGAAACATACCGGTGGTGCAGTGTTTCCTGCGCCGCGGAGCAAAATTGGGCCCCGCCACTTGGGCAATGGCCGCTGGGAAGCCGGACGTTCTGTTGATCTTGTTGAACAAACTGCTGGAGGATGGAAACGTGCTCTATCGGAAGAACAGGCTGAAAGAGGCGTCGCACAGATACGCGTACGCTCTTCGAAAGTTCCCAGCGTCGCCTGAAGAAGACTGCCAGGGGCAGGAGCAGGGTCACATGATGCTGCAACTGCAGACGTTTGCGCAACTCCGGCTGAATTTCTTGCTCAATCTCAGTCGATGCAAGCGCAAGATGAACGTGAGTATGGTTGCGTGTGGCGATTGAATGAACTAGGTTTCCTAATGCTTTCATTCATGGAGCTGAGCTATCTATAGATCGTAGTACGTTGCGTAAGTTTATTCCCTTCTTCGTATTGTAATGGAACAGTTTTTGAATGGAAATCGTGCAATTTCAAGAATATCTACATATATATATATATATATATATATATATATATATATATTTTTTTTTTCAGCTGAAAGTTTATATTTCAGCTGAAATCGTGAAATTTCAAAAAAAAATATATATATATATATATATAAAGTTTAATATATATATATATATAAAGTTTAATATATATATATATAAAGTTTAATATATATATATATATATATATATACACACACACACATATATATGAATATTCTGGAAATTCCACGATTTCTGTTGAAATATAAACTTTCAGCTGAAATATATATATATGGATATTCTTAAATTATTATATATATATATATATTTATATTTCAGCTAAATATTATATATTTCAGAATATTATATATTTCAGCTAAGAGTTTTTATCTATTTAATCGTATAATTATTTCCTTTCGTCTTGACAAAGATTCTTGAATAGATGAAGCTCTAGAATCGGTCTTTCTACATTGTAAATGTTTTCATTCAATTTTAAGTACAGTAGAAACTTATTTACCATCTCTTGTTATCTAAACAAAATAAGAGTAGTTATCCAAACTTTTCCATTATATGAGAAACCTTGTTCTCCAACGTATTCAGATAAACGAGGTTTTACTGCAATTCGTTTTATACATATTTTCCGCATTACATCGCAACAAAACAGTTCGCGGCAAATTTTCATCTAGTTTCACGAAACTTCTTACACAATCGATTTTCATTGTTCCGAACTTTTGCTCAAACAGGAATGCGCGGAAGCAATCGAACTCGCCGACGAGGCTCTGAAAGTTCGTCCAGTATCGTACGAAGCATTTTACGCGAGGGCAAAGGCACGGGTCGATTCGGATCTGTTGGAGGACGCGTTGTCGGACGTTCAAGAGGCATTGCAGATCGCACCGCCGCAAAATCGACAGGACCGACGTGTTCTTACCGCATTGAGAGAAGAAATAGCCGCCAGATTGGACGGTGCAGGGACCAGCAAAGGATCGATCGATTCTACCAGCAGATCTCGTCTTCGAGCCTCGGTCGATACTCTTACAGAATTGTAACTGTCGTTACTATCTCTGTCGTAGAAGACTGTCGATTCGTTGAAACAAATACTCTTTTTTATTAGAAGAACGACCATGGCGTAAGCTCGAGAGCTTTGCACGCGTATTTAAGTTACGAGTTGATTTTTCCTTTAGCTAAACTCGCGATTCCTCGAACATTTCTCTAGATTTTGGATTTTTATGCATTTGTAGGAAATTTTTAAATAAAAAAAAAAATTGCGTGTAATGTCAAAAAAAGAAAATGTATAGGTGTGTTCTATAGTATTTGGTAACACAATTCTCTACCAAGATTCTGTTTCTTTAATTGTATTCGCGAAAAGTGAAAATTTGCATAAAAATCCGCAGTCTGACGACGACCGTCGTGGTTTAAGATTTGCTTTCGAAATATTTGGAAGCAATAAGGTAATTGAAGTATCTCCATCTTTTATCTGTTTTTGTTTTTAATTTAACGACTCGTTGCGTACGTTATACGTACTCGAATAAATATTCCTTCACTTTTGCGTTTCCTTGGTTAATTTTGAAAATCAACAAGGATATATAAAATTTTCTACTTTCCTTTTTTCTCTCTCTGTGCAATTGTATTGCATGACCGTGTTAACGTTTCTGTACGACGTTCAAATTCGATTTCGAATCGAATGCAGAGTTTAATATATATACATTTTTTTACATATATATATATAAATATTTGTATTATATCACGCGTATGAGAAATTGGTTTTTAGTGTCGTTGTAATTTAAATGAAAGTTATTTAATTGTTCCCTCCTTTCTGTTCATTTCAGTATTCTTTCTTTTTAATATGCTATGTCAAAAAAAAAAAGGAAAAAAGCGCACGTAAAAAAAAAAAGAAAAAGAAAAGAAAGAAAAGAAACGTATACGTAAAAAAAAAAAAAGAAACGCGTCCGTAAAAAGAGAATTCTATTATTCCAGCGTTTTAAATATGTTGTTTAGCCAACAGATTGAAAATGGCTGTCCTATTTCCACGCGTGTGGAAAACGACACGCGCAACGATCTCGCCGACGTATTTATAACGCACTCGCTTGCCAAGCATTTAATTACACCTATTCCTCTGTAACACATTGCGATCAGATCGCGAGATCGATCGTATCCGAATTTACATTAATTTACGAAGCCAGCAGCACTGTTGCATGGACTTGAGACTACGATATTATTTATCTCTGCGTTGGAGCACAGAGGTTCGAAATAAACGAACTTTTTATTGAAAAAGAATTCATTTGTTGAAAACTCCTCACCTCACGGGTTATTTGGGATTCTTCAAGATCTTTAATCAAACTTGTCGTACAAAATAGTCTACAGTTTTCACTTTTTTTTTTTTTTTCTTGCAAGTAGATAGCACTATCTTATCAGATTATTATTCACTCCTATTCAGTGCAGAAATAGCCAAATTAGTTGAATGAATTTTTGCATGCAGAACTATCCTCCAATATAATACTGTGATTTGCGCGACACCCTGTATATTGCATACGTATTTCAAAAGTGGTTCAACTGATTCAAGTAACTCTACGTAGTAAATTACGGACAAAATTGGCTTACAATTAGCTTGACTCGAATATCCTAACTCTAGTTCTTAGTAATTGATATTTCATTCTAAGAATTTCAGGAAAGCACAAGACTAATAAAAATAGAAAGTTCCTTTCGTTCAACTCGCCTTTATTATTTCGAATGAATCAAAAGCCCCTTGGAATTAGGAGGGGCGTCCATCGAGGTACGTTGTCCCTTAAATAAAGTGTACATCGATTAAAGAGAGAACTCGTAAAGTGCTTTACCGATACGATGATGCCACTGTTGCGAAAGCGAGACAATCATTTTGAAAATAAAGAAACGAAAAAAATATTTCGATGAATATCTGCAAGAAAATGTCTCCGAAAGAAAGGTACGAAAAACATAAATATCGTAACAAATGAACGATCATTTTCTTGCAATATTTGGCAATACCATTTCTAAAGCAATCATTAATTTAAAGAGAAAAAAAGAATGTCTTATCGCTTTCACAGTCGTGTCAGCTGATTGAAAACGGCGATTTTCACGTTTACACTTCACTTGAAATTATCTCCGAGAATTTAGTACCAAGAAAGATAGATAGATAGATAGATAGAGAGAGAGAGAGAGAGAGAGAGAGAGAGAGAGAGAGAGAGAGAATTTACGGATTTTGGTCTTGAGTTCGCCGCCATTGCGCGCCAGGCGGTCTCATCTTTTAAGTACACTTTAATTCGATTAATGTACGCATACGCAGATATCGTAAGAATAATCACAAACATCTCGAAATATTCGCGTGATCACATCAATCCAACCACGATCCCATCGTATACTCCAACGCGTCGATTGCAAACATTGTACGTCCATATGGTTACGCGATCTGGCACAATCGGACCAATAACATTAGTAAAATTTTTACAAGTTGCAAGTTATTGACTTCCATTCTCATCGACACACACTTGGAAAAATGGAATTTAAACGGAGATTAATTTGTTTACAATAAGTTTATAAAAATTATAACAAGTCCTTTACATCGTGTGTTTCATATATTCCTGCTTGTCACGTGCATATTATAATAAAATAATATGCTAGTAATATTATAATAATATAATATCATAATAATATTATAATGATATAATATCGAAAACATTTTGGAAAAATAAGGAAAGAAAAGAGAAAACTATAACTTACTTAACTTGACTTAACTTGTCAGTTTACTAATATTATTAATCAGCCGATCATTGCGCAAGAGAGCTCTGACAATAACTTTGCACCAAAAACTCGAGCGGTGATCTTCCAAGAGAATAGCAGAGATTATATAGAAGTGAATGTTGAGTGACAAGTTCGTTCGTCTTTCATTGGCATGTGTACTTTACGACGTCTCGAAATTATAAAAATTGCGAATACTGTAGACAGAGACAAATAACTCCTCGATCGAAAAGATTTTACACGAAAGTAGTAACACTAAATGCGTTTCTTTCAAAAAAAAAAAAAGGTGTGAATGAACTCGTTACTCAACCTGACAGAAGAAATTATAATAGAATTGTCTGCTCTGCAGCATCGATTTTGTTTCGTCTCCATTAATTTTCATTTAACTAACTCTGACTAGTGTTCGCGTAAATCTATATTGCCATAACGTATACGATCCTTGCTATGTAAGTAATGCATACGATCGTAGAATATGCGTATTAAAAGAATTTCGAAGCTCAAGTGTCACGAGTAGCATTTAAACTTTCGATTGAACATGCGTTTGAGAAACGAAGAAAAAATATTTGTACTTGCGACCCTGTCAAACTGTTGTACGATACGTTCAAGAAAACCGAAGAAAGAGCGTGGTATGTCAAATTGAAATCGTACGTAATTAAAAGATATGATTCCAATCGTTCGAAAATGGAAACAGAAATTTCGATACCTGAATCACTATAGATCTCCTTTCGTTCTCATATTATCGTTTCAACTGAACGATACAACAAAATTACTCACGCTTTCGACTCCAAAGAGAAAACCAAAGGGAAAACAAAACAGCCGAAGAAATGCATCGATTAGTCTCGTTGGAACTGCGTCACGATTACGATCAATCCAGTCCAGTAAAAAGCGAAGATCACGGATTTGCAAGGCAAACAAAGCGCACGATGCTTTTAAACGAACTTTAAAGAGTACCAGAAAATTCGAACGACGTTTCCTATGGAAATGTGTGTCCAGGAGATTAGTAACTAAAAGAGAGTGTCTTGTTCGTTAAAATAGCTCGGCTGCCAGATGTTTCACAAGCTATCTTCAGCAAGAACGCTTCGCCGAATCATCAATGACCTATGTGACCTCGTGATCACCACCACAGCTCCTCGAATTCTCAGCTGTCCGCCACGAAGAAAGTCGAGTCTCGAACGAAATTCTCGACCCGTTGGTTTCTTCGTTGGGTCGTCTGAAAGGACGTATCATTCATCGAGGAAAGCTTCCAACGCGTTCGCCCGATCATCGTCACCGTTTGCTTGCGTCGATCGTCGTCGGCGTGTGTCAACAGGCCGCAACAGGTAGATCAGGTGCGCCGGTCGAGGAACGCGACGATCTAGACGAGACAAGAACCCGACGACGACACGTGGGCGTTTCGTGTGAAGTGCGTGGACGGGACAACACAGTGTCGAAGACATCACAGAAACGCGCGGATCTCTCGAACTAGTGGGCTTTGTTGTAGGTGTCTTTGTTTTGGTAGCCCTGCACGTAGCCAGACTGGTCAGGCAGGTCCTTTCGACCAGCGATTCCTCTGCCTTTACCACTCTCGTCGAAACGCTGCTTATGAGAGCCTGTGTACTTGCTGACGTCTGTCAGTCTGTCCACTGTGGAGGCCGCTTTCCCAGTCTGAAAGAGAATATTCTTGTAACAATAATTGTAAAATAAAATAAGATGTGTAGTTTTATGGAGTTTCATAACACGAAGAGGCGATTGGAAAAATTTTTGTTTCTTTCTCTATAGAATTATGAGACACGAGTATCAATGTTTTATTAACATGTTACATTTTTATATACACGTCATATCGCTCCTTTGTGTATGTATTTTTACGTCTCGAAAAGTATGTTTCGGACAACAAACTTGATATTACTAATTGTTAATTAAAGAAACAATGCAAGTCAATGTAGCACACTTCTTACATTGCCAATATGCGTTTTGTTCACGATGATAGTAAAGATAAAATTCGTGATAACAGAATGCAGCGCATGTCACGCGAATCAGAAGGACCAAATTATAGAAATCAGTGAGCAAAAGTTTCGTGATTGATTTTCATTTTTGAGCTGCCTCAACTCGCAAACAATATTGTTTCTACAAAAATAGAAACAAAATTATATATATACATATATAATGTACAATATTCTATTGATAATAGAAATACTCTATTTCGAAGAATTAAGTGTTCTGAATTTCATTTATAGTCTGGCTAGCTAATTTCAAAATACAAGATTCATACGCAACATAGATCGTAAAAAAAGTTAAGTAGTTCTAATACAAATCATTACATATCATTGATTTACATTTCCAAGGATAGTAAATGGATTTTTCTTCTCAAGAGACATTTAAGACACACGAATCTAATCAACACGAAGGTTGCTCGATGATCGTGACACGTAGGCGAGAATCTAAGAAACGTGATCGTTGAAAATTATGTTCAGATCTGGCGACATCGTAAATCGTCAGTGTCGACACAGTGACAAGGTTGCGATAAATTAAATGGACAAACTACCTCCAGTTTGCATTAACTTGTAAAACCGTGGGAGAAGCTTGTTTTGCGATCGATCAAACCATGAACTATGAAACCAGCCATGCTCTATATTTATCGTGAATTTAGAAGTAAATTATGGAACGCTGGGCAAACCTCTACAGGTGTGTGGTTTGTGTGTGATACTTACTCCTCCAGCACCACTAGTAACCCCAGGTGGTCCACAGTTCGCCATCTTCTTTTTCATCTCTGCTAAATCGACCTTTTTACTTTTCGCCAGTTCCTCTAAAAACGCTTTATACTGTTCAATGCCCAATTTCGTAGATCTAAAAACCAAAATCAATTCCCACAGAAATTGTTCAGATATTCTATTTCATTTTACAGGTATTTTTTGTTTCGTATTTAACGAAATCATCGAAATCCTAATGTCTATAAAATTATTTGTAATGTCTATATAATGTCTATAAAATTATTTCTCCGATAAAATATGTAATAATTTTATAAACATTCGATAAAGTATGCAATAATTTTATAAATATTCGATAAAGTATGTAATAATTTTATAAATATTCGATAGAGTATGCAATAATTTTATAAATATTCGATAAAGTATGCAATAATTTTATAAATATTCGATAAAGTATGTAATAATTTTATAAATATTTACTACAAATATTATTATATATATAAAATTATTTATTTTCCTACTAGAAGATTAATCAATATTTTTGACTAGATCATTACTTTCTGTTTGAAGATAAATTAATCAGTGAAAATTCTCATACTTGTGTTTCTTAAAGTAAATCCCTGTATCAGTAGTAGTGATCTTCTTTCCGTCGATCACCTTCGCCTGTTTCATCCATTTGTCGCTCTGGCTCAACGTAATCAGCTTCCCGTCGCTTTTTGGGTCACCGAATTTCGAGAAAGCTTTGAAACTCGCCAGAAAGCTTCCAGACGGTGCGGCGCCAGGACTGCTAGGCGTTGAGTTTCCAGTTTCATCCTCGATCTTCAAATTCGCTACCTTATTAGCCGCAGTTTCTTCCGCCGACTCTTTCTTTTCACTTTCACTTTTCTCCGCCTGGGCGTCGTTTTTCTCTACTTTCTCGGTTTCATTGTCCGTCTTCTCGGCTTGCATGTTTGCGCCTGAAATATCACAGTATGAAGAAATTAAGGGATGCGCGGTTCGAAACAGTTAACGAAATTGCAGATCTGTATCCTTCGTCTAAATACACGCAAGGCACACGAAAACATTCGAACACTTTCAGATACCTGTACGAATATACATCATATACAATGAAAAGCATAACTGAACCGACAACTATGGAAATATTGTTGATATTTTAAATTAAGTTAACTTTGTAAAAAAAAGTTATATAACAATATACCTGACTTCACTTTAATAGTAGTAAGTTCTTTTTTTTTTTTTTTTTTTTCTGGAAGACATTTTTATATATCACGCGATCGAAAAAGTTCTCGAATATAAATTCAAACGATTTTGAAAAGATTGGAAAAATTTTTTCATGATTAAAATTACCGTGACCTTGAAACTGAATGAAATCAGACTTGATGAACGACTTTTCTTCGCCATTTTATTGATCTTTGAGCATTAGAATTAAACGAGACATCTGCAGATTTTTTTAATTTTTATCCTTCAGTCTTAATATTCGATGATTAATAAAAATAAAATAGTGAACAAAAATCGTGCACTAAGTTTCACGGGGTCGTCACTTCAATCAAAGGAAAACTTCAATCTTCAACATCATAGTGATTCTAACCACAAGAAAAATTGTTCATCGTCATGGACGTTTGAATTTTTGCAACTTTCGAGAAAAGGAAACCGTCCTTACTTTTATTCTAGAAAATTGTCGAGATTCAAATTTCTCTAAAAATATTGAAAAATCTTTTTCAAGATTAGAATCGGAGATCTTTCAGAGACGTTTGAATTTCTTTTCCTTTTTCTTTTTCTTTTTTTAGCGTCTTCTAAAACGAAGTACGACCGATTGAACAATCCTGGCATTAAAAATGCATCGTACGATGGAAAGCGAGTGAATGAGGGTCAAGTTTGAGTAAAAAAAAAAAAAAAAAAAAAAAAAAAAACGGCAACGCTAGATTTATCTGCACGACGTTTCACGCCATTAACGTCCAGGTAGACGTATCGGCGACGTTTTGAGGTCAAGTAACTAGCTATCGATTCAACATAATTCCCGTAGGCGACCCAATAAAATTGACACCGTACGTGCTAATCAGCGATCGAATAAGTGTTCTTTAATCGGCGCAAATTACACACGAGTTATGTAAACCTCCTTGACGCAAAATATATAGGCAATGAAAATCTGTCCCCGTTAATTTCGTTACTTAACACCTGTCGAATACGATTCTGTTCGTTAAATCTACTCGCCAATCCCTCGTCTTGGAATAATCTTTTGCCAGATGCTCGTCGAGTTGCGAACAATATTCCCCAATTAAGTTAATCACCACGGCATTTCAATGACGAAACAGGGGAGAGTCGATTGACTATCGGGTATAGTCGGACTCTTTCATATCGGTTTGGTTTATTGTCGGACAGTATTGTGTCTCGAGGCATTGTTGCGAATAAAGGATTCAAAGCTACAATGGGACGACTTCAGCTCTTGTTTTACTTCCTACATTCCAAGGAAAAGTGTATTCCCTGATAAATTTTATCTCTGCCTTCCAAATGGAAGGCCTTGCTGTAAAAATAATGAGAATCAAGCTCTTTGACGTTTCGAAAGTTTTGGTGCATCATTTAATTGATTACCAATCGAAGGTTTGCTCTGTCCTAGTAGCATAGAGAAACGTCTCCTGCTAAGTTCAACTGATTGTTTTTTTTTTTTAAGAATTATTTTCTCTCTCTATCTTTTCCTATTTAGAACGTAAACTTTACTTTGAGACATCATAAATACAGAGTGATTTTTAAAAGAACGTCTTTGAACGTAATCTGTTTCATCATTTTATAATATCTGAAATATCTTATTTAAACGATTTTTATTTTCCATTAAATTATTCAATTCGAATGATCTTACGATACTACGGCATTTTCGTTATTTTCGAAATATTTCTTAAGTTCTCGAAAAATGATTAACCTCGGTGGAATTGATCACTTTGATTGTATCGAGTATCATTGAATTTTAATGAAGCACTTACTTCTTCCCCTCTTTTTCTTGCATCCATTAAATCATATATCATCTAAATATTGTCAAATCTATTTCAACACGAATTGAATTGAAAAGCTTTTCCTATTTATACACTATTTTCATTTGTCAAAGGTATACATTTTCACGAAGATATAAAACTAATAAAAGCCTTCAAGTGCTCCTCTTAAATGGTGAAATATCGAAAAGCTAATATTAGCAAAGCTAATAAAATCGTAATTTATCAGCAGCTGTCCACAAACACGCGTTCCTAACAATCAAAATTAGCGAACAATCTTATTCTAATCAGATCGATCATCTGCATTCCAATTCAGTCAAGAAATTATGTTCTATCACATATTACATATTTTTTCAAAATTTTCTTCATTTATTTGAACGAAATTTTAATGAACGTTGAATCGATTTATTTGAAAGCGAATTCTTGTTACGTATACAAACGAAAGATTATAAATAGTTGGAAAACCAATGAACTTCTATTATGTTATAAAATCCAATTACACAAGGTATTTTAGCAAACAAAATTTCAATCAATGGTTCCATGTGAAGAAATACGTCGAAAATATACAACAGACTTTGAAGTCTTCTCTCTTTTTTGATTTCGAAAAAGATTTCATATTTGCCTGCCTTGAAAATGAAGCATAATGAAAAACTGTTTTTTTTTTTTTTTTTTTGTTTATTTTTTCGACGTATTTTCACACGTCAAAATCAAATGTACTTTGCTGTTCATTTCATAACTCGAGCATTGTATAAATTTTCAATCTCGATTTAACTCAAAAATTAGGCGTCGTATTAAAAACTATTATTACATATTATTTTCAACTTAATTTTTGGCATGAAACTACCACTTTGCCAATTGCATCATTGCCAAATTATAAAACTGACCCGTCGTAAATTCATATAAATATTTCAGAATATTTCACGAAAGAACCGGTAATCAGAATTTAACCTGGTTTTATTTCACATCAGACGACATTTACACTTTGTCAATGAATCGCGATTGCATCGATTCGCGCAGTCAAGATTCGAAACAATTTTCCTCGCGAGTGACTCGTCTTTCCCCGCATAGAAACGGTACGAATGATGGAAGGCCGGCACTAAGCTGGACACGTTGTTATTTCATGACTATAAATAGAGATTACGACAACATTCGTGTTAGCACAATTAGCAAAGAACAGGAAGCGGGGAGCGATTGAGTAACCAGGTGTCGAACGAACGCGTTTTATGTACTGAGGTGATGCAAATTTCCAAATGACACTGACCTTTGTTCTCCTGAATCTGCAAAACGAACTTAGCTTTAATAATTTTAATAAAACCTACAAACTGTATACAGTGTGTAAAAATATACGCAACGTCTGATGTAAGAAATTCAAAGAAAAAATTGAAGAATCCAAAGCTCGATAAAATATCCAAAGTTAAGGATCAGAAACGAAGGACCTAATGTTAAGAATCCAAGGAAGAATCAAACGTACGTCTAAAATTAAGATTCTAAAGAAAAGTCAAAGGTACAAGGCGAAGAATCCAGAGTAATGGATCGTGACGCTTAATATACGACACGAATCGCTATTTAGGGATTCTCCTCTATATTCACAGTTACAAAAATACGAGTTTTCATGAAAATCCGCGGTCTATTAATAACATTGTAACGCAACCGTTTCACGATAAAACAGCGCCACGCTCCACATTTATTAATGTCTCGTAAGTATGAATGAAGAAGATCAAACTCGATGTCGACAATGCGGTATCACAGACTGTCTCGTAACAAGAAATATCGCTCGTTTCAGGTGCAAACTCACCGTGTCAATAATACTCGAAGCAGCGAGCCTAATTACGCGCAACGTCTCCGAACGAACGAGTGAAAGTTAATCACTGTTGCATCACGCTGCAGATTGAACAATCGTCACGATCAATGAAAAGACTGATAAGACTCTTCACTTGTTCACGAGGATTTACCGGAGAAATATACGAGCCGACTGGTGACAGAAGGGAACAGTGAACACTGTGGTTTGTGTACAAGCTGAAAAGCTGTTGAACGCGAGGTTTCAGCGAGGAATCTGTGCCGTAGGGCGCATGTGTTATATCGATCTCCTCGTTCAACGGGAGCACGCAGTCACCCTTCTCAATATATCTTTGAAACTGCGTTTCACCCTTGGCTGCAGCCGAAATGAAAGCCGCGGGGTTCCCGTTTTCAAACAGAACAACCAACCGTGCCGAACGATTACTGACAGGCTATTAAAACCCTCGTGCCATGCGATATACTACCGGCCTACTAAGTTCAGCGATGAACTCAATGTCTGATAAAATTCAGTAGGTAGATTGTATGGGATGTTTCGTGGAGCATGGAGTTAATTATCTAAGCCTCGTCCAAGTTAATGGAAATCGACTTTTATCTAGCAGCTTTCTAAATTGTTTCGCTCTTCAGTGACGAGGGATTCTTTTTTTTTTCTTCTTCTTTTTTTTAAATAAAGTCACCGAAGAACTTTTCGACTCGTCCTCGTTCAGTCTGCGTTCGCAGCGGCGGGATATGTTTTGAAACGAAACTGATAATGAATCACTTTGAAATAAAATCACGCGAAGAATTTCGTATAAAGTGGGAATCGGAGCTTCGAGAATGACGAACTAGGACAGACGGGTGTCTCTTTAATGAACGAGTACTATACGATTAAAACTGAGATGAATAGTTAGTTTTTAATATCTGAAGAATAGGTACTGTACATATATACATGATTATATATATATATAAAAGGATATACAAAGTCGTAAGTTTTGCTTTTATAATTTACAAAATGCCCGAGACCTCTATTTAATAGAAATAGCGGTTCCAACTTGGTTAGGAATCTTGCCAAGCGAATTTCGCGTGTGACTGCATCGTTATATTCGATAACAAAGTATGCACGCGATCCCGATACACAAGAGGCTCGTTTCCCTCTTATCTCCGGCCCAAGTGAACGCCCGTATGTACGCCGTTTTTAGTTGGCATTGCGGGAAAGACTGCAACAACGCGATGCTCGTTATCTGTACTCGGGATGTCTCTGTCCGCTTTTATACTTGGTCGTTACGTCAACGATATTACGACCAGCGTCGAAAAATAACCTGGTTTGCCGACACTCGGACAGAGGTAATCGAATCGGATGAATGAAAATCCACGTCGATATTAATAATAAGGGACGTTGACTCTTGGCGACTGACAATAAGCGATTTAGAGGAGAAAAAAATCGGTCGAGACACACCTTGATACGTTATCGTTGCATAACTTCACACGTTCAGAATTCACGCGTTACCGCATCGCTAAATATACACGTTTGTTGCAATTGAAATAATGATAAATTGATTTCTGTTTTCTTTAGCCGATGGTGATAAGCAAGCTCGATAACTAGTAGGAGTGGTCACCTTTTCAGTTAAATTATCGCCACACACCACACCGTGCTACCCCCGTCGGAATGTTCACGCACTATACGTATTGATTCTTGAGGTTCGTCAGATGTCGAACGCGATTCCTAGTTTATATTTTAGACGCGTTCATCACCGCGATTCCAGCCTGGATGAGACTGAGAACGACACTGAGACCTCCTCCACTTGTACCGCCAACATCATCCCCACCTACATCGCTAACACCTTCGACTATGCTCACCGCTTCTATCACCTACTTTCTTCTGTCATGCGTTGAAAATCGTTATTGCTCTCGTAGCTTCAATTCTTTTTTTTTTTTTTTCTCGTTCTACGATTGATCGTTCATTTTACATGCTCATTGGTTTCTTTGTTTGCTCGTTTGTAACGACGTGTATTGTTGCAGCAATCCGTGACCCGGAGTGTTTATTTAATGAACATGATGTATACTTGCTACAACTGTGATACGGAATTTGATAACTAAAACGATAACTATTTTTTACGATACGATACGTTTGATAAGTTGTGTATAAGATATAAAGACAGATACAGATAATATTAACGTCTATTTATGTCAAATTTCTGCGAATGTTGGAATTTTCACAATGCAACGTGTAACTTTAATTATTTGCTCGATCATTTTATTCATTCGTGTGTGAAATATTAAAGTCTCGTCAAATACATTGATATTTGATATGGTAATGAATAAATTAAGAACGTTTGTGTAATTTTATATTTTTACGAAGCTAATTTAGGAAATGAAACCTAAATAGAAAATTGCTTTAGCGTCATATAACATTATATAAAGTATTGTGCTTAATTGTATTAAAATCCGCAGTCTGATGATGAAAGATAAAATAAAATTCAAAATTTCTTCTCGGAAGAAACGTTGTCAAATGTTTTTCAAACAAGAAACATTCTCAAAACAAAAATCTTGTTTGTTTCTTGAAACGAGAACAGGTGTAATGCCTTCGATCAATTTTAATCCCGTCCAGCGACTACGAATGAGAAGCTTGATATTAAGGTTTCTATCAATCACAGGCGGTAAAAGCTTTCGTCGAAATGCACCTGCATATATAGCGTAAGAAATCGACTTCGAAGGATATCCTTGACCCCGTTTCCATGGGAAACTACGGAAATTTAAAGTCGACGTTTCTATATCGAAGTAGTATGACTCAGTGATACGTCGTACGAGTCACAAGTGGTTACTCCCACCACTTAGCACGAAACACACAGGTACAACACGTACGCATAAATGTTTGATTGCGAGTTGACAGGCACGTTTCACATTATGACCCTCGAGTGGTTATGAAAATTATTATGGATCATCATTTTGTACACTGAGGTACAAAAGCACATGTACATACATACAGCACAGGATTTTCTTAATATCTACAACTTATAAGCAAAATGGGGATTTCATGCATTTTAATATTTTTATGAACATCTAAAAAAAATTTATTTACTATACATATATTATAACATACTCTACTTTGGATATTTTATATAGATAATTTTGTGTACGCGCTGATCATACATTTTTGCAATTCCCAATTTTCCGTAATTGCGTAAAATCTACATCCTAGTATATTTATTTCCAATGATTTTCTGCTTAATTTGTAACTTTAATAAGGTCATAATTAAACTGTAAACTTTTGCGGGAATCCGTATTTTTGGAAACTATGATTAAATTTAAAAAATAGAACACTGATAATTGAAACATAGAAAATTGTTTTACGTAATAAAAATATTATTGAGAGCACTATACTTTGGATATTTTGTATTATTTACATCCTATGCAATTGTAATCTCCTGCAGGTTTTCTATATATGCATAAACGTTCGTAGTCTAATTACAATAATACAGTCGAACTTTCAAGATTCGATTTTTAAGAAATTCAATTCATTCAAATGTTAACTTATAAATATTAGTAAATATAAAAGTATATAAAAGTAACTTGTAAATATTATTTTAGTTTAGTCTAACGACGTATCACGTATAAATTCTTTAACATTTGAATGAATTGAATCTCTTAGAAAGGTAATTACATGGTCCAAAATTAGAAATTTGTACGTATAGTCTGAATACTTCATGAGTAACCGAATCCTAGGAAGAAATCCTCCTTGCATTTGACTTGATTCCATCACTAGCGCCACAGAGATCAATTTTCTCACGCTTACGAACAATCGAAGCGTTCTTAAAAATGAGCGCGTTGGTAATTAAAATAATTTGCTTTCATCGTTCAATTTACAAAATGATTTTCCATTACCTGCTCTCGTGTCAAATGACACAGGTGAATCTTAAAATAAATATGACATACGAAATGCGTGCACGTAATCGAGACTTTTTACAGAGTGAAAATTCATGACAATGCGCGTTCGAATCTAAATATGAATCACATTGAAAGACTTGTTGCGCGATGCATATAAACGACATCGCTTGTTGCTTCATTGTAGATAGACTGCAGTGAAACAAACAACGTTCGACTTACTTAGAATGGGATGAATTATATATATATAGTAGAAATGGGAGATGTTAGACGAAGAATGGGGGATCTTAGACACAATTAGGTACAATCGATAGCAGAATGGAATTTTTTACAGCATGAGAAAGCTTCGTTTTATTATGCATCAGTTGAGAAAATATATAATTCAGTGTGTCATTTCCAAATGTAAATTGCTTCAATTCTCAGAACTTTCATATTACATAAATTTTTCTTGGACAATTTCCTTTCTCAGATAATTTTGACTGAATTTTTGTACACGTATGTTGATATTATGCGAACACTGCGTTTGATTTCTAATTTAAAAATCAATTAAACTTTCTTCTTTTGATTTAAAATTATGGCACGCCAGAAGCAAATGTTTATTATTTATTGCATGAATATGATTTTCTTACGCCTTTCTGTGAAAGTTTATTGTTATTGAATATTTTTTTAATTTTTTGGATAAAATTTTTCAACATTAAAACAACAATTATTTGAATAAAAAACTAATCGTTATTATTGTTCTTTTCGTAGACGTTACGTATATATCTATCACACGTTATGTATATCCTTGTCATTCAATATCATCCTCCTTGTCTACATATCATTATAGTTGTTCTTGTCGCATACTACTGCCTCCCATGGTATGATGCCTATACACATGTCAAGCAAGTATCTAAACATGTGACAAGAATAAGCCATCTGCTGTCATCTATTGGCTGTGAATCGATAAGATAACAAGATAGATGAGTTGGTACTAGATAGGAGGTATATGACCTCGTCTGTAGTACTACCATCTGTTGAAAATAAATGGAAAGTTATAATTAAATCCGACAGATGGCAGCATATAACTTATTCTTGTTACATTTTTATAGACAAAGAAGATGACAAGTATGCGACAAAGAGAGTAAAACAATTTAGTTCCATCGTTTCACCGCTCCGCGGTAACAATATTTTAATATCTGTGAAACAAATAAATTTTCAATTGTAAAAAAAACTAACTAATATAGTTAATTTATAATTTTTGGTAGTTGTACTTGTTTAATTAAAATCCTGACTTATATTTACTGACAATAACGCAGTAAAACTGCTTTAGAACTCTCAAAGTGTGTGACAAAAATCACCATTAAGTGATAGGTTTACTATCTACTTCTTATATAGCTATGGTACTTAATAAAAGTTTGTTATTGCAAAAGCATAACTGTGCTGTTGACAAAGGTAATTTCCTAAATAAAATCTATCATGTGTTAGATAGAAATTATCATTATTCTAACATTTTTACTTATGTATCTATTTCACTTACATGAAATGCTTAATTGAATATTTTTCAGATTTAAAATAATAACATGGAACAATGTCTAAAAAAACCAAAATTAGATACAAGCATAAAAGAAGGAGAAGCAGAAATTTTAGTTAACAATGCAAATGTATTTTACAATCCTGTTCAAGAATTTAATAGAGACCTTGGTGTGGCTGCCTTAACAGCTTTTATAAAAGACATACAAGAACAAAAAACCGAAAGAAATACAAAAAAAGAAGATGGGATCACTGTATTAGAAGCTTTATCTGCCACTGGTTTACGTAGCATTCGATATGCTAAAGAAGTAAAAGGCATAAAGCAAATTGTAGCCAATGATATCTGTGCAAAGGCTGTAGAAAGCATTAAAAAAAATATACAACATAATGGAGTTGAAAATCTTGTAAAACCAAGTCATGAAGATGCAACTTTACTCATGTATCAAAGTAGAAAGAACAAGTTCGACATGATAGATTTAGACCCATATGGTTGTCCTACCATATTTTTGGATGGAGCAGTACAATGTGTATCAGATGGTGGATTGCTTATGATCACGGCTACAGATATGGCAGTATTAGCTGGTAATAGCCCTGAAACTTGTTTTCTCAAATATGGAGCTATCTCCTTGAGATCTAAAGCTTGCCATGAAATGGCACTAAGAATATTATTACAAAGTATTGCTTCGCATGCAGGGCGTTACGGTAGATACATAATACCACTACTTTCTATAAGTGTTGACTTTTATATAAGGGTATTTGTTAAAGTATTCTCTAGTCACATTAAATGCAAAGAGAATGCAACTAAAATTGGAATGGTGTATCAGTGTACAGGTTGCGAGAGTATTAATACGCAACCATTATGTTATAAGAAGTCCACTGGAGGCTACAAATTAACATCTTCGCCTTATGTGGATCAACTTTGTAAAATCTGTCAGCATAAGCAACATGAAGGAGGACCAATATGGTTAGGTCCTTTGCATAATGAATATTTTGTAAATAATCTTTTATGTAATTTAGACAGTATAAAGTTGGGAACATTCAAAAGGATGGTAGGAGTTTTAAATGTTATTCATGAAGAATTAAATGTTCCATTATATTACACTCTTGATCGTTTAATGTCGATAGTCAGATGTGTCACACCATCAATGTTAATATTCCGCTCTGCGTTGTTAAATGCAGGCTATCGTGTATCGTATTCGCATGCTTGCAAAACATCTATAAAAACGGATGCTCCAAATGAAGTTATATGGGATATTGTACGCGCATGGGAAAAAAATAATTCCGTGAAAAGGGATAAATTATCAAACGACAGTCCCGCTATAAAAATATTAAATACACCAACGACAACAAATATTTCATTTGATATACATCCGTTGGCAAATCCAATATCCAGACTAAACAAGCTAACACGATTTCAACAAAATCCTACAGTTAACTGGGGTCCTGGTACACGTGCAAGAACAAGGATAGACCTAGAAAATGGTGTAGAAAATTCAAAAAAAATAAAAAACCAAAATAAAAATTCGAGAAAAGAGAAAGCACATATAGCAAACGACACTGAGGAAATAAAATCTTTATAAAATAGATTTATATTCTTATATCATCTTTTTATGTCGAAAAATGAAAATGTATATAAACGAACTTTGTCAGTCATTAAATTTTTCCATTGATAAAATATACATGTAACATATTTTTACTTTAAAAAATTGTAAAATTGTAAATATGAATATATTAATAATTCGAAAATCTATATTGTTTTTCATCTAAAATTATAAATATGAACATATTCATAATTTCTGCCATTTCAAACCGAAAAACAAACGTAAGCTATTTTAAAAAATTCAATAATGACAAAAATTCCGAAATTGATGGATTATCTCAGTATTTGAGGAATAAAATTGACAATTCTATGACATAGACTTAAGTTATATAAATACAAATTTGTTTTAATACAGGCAAAAAAAAAAACATTCATATGATAATACAATTAATATGACAACATCGCAATAGTCATATTACTTATCATCGAAAAGAATAGCAATAGTTCTTGCAAATAAAGAAATTGAAGAAAAAAAGAGTAAAAAGCACAAAAAATCATCCAAAAATAAACACCATTTTAAAAAAATCCATGTACACTGGACTCAAATCTTAGAAAATGATTGAATAAAAGTTTGGAAAAATTTTTATCCAAAACACTGCCAAAGATTATATAAAATATTTTTTAATATATATAAAATAATAAGGAAAAACCATTAATAAGACAAATTAGTGAAGGAAAAGAATATTATTAATAAGAACAATTATTTCTGGGAAATTGTTATATTCTTGAATATATTATATTCTTGTATATCTTTAATTTAGACTGATACTTTAATTGTAAAAATGAGAAACAAATTAGAAACAATCAATTATTTAAACAAAACAGTCAATATTGGAATTTTATTGCCTGAAATTCTGTCGATAGAATTTCAGGTAAATAAATATATTTACATGCATTAATATATATTTTTTAAAATCTATAAACAAGGCACAGAAAATTTAAGTTTGTATAATATATTCTATCATGAATTTCAGATGTAAATATTGAGAGATATTTATATTAATGAACGATCTACATTTCAGATTATAGCTAAAGTCCAACGTTAAATGACTCTAATCAGCATTAAATTATTAAATTATTAAATGTCATTATTTAGCTATTAAACGTCATTATAGTGTTTTTCCCGTATATCACCTTAAACGGTACGTTATTATAATAATCGATTTATTTCTTAAAGAGAGTCATATACACATATTATGTTGGTACGGTTTTGCAAATTTTTCATATGAAGATCTATGAAAAAAACTTTAATTTATTCGTTAATAGGTTTATTTTGACCTAATTACATAATGTAAAGCACTGATATAAATTCCATTATGTTTTTTTGCACAGCTTCAATGTTAGCTAAGAAATTAAACAAAACGCGTGCTAAGCACACTAACAATAAACTATTAGCTAGGGAATGACAGCCACATAAATTTAAGAGCTAATTTTTAGGAAAAATTATATAAAATTGACTCCTTTATATTTATATTAAAAATGAAATATATGAGCTGCTTCACTTATGTCCATCTGTTTAACACTGCTATAGTTATAATTATAATTACTGTAGATATATTTCAACTAATATTATTATAATATAATATAAGATATAAAAGATATATGCATGCGTTCAACCACACAAACTTTTTCTAACTCATAAAAAAAATTTATTACAAATATTTTATGTTTGCAGAGATAATTATGTAATCATAGTAATTATTTAATCTCAAGAAACTAACACATGTATAGTACGAAGGCTGTTAAGTGGAAGGGGATTTCATTTATAAGCGGCCTATCTGTACTGCGTATGATTTTTTAGATTGATATAGTGCGTTCGAGTAAAAGCAAAAAGATGTCTGCACCTACGCATACCTTAAGTAATGGACAAAAAATTCCCGTCCTAGGACTTGGTACTTGGCAAGCTGGAGTAAGTATTTTGTTTAGAAGTAGTATAAAATGTAGATTTTACAGATATAGAAATATTGACAGATTTTTCATTTATATTCCAAAAGATATTTGATAGATTTTTGCTATTAACATTAAGTATAAAAATATTGCAAACAAGAAAAAACAGCATAATTGGCATGTTTGAAAATTCTCTATTGTGACATGAAAAATCGTTATCACTATTTTGAAGCTATGTTTTCTGTACTTATAATAGCAGCATGATAATGTAGTGTACCATGACCACTGTACTTTTTCTTAATATCAAAATAATGTAAATGTTTTAATTTGTTTGCGCAATATTTTATTTCTCTCATAAATGTTTAATCGAATTTAGATTCAATGACTGAATTGATCAATTTCAATATTTTTATTTTTTTTTGTTTATGACTTTCTTTTACTTATTTAACTATTTTATTAACAAAACTTTTATTCAATAATTATTAGTATATAAAGTAATTCTTTCAAAAGGAACACTCTCCCATCTCATAAAAATATTTTCACAAATCTCCAACAAATTAGGATTTAATAAAAATTCTAATTTATAGTTAAAAATATAATTAAATAAAATTTTATTTAATTTTTAAGAATTTTAACAATTTTGGAAATTCTATCATAATATAACCTATCTATATATACTCCATCATGAAAAACGATGCACAAATTTTATTATCTTTTTTATTAACTATGGCAAGATTTTTCGCGAAGTTATGTTTGAAGTTATGAAGTTTTATGAATTTATATCTAGCGGAGCTTTATACTATGTAATTACATAGATAGTTTTATGGATGAATAAATAAAAGATTTTTTCATAAATTTTTATATAAAGAATTTAAAAACCTATAATATATACAACATAATAGTGTATATAGCTCTCTTAGACTGAGAAAGAAGTGATATAATTCAAATTAAAACAATATAATTCAAAAATATGGCATATACGAATGTATATGCTGGTGTTTAGTAGATATAAGTAGATATAAAAATAAAATAACATCTGAAGAAAAGAATATTATATATAAAACTAACAGATAGATAAGGAAATGATCTATATCTATAAATATGAATAAAAATTCAAGAAAAAGACAAAAATAATACATATCAATAATATTTGCTTGTGCTGTTTCCTTTTATTTGTTTTATTTTTATATTGCATCAATTATCAGTCAATGATATTAGATATCAATATTAAATATTAGATACTATCTTTCGGAATATAAAGTGAAGAATCTGACTAAAAAACATTATTGTACGCAAAAACATGCATGTAAATACACAGATAAATATGTGGACGAACATATTTATTAAGTTCATTGAAAATATAATTTCTTGTTTACGCATTTTATGAATATTCGTGTAAATTTTTTAAGGACGATCCAACTGTAGTCGAACAAGCTGTACGAGATGCGGTGGATGCCGGATATAGGCATTTTGATTGTGCTTATATCTATCGCAATGAAAAAGAAATCGGCAAAGCTTTGCGCGACAAGATTGCTGAGGGTGTGGTAAAAAGAGAGGATTTATTTATCACGACAAAGGTGATCAAAAAAAAAATTCTTGATCTATGATCTTGAATCTATGAACTTTTTCAACATTTTTATATTTTCAGTTATGGAATACGATGCACAAGAGAGAAGAAGTAGTACCAGCATGCAAAAAGTCACTTGAAAATTTCGGATTTGATTATATTGATCTTTATCTTGTTCACTGGCCCGTAGCTTTTAATGTAAGATCGATAAAATAACATTATTACACGTTTGATCTAAACCTGTCAACCGAGTTGTTCCTTAATCAGAACATTTCACAGTTATGAAATTAAGATCAATTAATTTCAATTGAAATAATTTTTATTTTAAAGTATGTTAATAATTATAATTATAATTGCAATATAAATATAGTATAATTTAGTTTTAATTGTAAAATGCTAAAAAGATAAAACACGTAAAAAGAAGGAACATTATCACTCAAATATGTAACTATATGTATCTCATAATATGAGTTAGCTCGTTTTCCTTGGTTCATAGGTTAATATCGATACAATAGTCTTGAAACAAATAATTAAAATAAATTATTATATTATTGTAACATAATTCTCTTAGAAAACTGACAAAATGGATCTATGGCCAGTTGATGAGAAAGGTAATCCCATGTATGGAAATGTGGATTTGCTCGACACATGGCGAGGAATGGAAGAATGCATAAAACTGGGATTAACAAAAAGTATAGGTCTTAGCAATTTTAACTCCCAGCAGATCGATCATATTTTATCAGTCGCTGAAATCAAACCTGTTATGAATCAAGTGGAATGCCATCCAAATTTAAATCAAAAAAAGTTGCGAGATTTCTGTGCACAACGTGGTATATCTATCACGGCTTACAGTCCATTTGGTTCTCCTAGACGTATTTGGGCGAAACCTACTGATCCACAAGTTACGATCGAGACGCCAGAAATAGTGACGATTAGCCAAAAATACGGCAAAACACCGGCTCAAGTTGTTTTGCGATACTTGGTAACTTATCTTATAATTATATATGTATACATTCATCCGTTTGTCTTAAATTTACTTAGAATGACTGCTATTTATCGCAGATTGATATTGGTACCATTCCCATCCCAAAATCCAGTTCTAAGGAACGCATAAAACAAAATATAAGCATCTTTGATTTTAAATTAACACCTGAAGAAATTGCAACTATCAATTCTCTTGACCGTGGACTTCGTATTTGTCCTGCTGAGCAGTAAGTAATACATGAACATAACAAGTGAATGTGCATATTTCTTATTTCTTATTTTTCCCTTTTAATTATCTATATTTTGTTATATCTAATTATCGATATTTTGTGTTTAGGTTCAAGGGACACGTGGATTATCCGTTCAATATAGAATTTTAAAAGAAAATTATTTCAATCAATTGTACTATTTTGTTAAATATTTTTGTAAACCTATATTCTATATAATCTTCGTTCATATATTTGTAATTAATTTGATTTTCAATAAATCAATTGTATAAAAAAATTATTTAAGAAGTAGAACATAATAATCGTGTTCGTCATTTCTATTGAATATTCAGAAGCTCAGCGCATTAAATAATCATGCTTATTATCTAATACGTTTAATGTTATTTACTAGCGTTGTTAATAGCGTTAACATTATTGATAACATCACGTTACATTGGCCTTGTGCAATACAGAATTAATATCTAATCTTAGCTACATATAGATATCTAATCTTAGCTACATATGTACACATCGTCACTATCATTATATAATGATTGACTATGAGGAATACAGTATGACTAGAAGGTACGATATACTTTAATCAGTTAGTTTCTAGAATATCGTCGGATTTATACTTGTTGCAGAGACAACCTCTACTACGAATTTATCAGCACTATATCTGTTCTTCCAACGATTAAGATTTAAAATCAACCATGGCTGAAATACCTTCTTTTACATTTTCCAATGGGTATAAAATGCCAACTTTTGGTCTTGGTACCTATCAGGTAAGATAACAAACAATAATTGAAATGTTACAAATCATACGTTATATAAATGTGTGTGTGAGAAAAGATCTAGCAAATTCTTTTAAGAGTGTCACGTGATCACGTTGCGCGGTTTATTTAAATTAAAACTTAACTTTGGATTTTGAATACTATATTTAAAAATTCCATAAATTTGAACAAATTATGATAGAAAATATTCAAATATATGTATACCCTTATGAAAATATATAACAAAAATGTATAAAATATTTATAATAAAACATACAGTAAATTCATTATAATGTTTACAATTTGTAATAAATCTCTAGTTAAATTCCATTCTTTTATATTGCTTCTAATCTAACTAATTATATAAATCTTTTTATGAAATTTAAATATGTTTTGTATTTTCCCAGTCCCGTCCTGGAGAAGTAGAAGCAGCTGTAATGGAGGCAATAAACTTAGGATACCGCCACATAGACACTGCGTTCTTTTATCAAAATGAGAAAGAGATTGGTCAAGCAGTTCAAACAAAAATCAAGGATGGAACTGTGAAAAGAGAGGATCTCTTCATTACAACAAAGGTAATCAATTTTATACAAAATTTTCTCATTTTATATTTTATTAAAACTGAAAATTTTTGTTGTAGCTTTGGAATAACTTTCACAAAGAGTCGAGTGTAGTCCCAGCATGTAAAAAGTCTTTAGAAAATCTTGGATTAAGTTATGTGGATCTTTATTTAGTACACTGGCCATTTGCCTTCCAGGTTCGTTTCAGTTTAATACGCTTTTAATTATCGGTATAATTATCGGTTTAATTATCGAGCATTTTAAATCACGAACCAATTATTTCTTTTTTTTTTTTTAGGAAGGAGGTGATTTATCACCCAGAAATGACAATGGAGATCTTTTGATGTCGGATACTGACTATCTTGAAACCTGGAAAGGAATGGAAGAATGCGCGCGATTAGGATTAACTCGCAGTATTGGAATTAGCAATTTTAATCAAGAGCAAATCACTCGTCTACTTAGTGTAGCTGAAATAAAACCTGTAAATAACCAGGCAAGTGTGAATTGTCATTTGTATTATTCATAATTCACATGTAATTTCATTATAATTCTAAGTAAGATAATAAATATTTATTATTTCTATTTAGGTCGAAGTCAACGTAAATGTGAATCAAAAACCATTAATAGAATTTTGCAAAAAACACAATATTACGATAACTGGGTATTCACCGCTGGGACAACCAGGAAATAAAGCGGGCATACCAACTGGCTTGGACAATCCAGTAGTAATAGAGCTTTCGAAAAAATACAATAAAACACCAGCACAAATTATTCTAAGATACATAGTAAGTTAATTATATTTCATTACTTACAATACTTTTTATTTAGTACTACTATTTAATTTATTACCAATTAAATTCTTAATGAAAGATGCGATTTTATATTTTTTTTGTATTGTGATATTTCGTTTGGAAATAATACAAAGTGCATGGTTATTTCCACTGACAAAGATAAGTATAATATACATAGACACAATTATGCAGATAAAATTATGATGTAAAGAGAATGTATTTGGTACGTATATAACATATACGAATCTTCTTTGCCTTCAATCTACCGAAATTATAGCTGAGACGAAAAAACGAAATTTATTAAAATATACTTAATCTGCTTATTTGTATATATATATAGATATAAAATTTCGTTCTTTTTCACCGATGTGTTCCAGTTACAACAAGGAGTCGCTATCATTCCAAAAACAGTAACACCGAGCCGATTAAAAGAAAATATGAATATATTTGACTTTTCTCTAACAAACGAGGAAATGGTGTCCATAGATAAAATTGGTACAGGTCAACGTGTTGCGCGTTTTGGCGAGTAAGCATACTAAAAATTTTTTAATTCATAAAATAATTTTGATTATTTAACAGTAAAGTAATTCCTTTTTCTTTGCAGCGCGAGAGGACACAAGTATTACCCGTTTGACTAATATAAGTTTCATTGCAAAGACGTAAAATGGCAGGAAACAACTCATCAAATTCAGTATAAATTAATAGCAAGGTATATCCCCTTTGAACTTACATAATCCCACGGTGTAATTTGGCACTCGGTTGACCCTTATCTAGTCAATTAGATTTATTGAATGCCATGGAAAATTTCGATGCTCCATACCATCTGACATCATACGCCGTAACAAAGGGGGCACCACCACGAACAAGGCTAATTACTATATTCCACCAATGTTAACTTTAATTAAAGAACAGCATAGTATATATTGAGTATAAATAAAATCGCATTAGAAAAAGAAATTGGCAAGCAGGAAGTATTTCATTTTCTCCTTTTTTGCAAAAGTGCACATAAAGCGCATAGTTTCTTACAGTGCAACAATATTCTTCTATTGTAATGTGGCACGTATTATACAATCAATATAGTAACAATTTTCGAAAAATATGCGTTTCAAAAACATGTGACGTAGTGATAAATACTATTATCATAATTGCTAGGAATAATACGACGGAAATGCAATCAACGGATTGGAACGAAATTGAAGGTCGTTTGAAAAGTTCTATTTTGAAGGAAACCTGCATGAAGAAAAATAAAAATGCATTATCTCACACTAAAGAAGAATTAATTTTTATTTACAGTAATTACAAAAAGCATTTGCCCTTCCTTAGTTTTCAATTTTTCTTTTTTACTTCATTCTCATATCAAGTAATACTAATTGATACGAAATTTAAATACAATACCTTTTCGTTCTATATTCATTGCTTTTTGTTTGAATAAGAAAAGTCTGTGGTATAATCTATAGACTTCTAGTAAATCTAAAATAATAACCGTACAGAGAAGACCATATCACAGACGAGATATAAAAGTAGATCTTTTATCTCATGAAACATCGTGTTCTATGCTCTGAAATGCCGACACAGTAAAAGAATCAGTAGCTTTTAGCGCACTCTACAACGATAAATTGGAAAACTTGGAGAATATCAAGTAAAACGATCGAAGTTAATCAAATAATGAACGAGCCAGAAACATGATTTTTGAAATCCATTATAGTGTTGTTAATTTTAGATACTGAAATGAGAAGCTAGTAATTAATCGAAATCAAGCTATTATATATGATAAAAAGCTCTATCCATGTTTTATGATAGATTTATGATAGTTTCTTTTATATATAGTAAATTAAAATTTTAAAACTATTAATACATGGTTTTAGATATAATTGATTTATAAAACATTTATAAAAACAATTTTTAATTAAATTTTCAACTATTTTAAATTATTAAAATATCAGAATTATTATATTTCTTTTTTTACTTATATTATATATTCAAATTTATGTTAAATTTTTAGTAATCTTATTGTAGTTATGCAGTATTATGCATTGTGCGTGACGAATTTGACACTGATAAATTCTATTATTAATATAGATAACAATAAATTTTATTATTTATTAGTTAAAAATTATTAAAAATATTATTCGAAAATTTTCTATAAACTACCTTTACTTAGCATATATTATAGTAACAACAAAATTTTGTTGTTTATTTAATAACGTCGTCTATGACCATGTCTTATACTCATTATGAATTCCGGACCAAATTTCTTCAATGAATAGCAAAGACTCTAGTGGGCGAGAATTCTCCAAAATGATTCACTCAATAATTGCTTATTCTATAGTATAAACGAAACTTTTATATATTACGAACTACCGTATACTTATGAATACGACACTGTCCAACGATTTTGCGATGGTATTTTTCCACTGGCCCCGCTTCCCCTCCTTTACCGTTCATTGATTCTAAAAAGAATTTAATCAGTAAGCAAGAGATTTCAGAAATTTATATAACAGAACAGGATAAATCACATATCCGAAATTGAATTTCCCACGTATCGTAATGTTTGGCATTTAAGTAAATTCAAGCACGACCTTCGTGAGCATTATTAACATAAAACCAGCAATATGTAATTATTCGTTATCAGCCAGTTGTCAGTCACGTATTCACTTGTATATGTATTGTCCTATAAATTAGTTATATGAACGACGAAATTACATCATGAATCATATCACGCAAGCGTAAGTATTATAAACTTGACGTTTTCCGATACGTATCAGAAACATATACCACGAAACACTGAACGAAACTGTCATGGTTTTTTACAGATGGAACTCGAAATTTTCCAACCGAACCAACTCACCGACGTGCAACAGATTGTTATCGTTAGATAACATCGTGTCGCCAATCACTCAATGCGGTTCTTGGAGGTCTAGAATGCTCGATAAGGTGAAAGAGTATCGTGATGCGATTAAAAACATGATGACCTTCGACAAGACGCGCAACAGTTTTCAAACTACGCGAATAAATGGTATACGCTCGAGCAATTCTTCAATCCACATGAGAGCAACAACTTCTCTGTCCTCGATACCGGATGTCATTACTTTCAGTAGCATCGCACTGAAACATGAAGAATACAAAGACATACCGATTTTAACGAGAGGTTCCAGACCGAATTCGACTGAATCGAAGAGACTGAACACGTCAGTAGAACCAAGCAACCAAATTAATAATACAAATGATTCGTTGAACCGTTTTGTTTCGATGGACAACGTGATTAGTAGTTCGTTGAAATCGTTTCTGGCGCTCGAGAAGCAAGTGAAAGAGGAATTCTTAGAAGAGGACGACACTTTCACGATGAAAAAGAAAATTTCAGCGGAACCATTTCTTTCTTACACGGAAGGTATCGCGGAATTCGTTTGGCCAGACGATTCAACGGAGGAGAGCCTTCATGGAAAACTATCGAACTCTCTAGAACATTTGAACACGGAAGATATCAGCTTTGGAGATCCACGTACGAACTCTACGTTCTACGAAGATTTTTACATGAATAGGAATCGTACTTCATCACCGATTCGAAGGTACTCTCTCAAAGATTCTAGTTTTGAAAACAATTGCTCGATATAAGTCTTCTCATTATTTTCATAATTATTTATTAAATCTTTCTAATGTGTGTTTCTCTTTCCTGCTTTTTTGTTTCATGCTTTTTATTTATTGAACTTTTTGTAAGTTTAGTTCATATTTAGATCAATAAAGTTTGTTACGACGAATACGATCCCCTCTGTCACTCTGATAAACTCATGTTGTGTTTATTTCTAACATTCTATCGGATGAACGTAAACAAAAATATCGTCAGTAATACCATTACTCGATGACATTGTGGAAATCGCGTAAAACCGACGATACTTCGATTTAAATTACTCTTTAATTTTAAGTAATTCTTTTGAACGCGAATCGTGAATTAATTACATAAACTCAGTCTGTGTAAATTTTCTATTGAAAGAATAATTAAGATAATTTGAACAAGCGAAAATACGAATAATAATATTGAAACTTTCGAAGTTGTTGATTTCACGAATCGCCATGATATTGGAATGTACGAATGAATACAACGGCCTGGTGCTATTCTACAAAAAGCTTGAAGAAATATCAACCATTTTAAAGGAAGGAAAAACCACTCAGGCCAGAGTAATGAATTTTATTCTGACAATGCTCAACTGTATGATCTTAAAAGTCGACAGTCAAACTTGTCTTCACGAATTCATCGGTATATTCAATGATAGAAGTATACAAGTTCTCAGAAACGATCTGGAGAATCTTTTGTGTTTCAAGACCAGGTTTTTCAACTTTTTAATCCTGGAGTTGCTGCTAGAAGCTGTCAGAAAAGAGAACAATGTTAAACTGATGGTGGATAAGCCGTGTAAACAATGGAACAAAGTTGTTTTTCAAAAAAGAGTCAAAGCTATCGTAAAATTTTTAATTTTCCGAAAGGTAAAGAAGTCTTCTTATCTCTGCGATGGAAACGATATACCGGATTGGTTTTCTTACAGACAGAAAGTTAGTATCGTGCTTAATAACGAAATCAATTCGGGAGATAATTTTATAATGAATAAAAATAATTTGAAAGATAATCGCGTGAAAGATACCGTGAATTGTGCTCGTTATAAGAAGAAAAGTCAATATGCAGATAATGTCAAGATTTTTAAAAAGTACTCAAATACGAAATTTAATTTTTACGAAACACCCATGTACACTTGCATTCGTCATCTCTGCACCAGAGTCTATTGTCTGTTTTGGTTAGCAATTTTTATTTATGGATGGTTAGCAGTTTTTATGTATTATTGCTGCGGATTTTTTCATCAGATATTCTTAAGTGTTATACATAAATCGATCAATGAATAATCGTAATATGATAGTTTGATTTGTGTTATTTATAAGTTAAGCGCGAATTCTGTATTATTCCGTTCAAATTGTTGCCCATATTGTCTTTTTCACAAACATATATTGTAATTGATAATACTAATCTAGTCAATACGTTCAATTATAAAATCGATAAATCTATTTAACTTGATCGATTGATAGAAAAGCGCATTACGTGATATAAGATAAATTTTTATGTGTGTTATGTAAATTATTTAAAAAACACGTTTTATACTTGTACTTATAGAATGTGCAATATTTATCAAAATGATAACGTAGCTGAATTCAGCTAGCACTGTTTTCAATATGATATCAAATGTTAAGCATTTTTTTTATTTTTGAGATATAATCGAGAAAAATGTAATCAAGGTTAAACTCTCTATTAGTAAATATATGTAAATATATGTATATAAACGTAACTTCGTTCCATGAAAATGTATTTAGTATGTAGCGTAGTTATGATAGTGCATAAGATATAAAATATTTCCATCGGTAAAAGCTCTTTTCATATTAGATGTACATACATAAAAATGAATATAAGAAAATTTAATTTAAAAGTGTTTATTGGAGAGTTTAAAGTTTAAGTCACTGTTCATTCATATACTTTCATAATAATCTTATTCATATACTGCTAAACGGGGAAACAAGAAATATCGATAATATTTTTGCTTTTAATATTATTGAACTTATTTGAATGAGAACGAAGAAACATAGATATAAGACTCGATAGATTATAAGACTCAATAATCATACGTATATCGATTTTAAATTAAATGTATTTACGTGAAATACACATATATATATATATACTGGAATGTACACGTACAAAAAATATAAATTTACATGTACATAAAGCTTGTTATTCTTCCCTATTTATTGTTCAAATAATTTATCCCTTTGGATATCAATATCTTAAAAATACATCGTTCATTGTGATTAGATATACTTGATACTTGAGAATTTCGATATTTTATTGATCTTAAATTTTACTTAACGTTGAATTGTGATTTAATATCGAAATACGGCTATAAAATTGCATTCGAGAACGCTCTATTTCTGTTATACGAGTAATCCATTCATTCATTCTCAACAACCAAGGGAACTATTCCTTGCTATTCCTAACGGACTTTGTAATTTTCCATAGGTCCCGTTTCTTCTTAACGAATTTACCGGCGTCTCCAACTACGTTCGAGATTACAACTACATAGAAAAACCTTTTTATATCTGTACGTGTAAAGCTTACGAAAGATCGCGCATGCATGAGAGACTACGAAACGCATGCGTAAAGCAGGGCAGTATGCTTTAGGGGGTTTTTTAGTTCAAAGATATTCTCTTGATTTTTCCAATATTTCTGTACTTGTAATCTTCATATCAATTTCTTGAATCAGTATGAAAATCTGAAATATAGGAAGCAGATAAGACATTTCAGTCGAAAAATATTTTAGGAAATTGAATGTAAAATTTTCACTACCAAAATACACACGATGTTTACAAATCAATAGATTAAATCGCAGAAAATTTTTTTTAATTTGTATCAATATATTAATATTAGAATAAATTTCATAGCTGTGATTAACTGAAATTAATAATGTGTAAATTGTAATAAGAAATGCACTATTAAAAGAAGTATACTTTAATTATAGTATATTCGCGAATAATTTAATTACAATTTATTTCTAAAACAATTTTTTTTGCAGAAAGTATGAATGAAGCGAAAAAAAATATAAATGAGACAATCACGATTCGTCCTTTGATATACGAGGTTGTCTTCTTAGGAGGGGACAGGGGTTAATGTAAGATATTTATAAAAGGAGCTGCGCAAAACTACCGGCACTGTTCTGACGGCATTAGCATATGACGACCTGTCGAATCTCAAAATACTTCCAATATTAAGTATTGTGTTTCAAGTTTAAGCATCGAAATGGTTTTAAACGCACCAATGATGAAATTCTACAACGGCAATGAAGTGCCATCATTCGGACTTGGTACCTGGAAGGTGAGTATTATAACTGATGATATATATGCACATATAGAATGGAATAATATAGAATTTATATTATATTACTCAACTTATTTGCCTGTAAGAAAGACAGATAAAATTGATTGCAATGTTTATGACCTTCTGAGGTAAAGTTTTATACTGAATTTCATTCATAGTCTGTTCGTAATTCTTTACTTCTACTTATGTCAATTGAAATGTGTAACTATATTATTTAAGGCGCAGTATGTTTCTATGATGTTCTCAGTCTATTAAATAGATGAATGGTTTTTTTTGTATTATACATGTATATTGAAACAGCGATTCATTTACTGAATTGTTTTTATGATAAAGGCGTCATAGCAGTTTCCATGTTTGTCTTCTGACATTTAATATATTAAAATTTTAAATATGGAAATAATAAATGAAATATTTTAAAATGTCGTATTAAAATTTATAAAATTACTAAATCTTTTTGGAAATTTATCTTATATAATAGTATTATTTTATAATTTTTGTAATTTATGTTTGATGTATAATGATTAGATTTTTATATCTTACTTATGTAATTCGATATTGTACTTCAGTTAAATGAAATTTTAATATGTTACATATTTGGACAAAATCGCTATATTAAACTTTGTACGTGCATATTAAAAATTATTTTTGATCAACAAAAGTGCATCTTGAAGTAATTTAATAGTGTCAGTGTATATAAATGATAACTAAACAGTTAGTAAAAGTAAATGACCCTTATTTTTAACACAAATATATTTCTTACCTATATATTTATTATATATGATAATTTATTTGTTTGACTTAATCTATATGATTTGCCTTTTCTTTTTAGTCTAAACCTGGAGAAGTTACTCAGGCTGTTAAAGATGCAATTGACATAGGATACAGACATATTGATTGTGCCCATGTTTATGGCAATGAGAAAGAAGTGGGTGCTGCCCTTAAAGCAAAAATTGATGAGGGTGTTGTGAAAAGGCAGGATCTTTTCATCACCAGTAAATTATGGAATACTTTCCACAGACCAGATCTGGTTGAACCTGCTATTAAGACAACTTTGTCAGATTTGGGTCTCGAATATTTGGATCTTTATTTAATTCATTGGCCAATGGCATATAAGGAAGGAGGTGGTCTTTTCCCACAAAATGCCGATAATACTCCTGCTCTTAGTAATGCAGACTATGTAGATACATGGAAAGCTATGGAAGCTTTGGTATCCAAAGGACTTGCTAAAAATATTGGTGTTAGCAACTTCAATTCTGAACAAATAGACAGATTGCTTAAAAACTGCACTATTAAACCAGTTACAAATCAAGTAAATATAAGTTTCATTCAACCTGTATTAATATATTGCCTATATTAATGAAACCTATATTTTATAATGAATTATATATTTGTAGATTGAATGTCATCCATATCTTACTCAAAAGAAGCTTTCTGAATTTTGTATCCAAAAAGGTATTCTTATTACTGCCTATAGTCCCCTTGGATCACCTGATAGACCATGGGCTAAACCAGATGATCCAAAATTGTTAGAAGATCAAAAATTGGGTGAACTTGCGAAGAAGTACAATAAGACACCTGCTCAAGTACTTATTAGATACCAGGTATATGCTAATATTTCATTCATGAACTATAGTCAAGTAATTTTATAATACAATTGTTATTTTTCTTTTAGCTGGATCGTGGTCACGTAGTTATTCCTAAATCAGTTACAAAGTCCAGAATTGCTCAAAACAGTGAAGTCTTCGATTTCAAACTTTCCCCAGAAGATATTGCTTACATTGACACTTTTGACTGCAATGGCAGAATCTGTCCAATGCTTGGGTAAGTACTTTTTACTTATTAATATGAATGTTACAAAATTTGATTTTTTAATAGAATCATTTATATTTTTTCAGTACGGAGCCCAGCCCTTACTATCCTTTCCATATTCCATTCTAAATCTTCCATATTTAATTCTAATTAAGATAAGAATCAGTATGTACAAACTATTCTCATTGTAATATTTACAATTTCTTCCTGTATATTTTCTACATGAAATTCGTATAAAATAAACTATAATAAAAACATATGTAGTTTTATTTCCCATATGGTCATACTTTCAAATAAAAGGAAACTTGATACTAATAATAAATATTTGCAAAAATTGTTAGTTTTGCAGATAAGCACTTATATATATAAATTTAAAATATATTGGACTAGATTAAGTCACTTTGAACATAAAAGTTGATATAACATTATTCCATAATCAGTAAACGATCTATTTGCTAAGAACATAGTATTATTCTTACTTGGAGATATGACATGGCAAGTTTAAATCATTTTTGTTTCAAGGTAAAAGATATATACGTGTTATCATCTGCCTAGTATAAATACGCACTCTACACTCGGTGAATGTCAATTTATGAAGTATTCCAATCTGTGACAATGGTGCAACAAGTTGTAAAATTTTATAACGGCAATACTTATCCCATTCTTGGTTTGGGTACTTGGCAGGTATGTTGGATACAATTTGGATAAGCAATATTAAGATACTTATTAAAATGATATATTATTAGAAGATAACTACTATTTAGATTTCATTAATAATATACGAGTACGTTTTATCAAAGCATAATTTTTTTCCGTAATTCCACATAAAAATTTTTTTAATTTCGACATTTGAATCATTTCTTTAATATGTTTTTTTTTTCTCTTATCGAATAAGTCCAAACCTAATGAAGTGACTGAAGCAGTTAAACATGCCATTGATGTCGGTTATCGGCACTTTGATTGCGCTCTACTCTATGGAAATGAATCGGAAGTAGGTTTAGCAATTGCAGCAAAAATCAAAGAAGGTGTCATTAAACGAGAAGATATTTTTGTGACAAGTAAATTATGGAATACGTACCATCGACCTGATCTAGTTGAACCTGCGTTAAAGAAAACTCTGAACAGCTTTAAATTCGAATATCTCGATCTTTATTTAATGCATTCACCTATGGGATTCCAACGTAAGTTTCAATTTTTTCCTTTTATTTAATCAATAAATAAAATATATTTCTTTTTATAGCTGGTGATAATCCATTTCCCAAAGATGCTGATGGTAATTTTATAGACGATGGTACTGATTATATCGATACTTATCGTGCAATGGAGGACCTTGTCAAAAAAGGTCTTGTAAAGAACATTGGTATCAGTAACTTCAATTCTCAACAAGTAGAACGATTACTCTCTAACTGCACGATAAAACCAGTGACAAATCAAATCGAATGCCATCCGTATTTAGTTGGGAAAGAGTTATCTGACTTTTGCAATTCCAAAGGAATCCTTATCACTGCTTATTGTCCTTTCGCTAGACCAGGTTTAAGGCCTAACGAACCTACAATTTTAGAAGATCCGAAAATCACAGCAATGGCTACTAAGTACAAGAAAACTGCTGCTCAAGTTGTACTGCGGTATCAAGTATGTATTTTATTAAATCAACGAAATTTCTTTCACTTGCATTGTTGAATAAATTAAGAAAGAAGAAATTTATTCAATAGATACAACGTGGACACTTGGTGATTCCCAAATCAGTAACAAAATCTAGAATACAAGAAAACTTCAATGTCTTCGATTTTGAATTAAGTTCCGAAGACATGAATACAATAAATGGCATGGACTCTAATATAAGAGTTTGCTTCAGTTCTGGAGGGTACGTAATATTATTTTAAATATTTTTAATACCAAAAATAATGTTTAAAACTCTTTTATTTTCACAACTACCTGTTTGATTTCATTTCAGGAAGAATACGCACAAATATTATCCCTTCTAAATAAAGAAATAATAATAATAAAACATACCTTTTCTTAAAGTTATACATTTTATCAAATACTTTTTATAAAATAATGGTTGTAGAATCCAATTTTAAAATGAATAAATAAAAAACTTACGATTAGTTGCATTGACACAATGATTCATCACTGTCTTCACAACCGCATGAGCAACATTCGCAAAATTCATCTTCACTGTCTTCCTCACCCAGTTGCTTTGAACCACTTGGATGATATTCCTCCGAAGGACCTAACGGATCATCACTACAATTACATGGTGCATCGGATAAACTACGGGTACATTTGCTTTTGCAATTGCATCTGCAGCCTCCAATTGGACGTGAGCAGGACATTATTGGACAAATTTCACAGGGACTTGTGAAATCACAAGATAGCACATATGGTTTGCATCCTGTCCGAATACCTGTGTTTTTCTTCATATTAATTTCTGTTCTTATTAAAAAATTGAATGCGTTACATATATAGTAGGTACATGCCATGATCTTTCATTATATAACGTGGTAGCTTGCAAAAAGGTTTCCTTGTGGATGTAGTACAACCTCTGATAGGTTTGTTGCAAGAGATTTTGCAAGGTTTTCCCACACAAGTTTTTTTAACAATACATTCAAGATCCTGAGGTGTGAAACAAGGACGATGACACTGTGCTGATTTCGACTTGGGTTTTGACAATTTGGGTCGCTCATCATCACTTATTTTTTCGTCTTTCAACGTTCTTTCAACAGTGGGCGATTGAGTTCGTGGATTAGTCGAAGCAACAATTGGTTTTTTAGTTTCCTGTAATGTTTTTTAGTTTCCTGTAATATTCCTGTGAACATTAGTAAATGATTTATCATAAAAACAATTTCTTGTACATTATCTTCAACATGCGATGACCCGAGGGTATCTGTACTTCTCATCCGAGCCTCTGATTTCTCATTATTTGACCACCAATTCGGTATCCAGGATTTTTTTTCAATTTTTTCCTCAGGCAGCTGAGACTCAGATTCTTGATCACGTTTTTCAATATTTTGCTCCGATGTGGAAATTATTGCGTCACTTTGCATCTGTGTAAATATGGAAATAAAGAGAAAAAATTCATTATATTTTATTTTAAATGCATAATTTTCACCAACAGTAACAGCTTCCTCCTTTCCTTGCTTTCCCTTCGCCTCACTTTGTTCGTGAAATAAACACTTTTCAGGAACGTAGCATATCCTTTTCCCAGTACAATCTAAATCTTGAACGCAGCTGACGATTTTCTTTCGAGTACAAGCATTTTGATGTTCCTTAGATGTTAACAATCGATCCATATGCTCTTTGAAAAGCGTTTCCTTCTGTTCCAATTGTTTAATACGATTTTTCAGATTTAATTCTTCCTCAGCTAATTGACGAATCTTCGATAAACAAAGCAAGTCCTCGGAATGTATCGAATGAAGACTCGCACTGGTGTGACATCTCACTTCTTTCTCCAGATTCTTCAACGTATCGTTCATCTCTCTGTTCATAAGCTCCAAAGATTCTATTTCCATTTCTGTCTCTTCCAATTTAACATCCGCTTGAATGATCTTCTCCTAATAAAATTAAATTGTATTTCGTCATTAAATGTTTAATAAAGATACAACATAAAAGAGGAGGTGCACTTATCGTTAGAAATACGTCAAATTTTGCAGCGAATACAATGATTCAAGCACGCCGGTAAGATTTACCCGAATTAAGTCGTTGAATTTCAATCGTTCCGTACATGCAACTCCTCGGTCTCGCTGTTCAGTTCCTCCACGGTATTCTTCAAATTTTCGAGAAGTTTCTCAGTTTGATCGGAATAAGGAGCAAACTTTTTCATGATCTTGCGAATTTTATAATACGGCGCGTCATCGCATTTCTTTGACATCCACATGTTGTATGCAATCAACGCAGGAATCGATCGTTCCATCGTCGTAATTTTGTCGCTTAAATATTTCTGTCTGCCGAGAAGATCGCAACGTCGTTCCTCCATCTTCATCGTGATATCCTCGAAGTACGGCGAAAGATGTTCACTAGCCTTCACATCTGACTTTGGACCTAAGACTGAATGAAAGAAAAATGAAAAAGTGTCATACATAGTGATATATATTCCCAGGAAAAAAGATAATATATGCATGCTACTTTTAATTTCTTAGCAACGTACATATGATTTTGTATGTCTAACAAATAGTTAAGTTACTTTGAAACACTCAGAATATGCGTGTTATTGGTAAGGAGTTGTGATATTATAAAGTCTGTACAACATGGAAACATGTACAAGGAAAAACTATTCTATATTTAATGCGAAATGATAGTACATTTGTCATAGTAGTGAATATTTTGTAATTGTTGTTGTAAATTACAATATGTGATGACAATTGTGACAATGTAATTATGTGAATTTTTATGTGAAAAGAAATCTGTGTTATTTTTGTCATTGAATTTTTGTCAATGTTTCTTTTCGTACGTCGTAGGCATAGTATTATAAATAAATTCTTGTCGTTCGAGAATTTGCCATTTGCTCTAATGGACTCGCTGTTTCGTTATATACGTAAAATATTACTTTTTTTTTTTTACAATTTCAATTTCTTGATATTTTTACACGGCTGTAATATATATGGCAAAAACTCGAAATACTTGCATTAACACCTTTCTGTGTAATTTGTCTCGTTATGAATTGAGATTTGAAATGTGCAATTCATGCTGAGATGAAATGTTATGATGACTGTTCAGTATTGCATCAGTATTTGTCATAACGTCTTTTAATAGATCATGTGTTTACTTCTTCTTCATTGCTTTCGATATCTTTGACACTAGTAAATTTCGTTGCTTTAATTCGAGAATTTGTTTTATTTTGGACTCGTTCAACATCTTTGCGCATCCCATTCTTAAAAATCTATGCAACTTATATATATTTTTAGATTTCCATACATAGATAGCTGAACGAAATGCTGAACAATTTTTAAACATATGGACAAAACTACCATTTTGCTGTTGCTATAAAACAATTTTTCTTTGTTAAGCAAATGATAAGATGGTGTGGTTTATTTTTGATCCGCATATTATTCATTATAATATTGCGCAACATTACGTACAATATTATTCATCACAAACATGAAATTCTACTACGTGCGTTACCAAGCAAACATACGTGTACTATCTTTTTGAAAATGTGTCATGTTTGTATAATATATAAAATAATTATTTGGAATACATATATTTACATTGAGACGTCATGGTTGCTAAAGTGTAATTTCTTTTAAAAATAAAATTTATCGAGAGCCGTACTGAATATATATGCACTGTAATCACAAATAGGTTATTATTATTTTTCGTGCAAAATTTTTTTTAACATTTTCACTCTATCAATAATACACTGACTTAGCATTTAAACTGATAAGCTTCAACGAGTCATTTTTGATAACATTATTCTTGAAATTTTGATATTACACATGAATGTTAATTTATTATTGTATATTTGCTGTTGACACTTTCAAGTAGAATAACATATATCTGCATTAGTTAACGTTCTCACCGGTGATATATTAATTGAAATTGGCAATGATGATATTTAAAAAAAAACTATCGAACAAGATCGTATGTTTTTTTTTCTATATTCTTGATCATTTTTTAATAATTTTACGCGCAATGAAAATCAGTATGCATTAACATTAACGTCCTTGCAAATCATTCCAAATGTATTATATTTGTTTTAATCTCACTCATCAGCAGATAATATAAAACATATCGAACTGTTTGAAATCTGGAGCAAACCGAAGTGGATAGTAATGTTGCCTCTCGACTTAGTCAAGAGTTAGTAAAACCAGAATATGGTTAATTGAATAATTAATTTGCAAATGGATCTTTGCTTAACAGAAGAACGGAAGGCCTGACTAGCCGTGACACTGACGACGATAAATATTCTTTGTTAACCGGAACCAGCACATCTCTTCAGGATAGCACCGGAAGTACGGTCACAGGCTCTATTAGAGCCAACTACGAACGCAATTTCGAAGATCGTATCTTGTACGGGCAAAGCGGTGGTCGCAGATTTAGTTACAAAAAAAGAAAGACTTGCAGCGGAAATGGAATATTTAGTGCTCCTCCCGGTGTCAGTCCCCATCACGTTAAATCATCAATTATCCGTCGCAACACAAGTAGCGCTTCTGAACTCGATGCATATTCTACCGTTGATACGTATCTGTTAATTTAGAAAATTATATAAAAATAAGGTTCTTCCTTCTTTTTATAATAGATGGATCTCGATTAATTTTCGTGTGGCCACAGAAACCTCCAAGAAGTAGATTATTAAGAATCTTAGCTCCTCTCATGCATGGTATCCTTGTTGGATTTTTATTCATGGACGCTGTTCATCTTTGGCCAGGAGAATTTTTACCTACATCATTGCCCTCCATAATACCTGTTCCTTTACCACCCGTAAAATGTAACGTAATTGAACCACGATGGTTCGATAATAGTTAAACATCATGATCTTTGCATTTTCGATTGAAACATTTAAAAGGTGAAAGACAAATTATAAAAAAAAAGTTTGTGAAAAATTGAAACGAATGTAGAAGAAACGTATTAAAACAAAAAATGAAATAAAGAATTGTTTTAACATATTTAACGTTAGAAATTCTTAAACTTTTTTCCAAGAAATTTATAAAGATGAACTCGTAGGAACATGTTTATGAAGACACGATACTGTTTGTGAAAGCAATAAACGTGAAAAGTATTTTCATCTGCAAATATGTCAAATAAACATTTATTTCAAAAATTTGGATTCTTACGTGCACCGTTTGGCATTGGTGTTGGTCGTTATGTGTGTCAGTTACAGAGAATAACTATAAAATTTTGTAAAAGTCACGGTTGTAGTCTTGGAATTAGGTAGGTAAACATTTTCATTTCTAACCTCTTTAAGACTAAATTTTTATATTGCACGTATATCGATGCAATGACAAGTAGAACAATAAACATTAAATTTTTTAAAAATTATAATTATTGCATTAATATACATGACTTGCTTTTTTTTTCTTTTATTTTCGGTACATATTTCATAAAACATAACCTGCAATATTCCATATCGGTACATGTTTATTATATTTTTACTATATATAGGAGTTTCTTAGAACATGATTTAATTGATTATGCAAAACAAAATCCTGGAGTTGTAGTGTATGTTAAACCAAGAAGGCATAGAAGTCCAGTTTTAAAAGCTGAATATTGTAAGTTTATTAATAACTATTTATTATTATTTAAGTTATTTTAAAAAATTTTAAATATTAAAAAATAATATTGAAATATTTATATACATTATAGTAAATGGAGAAACAAGTTGGATATGTATTGCTAATTTTAGTAGGCAAGATATTATACAATGGATGGAATTATTGAAAACTCAGTATCATGATGGTCCAGCTCTTAGATTACTTAAATTATGGCATACAGACTTTCCTTCCATTCAAGGACCTTGGACACCATTTACTTTTAAAAATCCATCTTTGAATCAAATTAAATTCCCAGATGTAAATATAAAATTTTTTTCTAGTTATATTTTGCTTTTTCTATTAAATTTTTCATTACTATAGACATTATACATTTTATTTATTTTTAGAAAAAGATTGGTGAAGCCCTTAAATTCAAACCAACAGCAACAGAAGAATTAATTAGATTGTTTGAAGAGCAGCAAGAAGCTGAAAAGTTCGACCAAGAAATTCCAGTTCAAAAAGGTGTTAGTTAAATGACAATTTCAACCATTTTTAGTCATTAAAAATTTTAAACTAGACATATTGGACGTTAAATCATTGTTGCCGTATCTTTTCAAAATAACATTTGAGTTGTTTATTTTTGAGTGATATTACAAAAAAAAATTATGAAATAATCATATAAATCATTTGATTATAATAAAATTGTGGCTATTATAAAATAAATATATATAGCTTATAAATTCACTTATGTTATTTATTGGTATATGTAAATTTTTTGCATGCATATGGTATTTTATTTCGCATGAAATTAATTTACTTATTTAAATTATCAAATATACATGGTATAATCCAGATAGCATAATTACATTACAATTAAATATAAGTATTCATTTGTGCTTTATATTGTTTAATGGAAGTATATTAGTGACTAGCATATTATATGTATATACACTTTTGATATGTGATAGGAAAGTGACAATGAAGCATTAATGTATATTGTTGGCCATATTGATGTTACTGTCAAAATTACAATGACAGGTACATATTTTTTTTTATAATTATGTTTATCTATATCTCTCTATATTTTAATTGCTACACAAAAATATATTTTAACATTTTCCATATAAAAAATTGAATAGTGATATCGCACATAGCACCATAACTTGTGGATAAACGATTCTCTAAACTGATATTCAATTTAAGTGATTCCTCTATTTTGACTAATAGTTTTACATTTTGAGTAAGTTATATTGTTATTATTACAATATTTAATCTCCATATTAACCTATAAATATAATTAATTTTTTTTTAATATAATTGATTACATTTTTATTGATGCATGCAAAATTTGTATATGAAACATATAATACATATTCTACGAAGTATACAATTATCAATTACTTTAATTAATCTTTACTACTATTTGAATTAAAAAAAATATTAAAATGATAAAAATATTAACTTTAATTAAAATCCAAACATCAACTAGAACATGAATAAAATTTTCTCAATATTTTATCAACAATAAATAAAGATTATAACTTTTCTTTGTAAATATACATGAATAAGCATAAGCATGAATTTTTTCTAATCGTATAGTAATTTATGTAAATTTTAAAATTTTAATGATATTAATTACAAAAATATAAAATATTTCAATTACATTTTTCAGTTGTAATGAGTGGCATTTTAAATCATTTTCAGGGAATGGGTATAGTAGCACAACCCTGATATATGCTAATTTTTTTTTTTTTTTTTTTTTTTGAGAAGTATGAATAAATAGTTTATTTTCTACAATAAAGACAGTAGTTTTTCCTATCATTTTTACAAAAAGGAAAAAAAAAGAATGTAACTTTCTTTATAAAATATCAGATGGGTTTAAATATTTATAATTATGAGATAATGAGATAATCAAAATAATGAGATAATGAGATGATTCTAAAAATGTAACAATATAAATAGGACGAGTTTGACGCTACAATCATACGCACAACAAACCACACATCATTGACGTACCATTCCATATTAAACACTTCATTATATACAAATAATAGATTTGTAATGCCTCATTATATTATATTGGTATTAAAAATTGACAAATGTGATACCTGCGATATTTCAGTTATCGATATTTTATTTAAATTCAATCATAATATTAAAATAAATTATTTGTACTATAACAATCTTCTTGTAATAAATGTTACTATAGAAATTTATCAATTTTTCTGTCGTATAAAAAATAATCTAATATGACGCAATATACCACATTTGTAAAATTAAACAAATTAAATCATGCATACGAGCTATCCGCTTTTTGTATAGGTAAGTGTCCATAAAGAAGATAAAACAGCACATCAGGTAAAATATTCTCGTTTAAGCAAAATATCACACATTATATCGATTATGAAAGCGCGACTAGAATTCAGTTTATTCGACTTTAAGTCGTTTACTTAATTCTTCTTGTTGCTTTTCTCGCCATTCCTTTTTTGGTTTTATTCGTTTAAGTTGACCATCCCTAAAAATTTCATTATATATTTTCGTCTCTCTCTCTCTATAATAATAATAATAATATGCGAATATTTTTTTCTATTTAAAAAATTTTACCACTGTAAATCGACTAATCCACCTTGTCTTGCTATCACAGATTTTACTCTATTCGCAAAATCGATAGCACTCTCTCCCTCGTTCCTATACATTGGAGGAAGATACCAAACATCACACACTATAGCCCAGCTTGACATAGTCATATATAAATATTGTATCATGGAATATCGACTACTATTCCAAAATGCATCTCCAAATCTTGGATCATACTATAAGGAAGACAATAAAATTGATTATTTGGAACATTGGTTAACTAACATTGTTTTATATAAATATATACACAATTACTTTTATTGCAACAGGATAAATTACACCACCAACTTCAAAACTTCCTTTCTTAAATTGCATAACTGATGTATTATTTATACAAGTGCCTTCAGGAAAAATAAGTATAGGTGGATTCGTGGGATCAGAAATATGTTTTTTTAATCTATAAAATATAGCAGAAAAATTTAAATATTATAAATAAACTGCGTGTGCTAAAAACATATACAAAATAATTAATATTTACCGTCTCGTAACTGCTTCTCTATCTTTAACTTCACATCGTTCAAACCAAATGTGTGGTGAAGCACGTGCTAAAGCTCTTTGTAGAATACCTAAAAATCCACCATGCCTCTGACCTATCTAAAATAATATTTCTTATTGAATAATATAAGTTGCCTTCTGCATACTATTAGAAGTAACACATATTTTTATGTACAATCACAACATTACAACCACAACATCACAATAGCAAAATAAAACCAATATAAAGCAAATTTCAGACAAACTTAAAAAATTTGATAAATGATGAATTGACAAATAAATAATGTGGGAATTATTAAATATTAGAGGCGAAGAATGACAGAAACGTACCAAAGAATAACAATTATCGCACATGAGTACCAAAACATCTATAGGAGAAGTATGATTCGCCACGCAAATACCCCTAACAGGACGATTCTCCGGATTATGATACGTAATTACTGATGATAGTGCACTTGACAACACACCGAAGCACATTATGGAGACTTTGTAATTCAGCCATCGTTTGAAACTACCCTCTGGAACGTAGCCGACTACTGCTGTACATGCTGTCAGCCACATCACCTGTAAATCATAAGCTTTGCATCTAAGAAATGATAATTCTCTCAATATCGATGCAGATTAGGTTTACCTGCAAAGCAAAGTTACAGGATACCGTTTTACCTGTAACATTTACTAATGAATTTCAATTCTGTCAGTAAGCAGTTATAAATTGCAGTTATTATAAATTGTATTGCTTTGGGGAATTAAAATAGCAAGATTCCCGAAATTATTTCACATTATCATATGGAAATTCGGTTAGTAACAAACAACAAGACATCATCATAAATTCCCAAAAACAAATTTTGAAAACAATGATTGCTATCTTTGCAATGTTATATTACCAAGGAGAATGTTATCTGTGTGGATAAGATGGACACGTCGATTGTGGAAGTATGATTTGCTACACACAGTCCTCCTGGTTTTGGTTTGTACTCTGGATTATGAATTGTAATTGCCGCTGATAAAGATTGTGACATTATCCTGAATGCTATGAGACTAGCCTTGTTGTATGCCCATTTCTTAATAAAACCATTTGGTAGGAAGCCAATAAGAAATGTTGCAATTACAATACACAGTACCTAGGAATCTTTGATGTTAGTTGAATTTCAAATACTAAATTTATATTTGGTATTAAAACAGAGAATTTCAAAACAGATTCATTACAGGATCTTAAAGTACAAATGAATTTAGAAATCAAAAATTAATCAAATTTATACACATCCTACCAAGTTGTTTTAATTTTTCTAGATATTATTAACAAAAGAAAAGTCAATGAACATACCCCCACAAAACAAATTATTATCCTCAAAGGAAGAAGAAAGCAATATCGCATAACAAATCCGCATATCCATATTACTGTCAGCTTCCAGGAGATAAACTCATAATATCTATTTGTTCTAGTTAATAAATTCCAATTCTACAAAAAAAAAAACAAATGTCATTCTATCATATAGTGATTGATATTTATTAAAATTCAGAGAAAATAAAAAACACAAATTACCTTCAATTCTTCTGCTTCGAAACGAGACGTCACTTCATCTTCTATAATAGCTTCTACACCAGCTTTAATGTAATCCAAACAGATTGCAGGTTTGAACTCCCTTTTCAGTGTTTCAAACGAATCTCTACGCATGAGAGTCTGTAAGAATATATTTTTCAATTTATTGTACAAATTATAGATTTACATCGTTAATAGATACGCTATTACGAACGAAGATCACCTCATTTTTGTTCACGCTTGCTGTAGGTGTCTGAGAATTTTCCGTCTTTGTTTCCTCCAAATGATTTTTATGATTCTGCATTTCTGGCTCGGGTACCAAAATCAAATCCGTTGATCTGGCTATAACGTTGCTACTCACTCCATTCTGCATATTCTCCGTTTTCCAATTTTGCACATTCTGCTTTTCGACGTGCCGTGACTCGTATTCTTCATCTGCGTCCTCGTCATTTTGCTTCCAAGTACCGTTCTTCTTCTTCACATTCTCTATATTTTGTCTGCCATACTGAAATAAAGATTCAATACATACACTATAATTATTCAAATTGGAACGATTCCAAACAATTCATATTATACGTTCCATACTGTAATAAAAGTTTTTATAAACAAGCATAGCAAAGACAATCAGTTCAATCAAATTAATTGTGATTTGAAGATAAATATTTAAAATTTAAATATTTAAAATTAATATAGACTAAAGTATGATCTTTAATAATAAGATATTAATTCTTTAGTAGCTATCGTTGCTAAAGTTAAAGATAAATAATGCTTTTTCACAACTAAATTTACGAAATTTATGTAAAATTTAACATTTCTTTATATTTGTTTCTTCTTTAAACTGCTAAAAGCTGTAAAAGAATAAGAAAATGTCCATATTTCGAAATTAAATATACAAATAGATCCTATTCATAAAGATTGATATTATAATTGCTATTTTTAGTGCCTAATCTAGGCGTTTGAAGATCGAACGACCAGTCGACGTTCTTCCGGTTGATAATAAATTTTTTTGAAGATTAAACTTAGTGACATTTAGTATCAGTATCGCGTCAATGTAAATTAATATAATAAATAAGAGTTCAAACGAATAAAAAATATGAAGAAATTTACAGGAGTTAGTATTATTAATTTTAATAAATAATTAAAAATGAATAAGTAGATGTAATTCATCATACACTTCATTATGTACGTATACTTATAAAAATATGCAAATGTATGCGTGTTATGTATCACGTATCAATCAAAAAACATCTTATATAAGGAACTCTATAAAGGAAGATGTAGTGTGTTTCTTAAAGCTTATCCAAATCATTTTTTAGATAATATTATTAGTAATTATTCCCAAACGAGTAATAATTTTCTTCTCTCTCTTATCAAACAGAAGTTTTCATTAGACGATATCTATGTACTTTAAACTTAACTATTCTATATTTCTTTTTTTAAGAGGAAGATAATCGTAAATGGAAAGTTCATCATGGACGCAAGAACTTTGATAAAGGAGTCTGTTATACCAATATTATCGCGATAATCGTATCTAAAAGCAAAATTTTGTGGACTTTCGAAAGAAATGAATATCTGGATAAATTTGCTCTATGTAACTTCACGTGTTCTACGAAAGTTGATGAATCGCGTTAATTGGAGTAAATTTTCGATAATGTTGATGAAAGCAGAATTGATAAGGAGTACACTTCAACGAGTTTCTTGGACTTTGTATTCGATGACCGCAATTTCCAGTTAGCAAAGAAGAACTAAAGAATTTGTTCATCTTTCCACAGTGATTTATGAAATCAGTAATTTTGAATACTTTCATAGAATGCTCTGCTGTATATATAATAGTATGTTATAAAAAACATTTTAAAACTTCATTACCATCATAGCGACGTACGATTAATATGATAAAATTTGATGAATGAAATCGTTTGTCTCGCAATCACGTTGAAAATATGTGACCAAACAAAAAGCAGATAAATTAAAAGCGTATTGCTCAAGTTTTCAATTAAAATGTCCACCTACTGCAAAATTTCAATTAAAATGTCAGTCAACTGCAATTATATGACGATTATTACTATATCAGAATCTATTCTGTTAATTCGTAATTCACAAAAACGATTGCGCACAATAAGAAATGATTTCTTTATCGGAAGAGAACTTTGTACGAACGAGATGTAACATTCTCGTTCACTTTAACATTCGCGTTTCTTAGATTTTCCAGCATAGTTACAGTAAAATTATTGTAAAAGAATCCACGACAGCAGTCCTAAAGACACGTTATGTAAGTCGCATATGTGTTACGGCAAGCCGATTTCTTTTTATCTTCGCGAATGGTTAAATAATTTAGATGTGTAAAATTTGCATAAAACCATTATACATATATTATTTTAATGAAATGAATACATAAAAAAATTCTTCTTTAGAAAAAAGGGACAGAAAAACAGATGAATATTTAAAAAGTTTTTTCTTAATTATTTAAATATCTTGCAAATTTTGTCTTTTTTTCTGTCAATCAGGAATGTTATTCAATTATTTAAAAAAACCACACACACATATATTTATACGAACTAAAACATTAAAAAAATATTAAAAGAGCATTATAAAAAATATTAAAAAAGCATTTAAAAAATATTAAAAGAAGAATGCTACTGGTAATTGATTGATACTTCGTCACGAAAATTCCCACTTTTTTATTCATCAATCGTTTCTTACAAAGAAAAAAAAACTTCTAGGCCCTAAATCAATTATCAATAGCATTTTTGTTCAGATGTTTTTAAACTGTTTGGATAACTTAACATAAATATGCACATATTTATGTCAAAAATAAAATATGCATATATAGCATAAATATGCATTCGAAATAATATATGTATGTATCAGAAAATCTATGCAATCTCATCGTCAATTTGCATTTCTTATTAGCATTTTACTTTGCACAATTGTGGTCTATGACTTGTTCTTCTGCAAACAGATTCACGTGTTATCGGTAGCATGCGTATGGTGAACAACTTTATTAGAATCAGCAATAGATAAAATAGATATTAATAGAATTAATTAGAATTAGAATAAACAGATTATTAAAAAGTGTTTATGAAATAATCCAAGACCTTTGCACAATATTGTCGTATCTCGTTGAAAAAGATAATAACATACGTTATCTTCGATATCAATCCATTGGGTATATCTATAGATATACCCGTGTTAAATAGTTATTTTCAGGTTCAGAGGCGTTTCGTATTGTGTCAAATATGCTCTGGAAAAAAATTACATATACCTGAGTCTTGTTTTACACGGCGGATGAGTGAATAAAAAAAGAAATTGTGTGAAAATGTTTATATTGAGGAAAGTGAAAAAAAATTAATACCTTTCTTAAGAAATTAGCATTTTATTCATCATCGCTTTTTGTTATACAACGAATTCTTTTTCTTGGTACTAGAACAACATCACTATCATTGTATCACTAAAAGTCTCTTCTATATTATTATTTTGTGTAAATTTTTTTAATTGATACGTAAAGTCGCTCATGAAAGTGTTCGTTAAACTGTGTCGATATTTAAACTGTTACATTTTGGTAAAAAGAAGTCGCACGGCCATCAACCTCGGCTTATTTTAAAGCTTGAAGCCAATCTCGATTTTCAGAATGCATCACTCATTTTATGCTAAGATATTTTTGCAGTAGCGAATGAGAAAATGAAGACACTCTTCTTTTCAAAAATGCTATAAATTGTGACAGTATGTAAAAATGAATTGGAAAAATTTTCTTCATGATCTATTCTGGATGTGAATTAAAGTCATTCCTTTACACCGATCTCTCAAAAGCTGTACGATTTTTTTCTTTTTTTAATTTTTTATTGAACTTTGAATATCCGGCGAAAATCCTAATACTCATCTAAGGTTAATATTTAAAATTTAATAAGATAACGAAAGATAAAGAATTGTCGTACATCAAGTTTTAAGGAATCGTTGAAAAAGTGAAGCTTCGATCTTCGAGATTATAGTCGATCTAGCAATGACAATAATTGTTCAACATTTTTACATACTACAACGATTTACAGCATTTTCGAGAAAAAAAAGTTTTTTTCCCACATACTCAGAATAAAATGAACTTGCAACGAGCCCAGAGTTATTGTTCTGCGATTTTTTTTTTGCGACATTGTAACAGTTAAATGTCGACAATTTGTCAAACACTGGAAATTTAGTGTTCAAACTAAGCTTTCACGAGCGGCTTCGATTGCATTTTATTATCGTTTAGTAATTGTTTTCGTATCGTTTTACTGTATATAACTGCGAGAAAGAAAAAAAAAAAAAAGTGTAAAAAGGTATAACCGTGAATGAAATGTGTAAAAACAACTATGTAATTGTGGGCTAAATATGTAATGAAAGCCGTGTAAAACAAGTACGTATTATGTAAAATGAGAGTGTAATATACTAACAAGTTGAATGACTGAATATCCGGCAAGAGATTATTCACCGTTTTGTTAGCAATTAGTTCAGAAGATAACCATTCTTCTTATCGAATATCAGTCAAATAACATATTGATTGGTCAATATCTATGATCATAAATAATAATCAATAAATCCAAGATCAAACAATAAGTCATTGTTTGTGAATCATTTTCAACGACGTCTTTTTCTATATATTGGTCAACAAATTTCTTAATTTTTGTAAAAACAAAAAAACGAACGATACAATTTCATGCGAAAATTTCTCTTGAAATATTGAAACTTTTTCAATTGTCAGAAAGAATAAAAGGCATTGATTTGAATATACACCACAATCGAACATCTATTGAAATGTATTGTCTGTAAATTCATAAGTGCACATGCACACGATTATCGATATTACAATGAAATAGTAATTAATGTATGTATCAAATACACAATTCGTAACTGAAAAATTACGATTTTTTTCGTTTCACGATTTACGAGTTTTCCACTTTTTACTCAAAATGCATGTGCGCATATGAACCATGTTGCATATACAATAACCAGACATGATTAATATGTATTCGATTCGTATCGAAGGAAAATCAAGGAAGTCGACTTCCGAACTATCAGAAAAACAAACACGTACTTCAGAGTGGCGAGACAAATATTTCGACGGACGTCGTAACGTTCTTTCTTTCTTTAAAAGCTTCGAATCGATAGGAATTCGTTACGTATGATGTAGCATCATAGATCTGCCGAAGTACGTTTCAATTAATCTCAATTTGAAATTTTACCGCATGAAGAATGCTCTGTATATGAAAATATGTATATATGTATATATGAATAAAAGATCCTAAAAGATTGAAATGTAAATTTAAAGGTAATCAGAAAGAAAAATATTCCTCGAATTGGAACAAAAGGACATATTTATTAATAATAAAAATTAAAAATTACAATCAACTGCTTGGAAAAATATTATATCTATATATATAAAAAAATACTTATACAGTAATGATGTATGTACTTTTTGAATTGATCGAATGTATTTAGTACATAATCTTGCACGATTATGCAATAAAATTTTACAAGTATACAAAATTGATAAAATAATTTTTATAAATAGTTATCACAAAATGACGTTTGCTTTAACTGTCAGAGTAACACTGTAATCTTAGATAGTAATTTTAACCAACGTGTTTTACGTATCTCCTACGTATTTTGTTCGTATTAAAATAAATTTAAAAAAAATCAGAGATACATGTTAAATACATGTTAAATATTACTGCTACTTGTTGATTGTTAAGTAGATAATGCACACTTGGTTTAATAGTAATCGCGTATTTGATTGAGTGGCACTACTTTGAAATGGTAAATAAACAGGACTTCCAAATGTTTTAATATTTTACTGGACGGGGAAACTATCTGGTAACTGGAACAAATTTTTACTCAATTCAAAATGTCTACCTTTTAAATTGCAAATTTTCTATAATTGCAAAACTGCATTGTTACGTACAATGTACGTTTCATCCAAGAACTCGCGTTACGAATTCGATATCAAAAAAAACCATACAATCTTACTTGCTTTTTCTCAAAAGAAAAATCATACAATCTTCCCGTGTTTTCAATAATCCATAGACACACAATGTGTTTCTAACCAGATAACTATTGTGAATTGAGTTCCGTCGATTTCTTACCTCAAATAGCGTTAGCAGCAATTTTATGTATAATCTCCTAACGCCGAGCGACTTTCCAATAGATGCCAAGAAGATTATAGCAAGCAAAAACATAAGAAAAGGTGTTAAAAACAAAGAAAACGCTAAAGACATCACCATCCACAATGGCGCCATTTTGCTTACTGCCGAGCCGAGGAATATCCGAGAAGGCTAAACGATCCTTTATTTAAAACCTACATGTACAAATACTATAGAGAGGTAATAAGAGGTATTAAGAATTAAGAATTTCTGCCATCTGTGAACAATTACAAGAGCTAAGACATAACAGAAGACATGAAGAAAAGTTTCAAACATTGTATGTTTTACTCGTAAAAATTATAATGCATACTGAGATAAAGAAATATTTTAAACTATAAATAAATGTATAACTTCTAATATGTGTATATTGGTTGATTTATGATCAAATTCGAAAATAGCAAGAACGCAATAAATGTATCCTAATTCAATGTTCATCAAATCGTTATATTCATATCGTTTAATTCAAAATAGGCCACAAAATTTTTTGAAATTTATATCATACTTTTAATAATATTACATTATCCCTTGGAATAATGGTAAATTTCGTATTCACATTCAAAAATGCGCGGGAATATTTTACACGTTCGTTCAGTGATTTTAGTTCGAAGTTAACAGCATACTAACAAAATGTCTGCCCAAGCAGCACCTCGACCAGTGCAGGTGTCTCCTTTTATTAAAGTGAGTATATTTTGCTACAGTGGATTTTTAGGAAAGATTTACATTTGAATATATTATATTGCAAAGTATTATTTATTTGACAAATGCGTTATTAAGATTTTCTTTTGTCATCAAAAATTGCACTTCAGAACAGATGCCTTTAAAATGATTATATTACATAATTTTCATGAAGTTTAAAGAAATGTTCTTTCATTTTCTTTTTGAAATTATTAAAAAACATAGAAACAGCTGTATTTCATTTATTTTACTACAACGTGAAAATTAAAATTAAACTGAATTAGTACCTCATTTTTCAAATTTTCTAAATGTGAAATAAATATTAATTACATGTATTTTGTCAAATAAATGAAATAATATTATGAATTAAATATGAATATATTTGTAATCTGAATATATATGTATATAAACTAAAAAATACTTTACAAAATTATTATTGAATCTTGTGTGGTTTATTATTGAATCTTGTGTAGTTTTGTCGATGGAGTCTTCTGTTAACTGGGGTGGTTTATGGGATTTACCATCAAAGGAGGCTTAGTAAAAGAGAAAATGCATTGCGTGAACAAGATCTTAAAGAAAAACCTATTAGAGATGCAAAAATAGCAGCAGAGAAAAAGAGGCTTCAGGAAGGTAAGAAGAGATAAATTTAACTATAGATAAACCGATCACTTTAATGATGTAATAATACTATTGAATTATAATTTTCATTTTCTTGTTTCAGCTGAAATGAAAATATTGAATGACTTGTTCACACCACCAAAATAAAAAATATTGTTTTTAGTAGTATACATGTGTATTTTTTTAAGTTAATATTAAATTACCATTTGAAAATTTTCTATTATGTTAACTCTCCTTCAGATTTTCAATAGATATATTGTATATGTATATATTAAATAAAATAATTTATGATACACTAAATTGTAATTTTATGTTTTCAATGTCAAATTTTTTATTTAGTAGTATATGCACAAATTAAATTTTTTAGTTACTAATATATGCAAAATTAAGTATTAATTATTTTTAAATAGACAATATACATTATATTTTTTAATGTATTTTCTTAAAATTTTTTGTAAAGTAGAATTTTTTAAATAGAAAAAAAATTATCGCCCGAACAGGGACTCGAACCCTGGACCCTCAGATTAAAAGTCTGATGCTCTACCGACTGAGCTATCCGGGCAATTGAAGTAGAATTTTGTAAAATATATAGCTACTCTTATATTACAATAGAATTAATAAATTTTTTAAATGACAAATATATTTAAATAAAATTAGTAATGTTTAATACATACCTGTTTCATAATAATAATAATGTTATATTATAATTTCGAACAATAAAAATTTAATTATATGTAATAGATATATTTTAATAAAAACTACAATGATGCCATATATTATATTTTATTTTTTCCAATTTTTAATATTAGCTTACTAATAAAAATAATAGTTTTTTATATTTTTATATTTATTTTTAATATGTGAAGTGTAACACAATTATAAATTTTGAGATATAAAATATATTACATTTGTATAAAAATAAATATTAAAAACATTATAAAATATATTACAATTTTATTGTTTTAATATTGTTGGAATGAACATAACTTTTGTATTTAAAGATACAGAAACAAATATTCTTACATATATACAAATATATCTTCACATTTCTTTCTCAAATGCATTAATATGAAATAATATTAATGATTGAGGGGCACCATTGGATACAGTTTTTATAGTGGATATATATGTATATATATTGTCATGGAAGCATCTAAATGTTTCTGGTTTAACAAATATAGTTTTTTTATTTTCAAGCTGCAATTAATTCTGTTTTGTTGTTTTCAGTAATCAATTGTAAGAGACTCCCATTAACTGGACGTTCTTGATTTTGTGACCATTTCCAGAAGAGACTGTAAGATAAGATACTATTAGTAAGGAAACAAATATAAAAATATAAAATAAGAGGAAAGAAAGGTTTTATTTACTCTGCAACAAATTCAAGTGGAGTCCATTTGGATGTATCAGCTTTTGGCATCCATTTTCTATTCATAGGTGTGTCTAAAGTAATAGGCAAAATAGAAGCAACTAAAGAATCTTTTGGAAGACCACTGTCTTTAGCTGCTAAAGATTTAGTAAGTTGATGAACAGCAGCTTTAGCCATTCCATATCCTATCATTCCTGGTGTTTCTGCTAAAGCTGCTTTAGCACCAGTTAATGATAAAAATCCTCCTTCTTTCAAGTGTTGAGCAGCAATACTAGCAGCAATAGTTGAACTCCATACACTTTGCTTCCACATAAGATCACTGTTCTTTACAAATTCCTTACTACTTGCATTTCCACCAGCCCATCCACCAGCAACACAAATAATTGCATCTATTTTATTTCCTTTTAAGATATTTGTAACTTGTTGCAATATATCAGCTTCCTAAGTAAATTCCCAATAAATAAAATTAATCACATAAACATATGTTCTTATTTAATTAGATATAATAACTTAAAAAATTACCTGTTCTTGCCAGTTGCTATCTGCTTTTACAATCACATTTGCATCAGCTTGGTCATTTACCTTCATATCAATACATCCAACCCACTGTGATTATAAAATTTATAGAATTTTATATAAATTACAATATAATTACAATATAATCATTTCAGAAAATATAATTTGTTTAGAAATTATATATATATATGTGCAATTACAAACATATTAATATTACAAAATTAACAAAATGTAATTTTCTTAAGTTTATTTAACAAACATATACATATATATTTGTAAGGTTCTGTACATGAAAGGTTCTGATTCATTAACTACGACCTTGATGTATTTTTCCTGCATACTTAAGATTCTTAAATAGAATTAGATTTGTAATTCTGTATCCTTTTTGAAACTATTTCTTTTATAGGGAAAGTATATTATTACATTTATACGAAATTTATTTCAAAATATTTGGATTTCATAATATATTTCGTTCTTTACTAAATTTCTTAATATTCAAAACAATGCGCGAAAAATTACTTTGCCGTTTGAATGTGTAAACTAGTCGGATATTTTATAAAATCATTGTATGTATAAATTTGTATCTTCTGAATAAAGATATATAAAATAATTTATACTTATAGAATATATTGATATATGTTTTAAACGTGAATGCGAAGAGAAAGATGAGATTTCGTCATTCATAAGTTTTTGCCTAACAGTTGTTTACAGTTAATTTTTAATAAACGCTCAGACTGAATATATTACCAATGAATAAATGATCAGTAGTTTGTCTTTTATCAAATGAATCTAATTAATAACATTTGCATACGTATTACTTTTAAAAAACACCAATAAAAAATTAAAAATTTTATGAGACTAGCCAATTTCATTGGTAGCAAAGTTGACATTTAAATCTTTTTACATATCACAGATATTTATTGTTATTATTATTACTTACCCAGTTTCTCGACTTGAATTTTGAGACACAAGTCGAACCTAAAGCACCTTTGCCACCATATACAAAAACGCGTCCAACTATTGTATCCATTGTTCAATAAAAGAAACAACTTCACGAAATATGTATGTTTCGGGGATTGCGATTATATACGGAAGAGTACGAAGTTGTACGAGAATCTTTCGGGAAAGTTCGTAAAAGGAGTGCTAGATTGCCAGTTTTCGGCACAAACTATAAAAATAGATTGTCAACTGAGTAATTGATCTTGCTCCGAAGTATTTTAAATAACTTTAAATAGAGTACAGGCGCAAATCTTTAGTTTGCACATAACAATTGTTATGAAGTGAATTGAAATAATTTATAATTTGATATAAGGCTATATAAATTATCGTATATACGCTCTAGTCGATACCAATAACATTCTGTAAAGAATAGGAGAATTCTCAAATATAATATATTTAATCAATTCACTTTTTGCATATATGCTTTTTATTTTGCCATGTTATGTTCACAAGAGAGTTTATTGAAGAAATAATCAAATGAAATTGATCTGCTTTGTAAAAAATAAAGTGATCCAGTTTGCGATATTTGAATTTCCCTCGTGTGTTTGTTAGAAATGTGGCAACGTTGCAGTGACAGAGACCCTGCCCGCAACGTTCTCCGGGAGCGTAGGTCTAGTGTGACGTCACGGTAGCCTAGTTGGGTTAGGTTTTACGCTGGAAATTCTAACGAAAAATTTTTTGTTTGACGATTAATGTTTTCCCCATTGTATCTGCCGCATTGAGCGACGTGAAGAGCTAACGCAGTGGCGAGCAGTAATCGTATTTCGTAAACTGTTCGATCGCGAGACTTCGCGCTATCGGCGTATATGAGATTTTAAACGGAAAATGAATCGACATGACGGTACGTACGTGTGCGCTGTTTCTGACTAGCAAGTCAGCCTTCACTTCACATGCGAAATTTGGTTTATGTTGATGGCAAAATTTTTCAATCATGGGGTATTTGGGAGTATGCATAAAAAATTTGTGTAGACTCATCGTCGAGATTACGAAATCGAGAATGCGTGAGATTTTTCCTGAGATATTTCTTGTAAGCTCTGTATCAAAGGGTCTAATGTCAGAGGCCAGATGGCAGCACTTATAAAAAATTTACTCCAATTTCTTTGGGTTTATAATGCTCTTTGATGATTGTACTAAATCTTTTTGCAATGTCATCATCTTTTCCCATTTTAATTATGTGAAATGAACAAAACGCAGGAGGAACATTTCCTATTCGTATCTCAAGATGCACTCTGCCAAATAATTTCTTTGAAATTGCTTTTCTTGTTCAATTCCCTTCTCTTTCTTGCAATGTTAAATCTGTAAAACATATTGAAACATGTTTCTCTTATCCTATATCTTTAAATTAGTCATTTTTCTCACTTTTCCTATCTTTTGTATTTGTATTTTTAAATAATGAATTGTTTATTGTATTCTAGTATCATATCTAGTATTATATTAACATCACACAATATAATTGCACTCAGTTTTTAAGTTGAATTGTCATTTTATTATAAAGTAAAAAGTGGTCATTGTTCAGTACGTAAATAAATTTAGCACATATACTCTTTCTTATTTACTTAACGCATGTTACATAATTGAAACTAGAAATATTGTATTTCAAAGCTTGAAAATGTTATTGTCGACTATTAATACATATATATATCTTAATTTTTATATCATTAAAATAAAAGAGAAATTACATTTAGTTTATTGTATCTTTTAAATTATGTATGTATATGTGTGTGTATGTATGTATGTATGTATGTATGTATGTATGTATGTATGTATGTATGTATGTATGTATGTATGATTTGTAATATTTAATAATAAGAGATAAATAGGAAAATGCATTAAATAAAAAAAAGATGTATTTTTTATTATATTCATAAAGAATATTTTTTACATAGCAAAAGCAGATTTAAAAATGCACATAATTATAAAAAAATTATATATGAATCATGTGTATATAGCATTATTTCAATATAATTTTATTATTTTATTTATTTATGGTTATGTACGGCTTCAGTATTGAATTTAATAAATTATTTAGTTACTTAAATTAGGTTTTTTTACTTTAAAAACTATATATATTTGAAACAGATTTAAGTAATCTACATCTTTAATAGATGTAGTACAAGGTTATTATATGTATATGTAGATATCAAATATATATATAAATTGTATTTTTTCTTTAAAGTTCCTTGTATGAATGTTTTTTTCTTCACATGTTATGTATTTGATACTAATAATAAATCTAATTTTGAAAATACTACTTATATATGTATATATAATAATTATTTATTTTAGGGGTAAGTTGTGACGCCTGCTTAAAGGGGAATTTTCGGGGTCGTAGATATAAGTGCCTCGTATGCTACGATTATGATTTGTGTGCCAACTGTTATGACGGAGGTGCCAGTACAACACGTCACCACAGTGATCATCCTATGCAGTGTATACTTACTAGATCTGAGTTTGGTAAGTTAATTATTAAATTCTATGGAAAATTATTGTTTTGAATATAATATAATAACTATAGAAATTAATTTTTTAATTTAATATTTTCTAGAATTATATTATGGTGGAGAAGCAGTAAGTGTAGAACAACCACAATCTTTAACTTGTCCTTACTGTACAAGAATGGGTTTCACTGAGGCTACACTACAAGAACATGTTGCTGCAGATCATTCAGACACTTCTTTTGAAGTTGTATGTATACTATAATATATATAAGTATTTATCATACATTATCTTTTGTATCAGATAAAGATTTGTAAATTGCAAATTTTGTTATAGGTTTGCCCAGTATGTGCATCTGTCCCAGGAGGAGATCCTAATAATGTGACTGATGATTTTGCGGGTCATTTAAGTTTGGAGCATCGTAGCGGGCCAAGAGATTTGATCTCTTTTCTAGATGAACCAACTTCAAGTCGATATACTGGTAGACGGATAACACATGCTACTAGAGTTGTTGGTGGATCACGGCCTCGCAGGTATGTATATTTAATATCTGCTTTAGATTAAATAATTGTAAAAAAATTTTATAATATTCATTATAATATTGTAAGTATTATATTCATGAAAGCTTAGAAACTATTTTTTACTAAAAGTAAATATGATTTGTGTTTAAGTACTAATTTATTAATCTATCTATTAATTTATTTTTTAAAAATTCTATTAATATTGATTATCACGAATTGCATTGATATATCAATTTTGGAATATGTTTGATTGCATGTATTTTGTTAAGCATCATTTTTCATTTGTTCTATAACATTAACATTATTGTTTATCAATCATTATCATTATTTCTTTATTGAAATACAGTATAATAGTTTTGATAGCATATTATGCACAAAAGATGCACAAAGATTTTATTTTCAAAGTGGCTAAAAAGAACGCTAAACAGGATTTCAGCTTCAGTTCATCATCATTTCATCTTAGATAATGTTCATTGGCGTGTCATTGGACCTGCAGGTCCAATATGCATTTCAGTTCGTCTGGAGGATTGAGTCCGAGTAGTCGAGAAGGTATAGATCCAATTACAGAGTTACTTTCTCAATTATCCGGTGTTCGTAGAAGTGGTGGAGGAACTGGTCAGAGTTCATCAGCACCATCGCAATTACAACAATTGCAAATGCAGCTACAGCTGGAGCGACAACAAGTTAGAGTATGTATAATTTAATAATGATACAAAAAATTTCTAACTCGGAAGATCTGAAATTATAATAAATAAAAGTGGATTAGAATTTGTACTTTTTAAATATAGATATAAATATAAATGTTATTGAATTATAAATACATGATACAATAGAAGTATCTTTTCAGGCTGCTAGACAACAATTGGAACGATTACCTAGGAGACAGACTCAGGTTCTTGGCTCTGCAAGTTGTGGAGGAATTATTAGTGGAAGTGGTCATTCTACTACTATGACCAGTGTGGTAGCAAATAGTACGATTAGTAATAATAATACAACTAATGTGGCGAACCCGTCCGGCGTATCATCTACTAGTTCACAGAACTATATGTTTTTATTGCCAAAGTATGTGTTATGTATTAGTATTTGTTCATATAATAACCTATCTAAAAGTGTTCTATCTAACGTATCTAAAATATGATTAAGATATTGACATTTCTTATGTGCTGATTTTTAAGTATTTTTATAAATACATTTTTGCGTGACACACACATGCACGCATACAGTCTTTTGTTTAAAACATGCAAAACTGCATGTCATGATCAGTGCGTAGGATGCCAAAAGTTATATTTTAAGATGGTTCCTTGAAACGAATATAGTTTTTCAAAGGACAGTAACCTTGTGTTTATATATATATTTTTTTAGAGTGTTATATTTATAATTAATAACACGTGTGCACTTCTCGTTTTATAGATGTATTACCAGTTCTCTCTCCGACTCACAATTGCAAAATATTGAACGTGAAAGTGCAAATAGAAGTCTCTTTACGTGCGAACTTATTCTTGGAACACTTTCTAAAACATTGCCGGAGTTAACACAGGAACAATCTGTAACGCAAACACCAGTATCAAGTGCAACTACTGCTACAAGCAGTCCCGAAACACCAAATGCTAACTCTTCCACAGTTTCTACGAAGAAATTAAATGTAACTCAAGAGGCAAAAAGGGATCAAACAATGAATAAACATGTAACGCAAACATCTACGCAACAATCACATACTGTTCAAACTACTACTGCTGGGAGTGTGGGGACGGGTCTTCAGAGTCAAGGATTGCCCCCAAATTCTAATAACCTCGCGTTACAAAATACACCTATGGTTCAAACACTGATGCACAGCGTATTACCTGAGTCACTGGTAAGTATATGAAAAATTTAACTTTGAAATTTGAGAAATTTTAACTTTTTTATTAGAGAATTGTAACGAATATAATTTAGTATCTGTAATTTCGTTATACAGGTATTGCAGGAACCACTGTCATTACCATATAGTAGAACTATCAGAGAACCGATAGTAACCCCAGCACCAGCGTACCTTAGAGGTGGGGTCGGTCCAGTTGGTGTAACAGGTCCTTCACGTAGGAAGCCAGTTAGGGCTGTAGATGGCAGAAACCAATCTACGGAACCACCGCCTCCACACTAACCCTTCCTTAGCCCGTACCCACCCACCCTGATTCTTCACAGGACCCTCTAGCACTAGTCCTAGCACTGTTTAGAACACCTCATCATTATTGTTATTATTATAATATTATATATTAATAATTATTCAAATGCCCTCCTCCTCACCCTCCCTATCTTATCACTTTTCAAAACTCTAATCTCGCCATCTTTTGTCGTTATGTGACATGGAACAAGGGCAAGGGCTGATTCGCCGACACATGCAAATAATGTAAATAACTCACTTCTTGCAGTCATATACACTCCTAGTACACACTCCTCAGCGAGTCTTGCCACGTTCTACATCGATATTATATCCATTTATAATAACTTGATCGAGGATAGAGACGGGCAGGTAAAAATAATAACAATATAATTACATTAGTGTTTTTTTGTTTGGTGGTTATATGGGTTTGTTAGAACAGAATTAGATTGATAAAATACTCAGTTTTGTTTAACATGTAAAATCTCGGAGATGTAGAAACTTTAACAATTCATAAGACGTACTGCCCGTCATACGCACCAGTTTAATTGTGTTTAATTCAAACTGGTTAAATTTTTTTGGTCGTCGTATGTTTGATATATATATATTTTTTTTTTAAATTAGTCTAATGTTATGTATATCTAAAATACAAATATGTTTTATGGGAAAAGGTTTATAAATCTATCTAGGCTGGTCCGTTTACATTTGAAAAATCTTAATCATCAGACAAATATTTTAAAGCGAACACTAGTAACTTTTAATCTACATGTTTTATAAAAAAAATTATAGAAGCGCATGTGTATTAACGTTTTGTTAGAAAAACATAAATTTTAAATAGACAATTATGTAAAATTTGAATCACTTCAGAAAGTTAAATCAGAACCAATGATTCTGGATATTAAATTAGCGGACCATCCCTTAATACGTTATTGTTTATTGCTCAGAATTTAGTATTTTAAAATGGAGGGATTAAACTGGATGCTACATGCTAATCAAACAAATCTAAATTATTTTTTTTTTATCAAAATTAATCGTAATTTACTTAACTTATTTGTTAGAAACTTAATTTTTGTTCCCGTTTCGAATTTTGCATACGTTGCGTCAGCATATTTTAAAAATATTTTCCCTTGAAAAAATCCTTTTTTTTTAAATCATTCATTTCTGTACACATTTCTGTAATCACTCCATTTTACAATGTGAAATGAGATAATATTTGTATGTGTGTTTTGTTTTTTTTTTCTCGATAATAGAAGCTTTATTGATTTGAAATATGTAAGAATTATACAATGTATTGAAGAAAAAATTAGGAATGTTTGTATTACATTTCTTCGAATTTGAATTGAAGTTTACAACATAGTTATTGTTTGTTTTACACAAAAAGTATCTAAAACAATGCATATAGTACATGCGTATGACGCACGCGAATGCATTCAAAACTTGTGAAAATTCTACTAAAAGTAGAATTTGAAGATGCTCTTATAAACGAGCAACAGTTATTTTTCAATTGTTTTTAAATCCTATTTCTCTTTCTTTAATTTTTGCCAAGATTTTCTTGTTAATCAATTTATGTATATTTCATATTGTAATTAATTTCCCCTTGTATTATTTTCTGATATCTTATGTTAATTAATTGTGGGTGTATCTGCAAGATGTGGATGAAAAGGAAGTAAAATTATACATATACATATATACATATAAACTTGTAAAAAGTTATATAAAATATGTAGCGTGTGATTTCATTCTTTTGTCTTGTGCTCTCGCGTGTTCTGGCATTCTCAGTGATAAATTTGAGATCGAATTACTTATAACGTTACAAAATAACCAAAGGTATTGAAAAGACCATACATTTTGTTCTTTTTATTTTCCTGGATCTTTCAGTTTCAATTATAAATCAATATCTTTTTTTAAATATATATATATATCTGCTTCATGCACCTGTTTTTCGAATACTTCTAATAATTTCTCACATTTCCCTGTGATGTCTGAATTGGAAATAAAATATATAAAATAGTAAAGCAACGTTGTAAAAAAAAAAAAAAAAAAAAAAAAATGAAAAGTATACTAATTGCCTTAACGTGAAATGCCTGAGAAGGAAAAAGTTTAGCCTTTTGTGGAATGCGTGGTTAATCAAAAGAATCCTTTGCACGTGATATATTTCAAATAAAAGTGATGGTGTATACTTATCTAAACTGAATAAATATGTGCATATCCAAAAAAAAAAAAACCGTAAAATGCAGATATTAAGTGAGAAATAATGAACATTGCATATATTAATGTGCACATCTCGATGACTGATAAGCTAGTTATTTTTCAAATTTTACACGAATTCATAAGCGTATAATCTCAGAACGAAGCAAGACTCCAAGCACGTTTAATACAAGAACCACAATTACATTAATTAAAAGGAAGAAAAGAAAGAAACAAATAACATGATTTGCTATGTATTAAATAACTTCATATAAAGTCGAAAATTATAACTGCGTGTTTTTTTTTTCTTCTATTCTTGACATTTGAGAACTTATGTTCCCCTTGTTTCCACGTCACTTCGGGATTGTAAAATTTTTTGAATTTTTACACGTCTATTTTACTATTAATATTATTTTATTATGTTTATTGTCATTATGTACTATATGATATAACAGGAAAAGTAATTCCTATACATCTCTCGTTGTCAGAAGAAAAGTTTTGAGGACAATGTAACGCCTGTTCCAACAGTTGAACGCTGTATTAATATCGTTATATTTTTATTGTTAGGATTTTTTTCATGTTTCATTCTAAAATTTCAGCATAATCTTAACAAACAGCTTTTTACATTATATATAAATATATATATATATATATATATATATATATATATATATATATATATATATATACACATATATATATTTATTTGTAAGAACAAAAAGATACCTCGGAGTATCGTCGTGGTTATCACGTTCCTTTTATTTTTTTCTTTTTTCCTTTGAGTAACACACATTAATTGTGTAATTAATTTTTTTTATTAGTAGATATGTGGAAAGAGCGGAAGAAAATTCAGATAATTTATTGTAGAAAATTTTGAAATTGAACATCTTTGAAAAGAAATTTTGATGGTTTCTAAAGATTCTCGACGATTCTCCTGGATATCCTTTTTAGGAAAAAACAAAATAAAATTATTAAAAAATTATTCTTGTGAATGAAGTAACGAGCAGAAAAAAAAAATATTCTTGGGTGGCTTAAACGGTTGTTTTTATCACGTCCTTCATCTATGTCTCGTCGAATATGAAGAAAGAGAAATTTTCTGTGAATTTTCATCGAAACCTTTACGCCCGACGAATTAACAAAAAAGAAAAGAAAGAAAGAGAAAAAGAAAGAAGTAGAGGATGAGAAGATTTTGTCAAAATAGATTTCTTGTTCAGTCAAAACGTAGTCAGTGTCTACAGCGAATTTCATGAAAATTAGAAATTAATAATGGCATTCAAACTCGTTACATTTTTTTGGAGTAAAAGAATAGAAGAAGAAAGACAGAAAAATATGATGGAAGTATGTAAAACGCGTACGACATTTTCCCCTTTTCTATTCAATGAAGAGATTTTCCTTCTAACGAATTTGAAATTTCAATTTATATTCAACTATATTTTACGTATCATTGCCTATCGTATAGATATATTATATACATAATTATATATAAATATACATATATATGTATGCACACACATACATTTACGTAAATGTGTGTATACATCTACGCACGTGTACAATAACGACTAGTTGCGTTTGTGCGTAGTTCTGTGTTGTTTTAGTTGTAATCAATCATACGCATCAAGACACTAAAAGTTATCTAGGCGGCTAAACATAGAAAAGAAATTGCTACAAGCCGAAGACGAAAGTGATTGGAAACGCGAACATACGCAACTTATCGTAGCGGGAAAAAATTAAAAAAAAAATTTAAATTTAATTAAAAATCTCAATAATTTATTGTATTACGCTCTTATTGCGATACTGTTTCTTATCGTTATAATCGATTATTAGTGATTAATAATAATAGGGCTTATATGTAGCTAGTGGCCCAATAACGTGGGAAGGAGTCTGACTGTATATATATATATATATACATATATATACATATATATATATTATTAATATGATAATTTTAACGAAGGGGATGTGTCGTTGACATTAATAACGTTGTATTATTAACGACGCGCGAATCAATTAAAAATCACTCTCAGAAAACTGTACTTCGCTGCTCTAAGAAGCTATCTGATAAAAAAAAAAATGGAAAAAGGTAACAAAAAAAAAAAAAAAAAAAAAGGAATAATAAAAAGAAATAATAGTAAACGTGAGAAAGGAAACTTTCTTTTCTTTTTTATTAAAAATATTCATTACACTATATTTTCCACAGTATTTTTGTACTGTGATATAATACGCGGATATGCACGATCAAGAACATTGCAGCGTTGCCTTCCTCACGTTAGGGTTTTCTTTTCCTTGAAAAAATACTGCAGTAATTATTGTTCAATGAAAAGAATACGATATGGATAGAACAAAAAAAAAAAAAAATAGACAATGTTTTTAATGTCGAATAAACTCAAATCAGAACTAGTTATAAGGTAACTTTGAAATTCCAGTCTGCCATAGGTGAATACGATTAATAACTGCGCATAAATCTTAATTCGTAACTGATTTGATCAAAAAGAAGAAAATAATTGTGTCATGCTTTAAGGCTTTCGTCTTGACCCAAAGCAAAGATTCGAGTAAGAAAAAAAGTTCGAGCATGTTATTTTCTTTGAAACGTTTCTATTACAATATCTCAAGATCGATCGGTATTTTTCATGAAACTTTGACGGGTTTTACTTGTAATCCTAGGCAAAGGAGGAAGTGAGTGGTGTACGGAGGAGAGCATGATAGAAAAAAATTTGTAGGAACTAGCAAAGCGCATATATATGTATGTAACACTAGAAAGAAGAGTGGGTTAAAAACAGTGTAGCGGCTTTTGTGGCCCATCTGAACGATTTTTCTCTTGCACATTATTTTGTTTCACGTGGGGTGAAGGTGGTGTACGGGATAGAAGGGTAGAATCAAAAAAGAAAGTTGATGTAACGAAGCCTCCTACGCAAAGTCCTTTCTAGTTCGTCGGGCAAACGGAGGTAGTGTAAGAATGAACGAGAGAAAAAAATTGTATGTATACATACGCGTGCATGTGTGTGCCTGTACGAGAAGAACGGAAAGAGAGAAAATACGTTTTATCTTTTTCTTTCTTTTTTTCTTTTTTCTTTTTTCGTTAAAATAATTTTTACTTCACGAATTTCTCAATTAAAGGAAAAAAAAAAAAAGAAAAGAAAAACTAGACGTCGATTGTTTTAAAAATAGACATCCACAACCAGGCTGAAGTGAAGTAGAAAAAAAAAAGGGAAGCATAGAAACTACGTCTTCGAACACAGACACTGACCTGCGTTGCAATTAGTATTATTGCAAACTTACCGGAGTTATGAACTTACTGGCACGGCCGCATTAAGCGTGATCCACTGCCTAAGCTAAAGAAATTAATAAATCATGATAAGCATTCATCATGGCTTTATGTATGTATGCTTCAAGACAATGTTCACTCTTCGTTGCGAAAAACAGCAGATTTTCATGCGTGTATCTTCAAAGGACAAAAAATGAAAATAAATGTCCTAGTTGTATTACGCAAGGCTGATCTCTTTGTGATCGGTATAGTATTAGGTACTGCACAGTCGTTGTGCATTTCACAAGATTACCTTAATTCGGCCTTGCTCGTCGATACATGCAGTCAAGGAGCATCCATTTTGTCGAGAAAATCTAGAATCTTTGGTTCTTTTGATTTCGACAAAATTGCTGCCGACGGTGTCGTGTATCAACGTACTTGAATTTTTGCTAAACAATTTTTTCCTAAGCCTGCTAGAATACATACATAATGAAATTACAGCGCGAGGATTGTTCGCGGATTTTTACCTGATTTTTAAAAAAAAATAAAGAAATCGACCGATACACACAAAAAATGTACGGGCGTAATGAACGAAAGTGAAAAAGATGAGAGAGAGAGAGAGAGAGAGAAAGAGCGAACGAGAGAAATTATGATGATAAAACAGAAATATTGTGCGTGACACGTTAAACTCGAAAGTGTTGACGAGTATTACTATTCAAGTAATAATAGAGAATTAAAGTGAAATCTTATACATAATAATTATTAAAATGTAAATTGTGTTTGGTTGTATTTGTGTTATTCGCCTCTGATGCTAAATATAATGGAAATTCGATTAAATTGCATCGTTTATGTTCTTCCTGCGTAATGAAAAATTAATGTACTTCTCTCGATTGTTGTATAACGGAATTTAAATTTTCGCGCCAAATTTGCGGACAGTGTGATTCGATCGTTTCAGCAGTCGTAACCGTAGAATGATTTTGAAAATATGTACATACTAGGTCTGTTTAGCAATACAGTATGCGCGCATGGTGCTTGACAAAAGTTTACGGGTTCGCGCGTTTGCAAATATTCTCAGCTTTTCAAGAATCTTGCCAAAAATGGGACCTCTCGAGAGTGCGAAGAAAGTTGCTGCTTACAAAGCAGTTGATGAATTTGTGAAGGTAATTTCAAAATTGAAAGAATTGCACTGTAATTGCAGGTTATATAAATTCACCGGTATTTCATTGTTTGAATTTTGCGCACTATTGTTTCACAGAATAACAGTGTTATTGGAATTGGTAGTGGCTCTACTATAATATACGCTGTTCACAGGCTTGGTAATAACGTTATCTTTTACTTAATTTTAATTATTCATAATATAATACTCTTATGCTAACACTAACATCTATAGTTAATTAACACTATAGTTAATTAACAGTATAGTTAATTTTTTCATAAAAACGTCATACCGTACCTTTGACCCCATCAGGAGATAAGATTGTACTTGATTTAAATATAATTACAAGTATATTTTAATTCAAAAATTGAAACTTTTATTACTACATAGAAATTTTACTAACATAATAAACAAGAATATTGATATCGTTTTATATAGAAATTAATGTTTGGAAAATTTGTATTTTTCAGTTGAACGTGTAAAGGAAGAAAATCTTAATGTTGTTTGCATTCCTACTTCATTTCAAGCTCGTCAGCTAATATTGAATAATCATCTTATACTGGGTGATTTGGAGACGTATCCTAAAGTAACAAATAATGTTTTATCTATGTTATTTATAAAAATATTTAAATATTTTTACATTATTATTTAAATATTAACAGTTAGATTGTGCAATTGATGGAGCAGATGAAGTCGATTCTGACATGAATCTCATTAAAGGTGGAGGAGGTTGTCTACTTCAAGAAAAGATTGTTGCATCCTGTGCTAATCAATTTGTTATAATAGCCGATTATACGTAAGTGTTGCAAATGAAATGTGTTTGATGTATATGTTTACTTTTATTTACAATATTTAATGATTTTAGGAAGAATTCTCAACAACTTGGTGAACAGTACAAAAAAGGTATTCCTATTGAAGTAATTCCTATGGCATATACTGCCATTCAAAAAAGAATTGAAGATAATTATGGTGGACTTGTACAAGTTAGAATGGCTTTGGCTAAAGCTGTAAATATTTCCTTAATAAACTCTTTTCTATGTCGATAAATATGTATTATACAAATTGTATTATTCATCTTCTTTTAGGGTCCAGTTATAACAGATAATGGTAATTTCATCCTTGATTGGCACTTTCCACCAAGTTTGAGCAATTGGAATAAAATTAACACAGAGATCTCAATGATGCCTGGAGTTGTCGAAACAGGACTTTTTATAAAAATGGCCAAAAAAGTGTTTTTTGGAATGCCCGATGGTAGTGTTAAAGAACAGTCCTAAAATATAATTTAAATATTAGGTTACATGTTTTATAATATTGGTACTATTGACTTAAAGTTTGGACAAAAGGGTTTAAAAAATCCTAGTTTTTCTTATGTGAAATGATAATACATTTTCATACTTGCCATTGATTCACATTTTCATTATAGTCATATATCTTTATGTCATTTTTTCTACAAGTGAATCTTAAAAGAGATTGTGTTCTACAGACTGAGATACTTTTATTTACTTATATTTTAATTTGTGGAAAAACGGAACATTTAAAATACTTAATAAGTACTGACAATGAGTTTTCCGTTTTTATGATCTTTATTTTACATGTGTTATGAATGGTGCTCAAATAATTATATATGTTATTTGTATAATAGTCATTTAATGTAAAATCAAAAGTTAAAGAGATATAAAAATGGAAATTTTTATTTAATATGGTATTTTATTCCTATTTTACAATTCATTATTCCTACATAAAAATTACAAAAATAATTGCTACTACGAATTTATTTTTATTTATTTTTTTGGTTTCGAAATATTTTATGAAGAAGTTTTGATGGAATATTTGTGTATAGATAAAATAAAAATTGTAAAAAATATAGTCGCCCGAACAGGGACTCGAACCCTGGACCCTCAGATTAAAAGTCTGATGCTCTACCGACTGAGCTATCCAGGCACTTGAGAGTTGATCGTTTGTAATCTTTTGATACTGAAATTTACAGTAAAAATTTTTATTCATATATTTCTTAATTATTTTAATTAATTAAATAATGCACCATATATGTAAAAAATTAATTGTTTTATTTTATTTATTTTAGTATAAAATATCATATATAGATTCAATGATTCTTTTTATTAATATTTATTTATTTTTATTCAATCTTAATAAATATATTTCAGCATAAATGTTTTTAACAAAAAGAATATAATGTTTGCTCAAGTAATATTCATACAACGTATAGAGAGTCGTGTGTAAATACGTACCTCTTTATAAACTCTTTCTATTTATAAGCTTTGAACTTGTGATTTACAATATTAAATTGATTATGATCAAACATATATATATGACAATATTAAAATAACGTAGATTTTAAGAGAAAAGCAGAATCTAAATAAAAGTTGGAAAAAAGGTCAAATGTGTTTTGAAGGGAAGAGATATGAAAATTTAATATCAAATTTTATTTATAGATTTTGTTGGACATGTTGATATTATAATAAAAGTAAACAATTCACACACATAACGTGATACATTCACGTATGAATTGTTTAATATTTTTTTCTAAATTTCTAAATTTTTCTATATCCAATAGCGATTTGCGTTCGACGTACAATAAACTAAACAATTGAAATAAAAAAGCTTAAAAATTTGAAATGAAAGAAAGCGAATAAGGGGCAGTTGCTGAGGGTTGAACAACTTTAATGTAACTCAGCGGGTTCTGATGTGCGAACGTTGTAAGTACTTAACCCCGGCTGCTTTTCTTTGATTTACACGAAGTTTCTTATCGGTTAGCTTTTCATAAGCTGCTTCTCACCGTGATTGTTTTATTATGTTTCGATCTTCCGTTTTCAGCCTTTGCATATTTATCAAATACAGTTTGTTCCTTCTTTCGGTGGATATAAGTGGGAGAACGCCACAGGGGATAAAATCATTGAAACCTTTCACAGCTGTTTTCTGGGAACTTACGTTTATTTATACTTATGTTTGTTGTACAGGAAAGAAGTTACTTAATATTAAAGTTAAATACGAAAGAAATAGTTTATTTATTATATTTTGCAAAATATTTGAATGTCTCAGAAGGTTTTGTTTTAGTATATCGCATTGCATATGTATACAATGTCTTACGAAAGCATTTTTTAAATTTCATATAACACACACGATACATACATAAAAACATGAAAACGCGTGAATATTCAAATACTTTCGTAAACCACTATGTATACGATCTTCGTATACGTTATATTGTGCAAATACTTTAATCTTTTACGCATCAGTAGTTATGACGATCGAAGTGCATGATATGAATAAGACGCATGCAAATGCATAATTTCTATGTTTCGTGCACCGTTCGTACTGTGGAATATATCTGAGACTAACCACAATTTTGCGTAAAGAACGTTAAATGGACCGTTCCGTGGACCATTATGAACGGTCATGCGTTCCTCTGGCGCATGTATTTACGTTCTCGAGCGCCACCGAAGGAGGGGGTGGTATTTGAAGAGCTGAAGCGCGATTTCATCCCTCATACGCAGACTTGGCTCCTTCTATGAGTAACAAAGATTTTATCAAGAGACGTATCAAAAGACCATAGGAAGTTCATCAACTAACAAAGTGTAGCATCGTGCTTCTACAAGGATATTTTCTTAAACTAACGACCTTTAGGCTCTAAAAATTCGACATGAAGGTAACTCTTTTAACGTATCTCTATTTTTTAATTAACTGATACTTTGAAACATTTTTTCTTTTTGTGGTTCACTTTAGTTTCCTTTTGTTCAAATGCAATTTTGTGTAAGACAGTTTTATTAATATTACGTACAACGTGTCACAATATATTACTTCTCTATTAAAAATTGCACTTGATAAGGTTTTGTGCGCTTGAACTCTGTAGAAATATTCTCCACGCATGTATTGTAATCATTTTATGTGTACATGAATTATTATATATTATTATATTTATATTAATATTATTGTAACGATAAAAAGTTTCTAATTATTAATTGATAGCATCCTAAAAGATCGCGGCATTTTTTCTAATTTGCTTTTTCGATTAACTGTGTAATTGCATTCGATGTTGCCTGTTATGATCATCAACAGAGAAACTTTAACAAAGATTAAAATTGAATAACGAACGTTTTACCTAGCTGCGAATATTAAATATAATAGTACTTGCAATTATTTTTAATTACATTATCAAACTGATGCAGTCTATCTCATCGGTATATTATGTTGTAAACAAAGTTGAGAGCTTTTTATTTGCATGCACGATGAACGTACCGCTCGAAGGAACGATCGACCGGCTAATATCGTTCGACATTAATTAACCGCAGTTACAAACCTGATTAAAGTCATAAGCAGATTATAACAGTTAACATGTTTGAAAGGTTCACGTGCGATACTTATATAATCAACATGCTTATTGGTAATTACGCGTGGCCCCTATACATAATTATTGAGATTCTCGTTCTGGATATTAACAGTTTTCATTACGGGTTCACTAACGATCGCTGTTATGAAGTGTTCCACGAGTAACAGCTTTTATGTCATTTGAAACATTTATAAATATTCTCCAATTATTTCTAGGCAATCAACAACGTTTGCTGTATTTTCATATTCGTATGCTTAATGAACGTGGCACATTCTGAGGGATCACAGGACAAGGTAAATCATTATCTTAGCAAGCGAACAATGCTAGTAATAAATTATATCGATAATTAATGGATTAAATAAACTATTAGATCGAGCAACAGTTCTTAGACACTTTCACAACAGACGAATTGCAGAAGATCAAAAGACCTTTTTGCAATGCATTCACTGGTAAGGAAAATTTAATTTTCAGTTTGTCGTCGAATATATAAGAACTCATCTCAAAAAAGACTCTCATTGACATGTTTTGTCTTTTTCCAAAAAAATGAGAAAATACCATCTGGCATCTTTAATCTTTCGTCAATACAAATATTTGTCTAAAAAATTAATAAAGGTCGCTTTTGTTACGAGCGCCTCAATTATTTCAAAATAATAAATTGATTCTAGGATGCGGAAGAAAAAGGAATTTCCATGAAAATCCAGTAGAATCTCAGGATATGGGGGCAAGTGGCAGCATTCGACTTCCAATTTTCGTTTACAAGACATTACTGAGGGCAGCAGCTCAAAATATTCGAAACACAATTCAACGTGATATAAATGATTATCAGACAGGAATCCCACAGGTTTATTTATCTGGCAAAATACCTCTTCATAAGAGATTCGACATGCCGTCAACATCCTTAAATTAACTCGATTGTTCGAATCTATGGATGATACGAATTATTTGCGAAAAGAAATATTCAAAATGTGTGAATTTTGTTTTCTTTCCTCATTCTCCTCGCTCCATTCAAATGAGGAATTTATTTAAACAATACAAGATACAGTCTAATTCATTAACAACTAAACTTTTCTTTTACATAATTACTTGTACATTTAATGAAACCTGAATAAAGTTAATTGTAGATTAATGTTGTCTAAAAGGATTATTTCGTGTATGCCTGTCGTATATAAGTATCTAAACACCTGATTACACAATTTGATTAAATCGTATTTTCAACATTGTATAAGAGAAAAACCATTAATTTTTTACTTCTTGCCATAACTTTGATCAAGTCCTCTGTTAAATTAAAAAAAAAAATATATTTATTCATATCATTCAAAATTTACGTATGTCCGTGATAAACAGCTGAAATTTCACTCAGCTCGAAAACTAGATTAAACGAAGTTTGAAACATATTTTATACATCTGCAATAATTTGAAAGTATGTTTATGCATCTTTAGTTTAACTGGACATTTTTAGAATAATGATTATCTAAAAATAAACTGTCAGTTTGATAGTGATACTTCCATTCCAAAGATATCTGGCGCTTCTCGATGGATAATCGATCGCAACCGGCAACTTAACGAAAAAGATCTGCCGCGGAATGCTTAATCCAACACATTCTGGATTATCTGGTTCTCCAGTTAATTTTGGACGGCCCCAAAAATATTCTGAGCAAAGTGTGGACGGATCCCAGATTCGTGATCTACGACCTTGTCGCGATTGCTCCGATGAATGATCTAAAATCTAAAAGTGACGATCGTTTTAACGTTTTATCGAAATATAAAAATATCCGGAGATAGCTGAAAACGTTTGTTTTACCTCGAGGCGAATCTTGTAGGGAAATGGCCATTTTAGAACAGAATCATGACGACCACGAGTCAATCCGACGCTTATGAAAACTGTGCCGTCCGGAAAATATCGCGGCGTTACTTTGATGTACATGGCATATCCATTCTGGCCTACGTAAAATGTCGGGCTGCGTAGGGAACGAGCGGTTTTCCAATCGACAAGTTTTTCGTTGAAACGTTTTATTTGCCAGTAATAAAAGAAAAGGTTCGCAGACTCTAAGACATATTAAGACATCATGAAAATTTTTATGACTTCTCCTTTTTCAATCTATTGGAAACGACATATTGTGTCAACGCAATATTTGATTTGTAATTTTTTCTCTTCAGTCAAATGGTGTAATCTATTACTAAGTCTCAGCAAAATCTTTAATTCCTGTACAAACCATTTAATAATGAAGTTCTTTGAAGCGTATTGTTAAAATTATCGATTTCAGACTGTCTTGGAGATAATGCATCGCTTTTATCTTCGTCATAATTATCGTATAATTTTGCCAATTTTTGCATGTTCCTTTTGTTTTCCAAAATTACATTCAATAACGTTTTGATTTCTTCCAGTTCTTTAGTCAGATTCTTTTCTAAAGCCTGCAGTTTCTCATCGAGCGTTTCTAAATATTGATGAATCCAATAATGAGAAATACTATGAATAATTGGAAAAAAAATTTGAAATGATTTTCTTACTAGCATTGCAAGCTCCAGTAAGTACTCTCGAGACACTGGCACGTGCGCTTGCAACCAATTCTTCTGTAGCGATTTTGCAAGTTGCATATTGCGTTTCCGTGACATCTTCGTCATTTGCAATGACTTTTTAATTTTTAATAAAACTTCGTTTACACTCTTTAATATTTTATTTATCGATACACAAGTAATTTTAATATATTAATCTTAGATCTTCTTATTAATACTTACATAGCTTCGAATCGTTTGTATTGCTTGCATCACAAGTTAAGTAGAGCGTATTCAGATACAGGAACAACAAAACTATCGATGACATCTTGGGGAGTGATTCGTTCTAAGATCATTCAAATTTATTCACTTAAATAAAAACGTCGCAACTTCCGGAAACTTGTAAAAATAGATTTAATAGCATCTCCAGATAAACATATCAGAATTCTTCAAAAATTTAAGAATCGCACGATGATAGTTCATTTGAAATAATTTACGTTTCAATGGGTAAGGTATACATCTAGTTCACAACCTGATCGCTACGTAACTGTCTTCCATATCTCCCATGAATTATAAAATATAGGTGAATCCCTACCTCTTTTGTGATCAACTTCCCTATTATATTATTCTTATTCTTCTCAAATAAATTACGTAATTTACATATGCGTAAAAGTTATTGCTAACATTTGATTAGCTTTCTTTTTTTGAATAATTTTAAATCTAAGAATTTCTCTATAACTACATAATATTCAAATTATGAAATATTTTACTTTTCTTAAATAATGAACTTTTACATAATGAATAAAATAATTGCTTTTAACTATGTAAAATAACTAAAACAATTAAAATAATTTCTTCTCCATATATTTATTTATTAAGTAAAAGAACAAAATATTACATGCGAATTTATTTTCAAAAATCACGCTTAACGCGTTTGGCACGTTTTTTGACAGTCGCGTTGAACGCGCGTCCATGTAAACGTTGATCTTTGTTTCTATCGCTTTTATTCCAAATTAAACCGTATTTCGTAACAAAATGAGTGAAAATGTACAAGGAACATTTGTATCGGAGAAAATTTCTAAAATCAGATGGAAACATGAAGATTTTGAAGATGCCACTAATTTTATAACCGGTAGTTGGGACAACCCGGTAAGGTTATCTTCAATACACCTAACCTATCTTCGTATACATAGATTATGTACGATTCTTATATTAAATTATGTTAATCATTTATAGTATTATAATTTTTTATTGTATAATAGGTCAATAAAGTAACACATTGGATATTTCAAACGAACGATGATGGTGAATCTTATCCGGCAGTTGTATCATCTTATGCGATTCTTGGCGACGTAACTGAAATAAAGGTATTTATTTATTTAACCAAAAATATTCTGGACCATTCTTTTAACAATATTTTCATATTTTTCTAGTTTATTTCGAAAGATTTTTTCGTGTTATCCACATCCATAGGTACTGTTAGATTATTACAGATCCATGAAAATCCATATTCTCAGTTTAAGGAACACATGTCATGGGAATTTATACATAAATTTGAGTGAGTTTTATTAATTAAGATGTATTTTTCAGATACAGTGTACATTTGATTGATCTTTTTTTTTTAATAGTAATACAAATGATTATGCATCTTGTACTGGACTCTCTACGTTCGAACAAGACATAGTTTCAGTGGGTGAAGATGGAAGAATTAATCTCCTAACAGCTGGGCAGAAGCAGCCAGTTAGATCTATTAGTACTATAACATTTTATTCTCTGTGTACAGTGTTTATTTTATGTATTGATTTTACATGGAAATAACTAAATTTTTTGTTTTAGATGATGCGGACAGTTGTTCTATATATTGTATTGATTTCTTAAGACATAATGAAATACTTACAGGAAATTTAAGGGGACATATGAAAGTATGGGATTTAAGAAATGATCAAGATCTTCCTGCTACAACGTTCATGCTTTCTGACCAATCAAAAGTATAACTTCTTTAATTTTATTCCTAAGAAATTGTTTATATATTTCAAAATCAAGATAAACTTTTATAGACAGAAGCTACAAGTATTGCTCATCATCCAACTCAGAGACATATTGTTGTGGCTGGTGGTGGTGATGGCAGCTTAACAGTCTGGGATTTAAGGCATAATACATATCCAATGTCTCAGCTCAATGCTCATGCTAAAGCTGTAAGTGAAATACTTTTTCATCCTGATAGACCTGAAAATCTATTCACTTGCTCGGCAAGCGGTGAATTATGGCATTGGAATAATACTCAACATTCCAAACTAAGTTTAGGTATGTTTCAAAATATATAAATTTTATTGTACATTAATAATTTATTATACATTAATAATTTATTTATTTTTTTTTTTCTTAGATCCTACAAATACACATTGGTTAAATACAATTGGTACAAATGGTAAAGTTAATGTAACGTCGCTTTGTAATGCTATGCACAAGCCAATAAATAGTATTGATATTGATAGATCAACATTACTTTTTGGATGTGATAATGAAGCAATATATGTTGTTAGGAATATAACTGTTTAATGACTGTATTATCCTAATTATATTTTTTCTAATTGTAATATACCAAAAATAAATATCTTTTTTATCTTAAGTTTATTTATTTCTGGATAGTTCATTAGATTATTTTCACCTTTACATAAATTTAAATTTACCCGCGTTCCAGGTACGTTTTTGTTCTATAATTACACATTTTACGATACTCGTAGCTCCATCTATCGTTGTTTTTTGTAATCATGTTTACAGGAAGCTTTAGCCTGTTAGTTTGCCATTTTGTGACGCCTTGTGTGGAAGTTCGTAAACAGATTTTGCTTTGCTTGCTTGCGAAGGGATAAGAATTATGTCAAAACGGAGAATCGAGGTTGTGGATCCGTATGTTAAACGGAAGGCGTGAGTATTCCAATTTTTAATTGTATCTTTAATTATAAATGCTAACGAATTCTTGAGATATCTTGCCATGTGCATTGTTACAAGTTTTTGTAATTCTGTCGCGCATCTCGAACAAATCTCATTTCCTGAAAACAAGCTATGCAAAATACGATTGATTTGTTGAGCAATAATATAATAAAAAGATTGTGCAAATGTATTGTATAAATGTAATTTGAATTTATGAAATAGTTCTTTTTTATTGCTGTTGACTTGTTTAGTCAACTCATTTATAAAAGGTTCTCAACTGGATTTAATTTTCCACTAGTACGTTGTATATTAATATTTATAAGAAGTTGTACAAAGAATGTACAATTCTGCAGTATGTTGGAAATACACGTGTTATAAATAATTATGAATGTACAAGCGAATTTTCAAGTGATCTTAAACATTATTTGTTTTCTATTTAATTCGTTTCTATAACCAACAAAGTGTTCTCAACTTTCGTTATTTTATGTCATTGTTATACATGTATTATTTCGTTATTATGTGATTAAAGTAATTTTCAAGTATATCATTATAATTTACATATTGTTTCATAGAGATGGCTCAGCTACATCTAATAGCACAACTACACCTTCGGCAGCACCAAAAAATCAAGTTCAGCTGAATCCTTACACTAGCCTACCTTATACTCCAAGATATCATGAATTTTATAAAAAAAGAATCACATTACCTGTATTTGAGTACCGTACTGATTTTATGAGGTTATTAGCACAACATCAGTGTATTGTACTTGTTGGAGAAACAGGTTCTGGTAAAACAACACAAATACCACAATGGTGTGTAGAATATTCAAGGCGTATTGGCAACAAAGGTGTTGCTTGTACTCAACCAAGAAGAGTAGCTGCTATGTCCGTTGCACAAAGAGTCTCAGAAGAAATGGATGTGGCATTAGGTATATTCTTTTAATTTTAATTTGTATCTTTTTAACATGTTTGCTATAACTGTCACATATCTGTGATACATCGATTTTCATTGAAATTTTAAAGTCACACACATGTGACAGCAGTTAGTTTTTATGTTTTCTTTGAATAAAAAAATAAATAAAAACGAATAAAATTACTCGTATGGTTTACAGTCCCATTGAAAAACTAGATTTATATACTTATTTATTATTTTAATACCATCTGAATAATTCTGCAATACATTTTGCAGAAATTTAAAATATAAGTAATAGGTCGTGGTTGGAATCTCTTCTCTACGATAAGCAAACGTGTTAAACTAAAAGTTATGTTATATTTATATAATGTTTTCATAATAATTTTTTTAAACAGGTCAAGAAGTGGGATATAGTATTCGTTTTGAAGATTGTAGTTCTCCAAAAACTATATTAAAGTACATGACTGATGGTATGCTGTTACGTGAAGGCATGTCAGATCCCATGCTTGATGCCTATCAAGTGATATTATTAGATGAAGCTCATGAAAGAACTTTAGCCACAGACTTGCTTATGGGTGTGTTAAAGGAAGTGATTAAACAGAGACCAGATTTGAAACTTGTGATTATGAGTGCAACTTTAGATGCTGGAAAATTTCAACAGTATTTTGATAATGCACCCTTAATGAATGTACCTGGCAGAACTCATCCTGTTGAAATTTTTTATACACCTGAACCTGAAAGGGATTACTTAGAGGCTGCTATCAGGACAGTTATTCAAATTCATATGTGTGAAGAAGTAGCAGGAGATTTACTTCTCTTTTTGACGGGTCAAGAGGAAATTGAGGAAGCTTGTAAAAGAATCAAAAGAGAAATGGATAATTTAGGTCCAGAAGTAGGTGAACTTAAGTGTATACCACTCTATTCCACACTGCCCCCAAATCTTCAGCAAAGAATCTTTGAGCCAGCACCACCTACAAAACCTAATGGTGCTATTGGTAGAAAAGTTGTAGTTTCAACAAATATTGCAGAAACATCGTTAACTATCGACGGTGTTGTCTTTGTGATAGACCCAGGATTTGCGAAGCAAAAGGTATTAGATCATTCTTATTCTTCTTTTATCTACATTTGATTTTGTTAACTTTTGATATATTATTTAACAGGTATATAACCCTAGAATTCGTGTAGAATCTCTTCTTGTATCACCTATAAGTAAAGCTTCTGCTCAGCAAAGAGCTGGTAGAGCTGGTCGTACAAGACCCGGAAAATGTTTTAGATTGTACACAGAAAAGGCATATAAAAATGAGATGCAAGATAATACGTATCCTGAAATCTTAAGATCTAATCTTGGTAGTGTTGTATTGCAGTTGAAAAAACTTGGCATTGATGATTTGGTATATTGTTGATTTCTCAGGAAAACAATTTATTTGTTAATTAAATATTTCTTTTCATAAATATTTTTCGCTATAGGTGCATTTCGATTTTATGGATCCACCTGCACCAGAAACCCTTATGAGGGCTTTAGAACTTCTTAATTATTTGGCTGCTTTAGACGATGATGGAAATCTCACAGATTTGGGTGCTGTGATGGCAGAATTTCCATTAGATCCTCAGTTAGCAAAAATGCTTATTGCATCCTGCAATCATAATTGCAGTAATGAAATATTGAGCATTACTGCTATGTTGTCAGGTACAGTATTATTAAGAACATTTCTTTTTATCACATTATTAGGCCCATATATCTCTTGGAAATATAGTAATTTTAATATGATAAAAAGCGAAAGTTACTAAGTCAGGATCATGGTAAGGTAACGTGGTTTTAAATTGATGATTGATATTGTATTAGTCCCACAGTGTTTTGTGAGGCCAAATGAATCAAAAAAAGCTGCGGATGATGCTAAAATGCGATTTGCACATATCGACGGAGATCATCTAACGTTATTGAACGTGTATCATGCTTTTAAACAAAGTAAGTGTCTACGACTTTTCAAAGACTATATTATTCGTCAAATTACAAATTTTTACTTATTTATTTTTCTTATAGATTTTGAAGACCCACAATGGTGTTACGATAACTTTGTCAATTACCGATCTTTAAAAAGTGGAGATAATGTTAGGCAACAACTAAGTAGAATAATGGATAGATTTTGTTTGAAACGTACTTCCACAGACTTCACATCAAAAGATTATTATATCAATATTAGAAAAGCTCTTGTGAATGGTTTCTTTATGCAGGTAAATATAACTGAGAATAATTTTAATAGCAAAAAAATTTTCTTGTATACATAATACTACTTTCTTTTTACATATATTAGGTTGCTCATTTAGAAAGGACTGGTCATTATTTGACTATTAAAGATAATCAAATTGTACAACTTCATCCAAGCAGTTGTTTGGATCATAAACCCGAATGGGTAATTTATAACGAGTTCGTGCTTACGACCAAAAATTATATCAGAACAGTTACAGATATTAAACGTAAGTTACATTTTTATTGAATACATTTTATTTATATAAAATTTATTGAATTTATTGAATATAAAAAAGAAATATAAATATGCATATATTATAAATATTATTGTATATTTTATAGCTGATTGGTTGCTTAAAATCGCACCACAATATTACGATTTACAAAACTTTCCACAATGTGAAGCAAAAAGACAATTGGAAGTAATTCAAGCGAAATTAGATTCAAAACAATATCAGGAAGGATTCTAACCTCTATATATTTTAGTTATCTTTGAAAATGGTGTCAAACGATTGATAAAGTGTGGTCGATCTGTTTTCGGCATTGCGTCAGACATACAATTCTTTCAAACATAAAGAAAAAACACTGATTAAATATTGTGAAACAAGAGGTAGTTGTCTACTCTGTATTTTTACTTAAAATATATAAAAAAAAGACAAATGTTAATGAAAATATTTATAATTTTGTACAAGCTTTAGTGAAACTTGTACATTTTTTTAGGCTCACGTGCCGATAAAAATTTGAATGTTTGTAGACTTCGTTTTATCTTCATGATAAAAACAAATGATCTTTAATCTGATAGAAGGTATGCAGAAGGCATAGTTGATTAACAAATGATTTATTTATGTACATTAAAGAAAAATTTAGTGATTAAGTAAGTTTATCACTAGGATTTGTTGATCGACGTTTGCACACTCAAAATGTAATACTAGATACAAAAAATAGATTAATTTTTGTATTAAATGTTGAATAAGTATGCCAGATAAGATGTACACAATGCTTATTACTGATAATCGAAGGACAATTTATATAACTTTCGACACAAATTATATCTGTTTGCTGTTTTTTCTCAAGATCGAATGGTATTGTTTTATGTATTGCATATTTCACTTTTTTCAAGTACACACATTCGAAAGTACTAAATATTTATTCAAATTAAAATTTGCAGATATCATGCAATGTTCTTTTCTGTTTGTAATCAATGTAGTTGCACTATAATAATTTTATACAATGATAAATGAAAAGTATTTCTAACTTATAGCAAGACAGCTATAAAAGAATGAAAATGCAATCGTAAATTATATTATAAAGAAATCTTTTTAAAAGTGTATGTGATATGTTTGAAAAGAATCAAATTTATCCTTATTTATGAATGCTAGCATAATATATAAATTGCAACGCCCACTGTAAGGAATTAACTTACAGTGTTATAAGTTAATATCTACAGGACAAAAAACAAATTAAGCTTAATTATTATTCAAATAACAAATTCTTAATGCTATCCGGGTTAGGATATCGCATGCGTCAAATGAAATTGGAAATTTTTTAGCTTATTTTAGAATTGAAAGTTTCTAAATAGTTCGATATACGCTACAAAATTCTTTTTCCCAAACAAGATATAATATTACTGTTTAAAAAATCTCTTGCTTGTTTAACATGTTAAATATTAGTTTCAGTTTTTGTAAATAAAAGATACGCAGGTATTAAAAGAAGATAGAATCATAAAAGTTATGATCGCGAAGTTTTCATTGTATTGTATCACTTCATTCCAATAAAATATTAAAAATACGATTCAATTGTAATAATTGTTATAACGAACGAATTTAATTTTCAATCTTAAAATCTATGCAAACTTAATGGGCATTTATAATTAGAAGTTTGATATCACGTTTTACGTAACATTGAAATATTTAACGATTAAAGTCTTTTATCGCGATTCTTATTACGTTACAAGAAATGTTTGAGAACCACTGAGAAAAGCACGAGGATCGTTGTATTGCTGTATTTCATCATTTACCGATTTTTATGAAATTAAGAACTATGGCATCGTTCGTGGTACCGGTTGCAGCAAGATTCGCTCGTGTCTCAATTGATAGTTTGCACAATATAAATAAAAATATATTACTTAGGTAAGATTCTTTGTAGTTCGTTGTATTATTAACACATACGACTCATTGAACTTACATTGCAACATACATATAGAGGTTAGATTACTAGATAATGTTTATTTATTACTTTATTATTACAAATATTTTTTAAACGAAACTGTAATATATTTAATAAAGATGATCGTATATTTTTTAAAGCTGTCAGAGATTTAAATGAAACCTTGTATAATTAACTAATTATGTTACTGGTAAAAGAATTAAACAATTTTTTTATGATGTAAGATATGTTAATAAATGAACATTATAAATACGTATTAATAATATTCTTTTTGAAGGAGAGAAAAAGAATGGTGCCTTAAAAACGTTTTTCATAATTTGAAGGTTAACCCAACTATCACATGTTTCTTGGCAAAGGCAAGAGTTTAGTACAATTACTGAAGAACAAAAATCAGAAACTGGAGCACCTCCAGAATTCACAGAAAATGAAAAGAAATTGAAAGCAGATATTGAACTTCTCAATAAGGAGTTAATAGATCTGAAAAGTCATAAAAATGACTTGGAAGATAAATACAAAAGAGCACTTGCCGATGGAGAGAATCTTAGAGTTAGACTAATTAAACAAATTGAAGATGCAAAAATATTTGGTATCCAAGGATTTTGTAAGGATCTGTTAGAAGTAGCAGACATTTTAGGCAAAGCAACAGAAAGTGTCCCAAAGAATGAATTAACAGATAAAAATCCGCATTTGAAAACATTATATGAAGGCTTGAAGATGACAGAGGCACAGCTACATAAAGTAAATAAGAAAATATACAAATGTTTTCATATAACTGTTATATCTCATAAATTATTTCTTTGAAACATATTTGTATAGGTGTTTAGGAAACATGGTTTAGTTTCGCTAAATCCTCTGAATGAGAAGTTTGACCCTAATCAACATGAAGCATTATTTCAACAGGTAAGATTTTGGTATTTTATTTATATGGGTTGTTTTGTATTAAGTTAATAACGAGAAGCATATTTTTATGTAGGAAGTTGAGGGTAAAGAACCAGGAACAGTTGTAGTTGTATCTAAATTGGGTTACAAATTACATGAACGAGTAGTAAGACCAGCATTAGTTGGTGTTGCCAAAGGATAGTTCATGGTTGTTAATTAAAAGGGGATTAGATGTAATCTCATAAGAGGTATCCATGAATGGAATATTGGCACATATGTATTGTAATTAAAATTTTAATGTAATACAGCAAAGTATAAATATTACATTATTGATTTAAAAAAACAAGAACAAATTTTATGAAAAATAAAATTGTTATTATTTTATTATATTTAAAAGAAAGTGTGATAATTTGAATTTTTGTTTCTTTGATAAATAGATCCGTATGTATGTATTTAAATATTATATCTTTTATTATACCATATTATATTCCATTAAAATAATATAGAAAGGTAATATTTAATTTAGTAAAAAATTTATTAAAAAATTCACAAAAATAAACATAAATTTACAGTCAATCTAATAAATATAATTTTTTATTATAATATAAATAACTTACTATTAAACAAATAATATTTACTTTCTATAATACATCAATTTTATCGTAAATATCTAACATCTTTCAAAAACTTTATACAAGTCAGGCAAATTGGCTATTTGTAATATTGTTGAATCATGTGCAAAATGTTTAGGAGGCAGGAAACTCTCCTTAATTGCAGCATACAAAACATGTTCTGTAATGTATTTCCAGTCATGAGTATCGTGTGTAGGACTCATTTGACTGTAATATTTTGCTGTTTCTTTACAAACAGTTCGAAAGCATGGTTGCTCTGATGACCACTCTACTTCGGTAGCTAAACGTAATATGTAAAGAGGAAGACCACTTACAGATGGAAAATATTTTTCTGAAAAAAGAATATTTTGTATTGTATTTTATTTTTTAGGGAGTTTATTAAAATATATTTACCTAATAATACTGGTAAAGATTTTAAATTTCCCTTTTTATCTATAACAATAGAAAAATATTCTTTCAACATGTCTGCTTTCTCTAATAACAATTCTTTAACATTTGTGGCTAATTCCTCTTTTGGTCCATCTTCCTCTGTCCATCCAGCTTCTTCAGTATCTAATCCTAACATAGCTATATCATATAAAGGAAGTGCTTCCTAAAAATGAGCGTAATGTACAATATAATAATAATGTTTTTAATTAATATACATACCGAAAATTTGATGACTCCATAATTTGCAAAATCATAAAGCATAATTTCATAAAACAGTTCCTCTCTAAATAAAAAAAAGATGTTTTTACTTATAGTTAATTTTATGTATATATTATAAATATTTTATGAGGAAATATGTATGGACACTTACGCTAATTTTTGTGTATTGCAAAGGTACAAATTAACTCCACTTTGAATTAAAGCTGAAGATTGATCTATACAACCAACGAAACTTAATTCTGATAAAATATGTTTTAAACCGTCGTGACATGCGTTTTCTACTTCTATACGTAATTTTAAGACACTCGTCAGTTTGACTTCTCGTCTAAAATTGTTTATTGAGTAGGATTTGAATTCATACGAATTTTTACTTTCACTAGTTTCTTTTGGTATTTCTTCAGTAACAATTCCCGATTCATTGGGTTTTTCAAATACATTTTTTTCTTCATTATCTATATTATCTTTATCTGTATTTTTTCCTTCTAATTTGCTTTTATGTCCAAAGTATTTATACACTTGTTTACGTGCTTTATCTGCGATAACATCGATACATTTTTCTTTCATAGAAACGGAATCATCTGCTACACTTTTATTGATTATATCATTTTTTATTTCTAAAATGTCTTGCTCACAATTGGATTCACACTGTTCCTTGTTAATATTTTGAATAGATAAATTTAAATTGGGCTCGTCAAATACTGCGGGGCTTGACACAGATGGACTTGTATCATCTATGACATTGCTCCAAGGAGTATTAGATTTTTCTGTTGTTGCTGGTTTAATATGCATCGATATATCTTTTTTTTCTGTGTCAGATACATTTGTTAAACACTGTATTTTATTTACGTCTTTTTCGTCATTCCTATTAGTATTTTCAACTTTTTCATTTTCAAAATCAATATCATCAATATTTTTAGCATGTTCCATTGCTGTATGAATAGTAAAATTAAATTTGTCTAACTTTTGATCAGATGAATCAGTTCTGATCATTTCTCGAGGATGAATTTTTTTCATTTTGTCACTTTTATCTTTTTCATATTCTGGTAAAACTTCTTTCAAAACTTCTTTAGTAATATCTGCTTTTGGTAATCGTGCTTGTACATAAAATGTTTTAGAACCACTATTGCCAGAGAGTTTTTCATCTAAAGCAAGTTTCATTTTTTCAATGATAGAACTTTCATGAAGAAATTTAACTTCATGTTTTGTTGGATGTACATTAACATCAACATTTTGTGGATTAATTTCTAGAGATATATAACACCATGGATAGCTCTTTTTTGGAAGATAAAACGTATAAAGTTCTTCCAACATTTTTCGAATAGCTGAAATAAAGTACCTGTAGATCATTTTTAGACATAAAATCTTTTTGTTTTAACATTATAAAACTTACAAGAAGATTCTACTAATCTGTTATTAATGAACAAAAGAAATATCATCTTCTTGTTTGTGTAATTTGGATTTGTTATCAGAGCATGCATTTTAAATTTATAGGTATCATCTTTAAGTTCCACTTCCAATAATTCACGAAATACAGGATTACCATAAAGTATTCTTACATTATTCATCTTAGTTGAATTATGTTGTGTACGGACCTAAATGTTGAAAATATGTTGATATATTTACAAATAATAACATTCAATTGTATGATTTTTTATACAGAATAAAATACCTGAGGTGTAACTTCACCATGTTTCTTTAATGTGAATCCTACAGTAGAATTATGTATTGCATATTTTGTAACTACATCTGAAATTTTGTTAAATTCTTCGCTTGGATTAGACAAAGCCTTTCTTCTTGTTGCAACATTATAAAACAAATTCTCAATCAATATTGTAGTACCTTGATTTCCAGCACATGATTTAGGTGGTGCTTTTAGTTTACTATCAACATATGATGCTCTAATATGAAAAAATATCCATTAAAAAAAAGATCCACAATTTTTGCAGAATTTTATAGAAATAAACATACTTATAAGCACATTTTTCATTTGCAGTTTTTGTTGTGATTGTTAAAAGTGATACATGACTAATACTTGCTAAAGCTTCACCACGAAATCCAAAAGTTGTTATTGCCTGAAGGTCTTCAAATGTTTGTAATTTACTTGTTGTAAATCTTTCACAAACAATTTCCATATCTTCTTTTCTGATACCTGTTCCATTGTCTTGAATCTGATTAATAATAAATATTTAATACTATTTTGTTTAATACTTTTGTATTTAAATAGAGAAACAATAATAATTTTAATCTACCTGTAATAATTTTAATCCACCTTCCTTAGCAACAATTTGTATGTTAGTTGCTTTTGCATCAAGACTGAAACATTTACAGAATTAAATTTATAGTAAGCCACGTGTAACAATCACGAGTAAAATATCTAACCTGTTTTCTATTAATTCTTTTAATGCATTTGCTGGTCTTTGTATTACTTCACCAGCAGCGATTCTATTTACTACAACTTCGTCTAATTTTTTAATTTTTGCTGGCGCACTCATGTTTAATATCTTCAAATTTTAATCGAAATCTCGAGAAATTAGAGCCTAAACATTGCACCAAATCATATTGTATTATATAGTAATCTAGGTAACAAAGAATATCTATGGTACAAAGTAATTATATTTATAATAATAAGAAATAAAAATGAAAGTTCTCGTTTCAAAGATCAAATACTTTTTATTTATAATAAGAGTGTATACTACATAAGTTGTTTAAATTAGTTTTCGCGCCAAACTTTCGAATCTAAATTAACAAGCGAAACATTCTTACATATGTGTATATATCAACCAAGAAAGATCGCCAACTTCAATTAAGAATATATAGATGAATATCTTGTCTTAAAATATATTATTTATGTGTTATATATACATACATTATTTATTAATAATATTGTCAAGACGGAAAATTTTTCGTAATATATATGAATGATCCAGAAAATTCCTTGTGATATACGAATGATCCAGAAAATATCTGCGTTGATATTGGATCGAATTAGTACTTATTATGTATTTAGCAAAGTTATTTTTACGTAAATATTTTTCTAGTATCGCATATACATACAATTATTAGTATATTTAGTAACAGTCATATGTGATGTAATATCATGTTATAAATTAGATGTATCAATTCGCTGATATAAATTAAACTGTCCTTAAATTAGAATACATATTTCGTAGCAAGGTATGTGTAAAGTGCTATATAGACGTAATGCTTTTCTAGAAATTTATTTTTATAACGATCATCGAACTGTTTCGAATAAAATGTATTATTACATTTGAATATTTCGAACGTAAATGTAACGTAAATTCTATATACAAAAATGAATAAAATTCTTTTATCATTTATTTATATGCAAATATAAATTTTACTTCGATCGAATTTCTTAATCATTCGTGAATGTTCATTAAGTAAAAATTGAAAAAGAAAAATTAAAATATAATATATATACAAATAAAAGCGATGGCGTTTTTTATTATAGGATTTATTTATCACACGCTTGATACAAAAGTCCAAATACAAATATAAGAATTATTATTAAAAGTCTCGGTTATTTACATTTTTCCATATTCTTGATATTATTGACGAATTTAATTTTAACTATGTCATGTCTCGGTAAACAAGAAAAGATTTAGTTAGCTAAATATAACTGCAAGTTTGAATGCAATACGTTCCAGCATCTTCCCGTGTTTCTCCTATCGTGATTGTTCTCTCTCTTTCTCTTGCTACGTCATGCCTTGTTCCGATACATTTATTTTCGTTCTGGATGCGTCTAGAATTCTGAGCCAATGAAAGTGCGAATTGAATCACCAAGCTGCTGCGATTGGTCATCCACAGAAACTTCTCGAAGCGCGAGATTTGGTGTATTAAAAACGCGCTGCGCACGCCGAGCTCAGACAGAGTTTAGCAAGCGAACAGTGAACATTGTGCTTACTCCAAGTAACCAGACGACTACGATTTATTATTATATATACGAAACGAACGATACAAAAGGTAAGTGTTTGAATACATTGTGACAGTGTAGCTTATAGTTTATTTAGTTTATCAGCTTATTATAGTTTATTTAGTTATTAAATTCTTTGTGTTCGAAACGATTAACACTAGGAAGACTATGTTGAAGTTGCATCATATCGACAAAGTATCGATATATGTATGTCTCAAAGTTACTTCAGTTGTTATTTCTTTCTTTTTTTCACGAATTTAAAAATTATGTGACGAAAGTTTTACCGTTGAATTTCTGGTAGCAAGATTTGTGTCGGGTTCTATATTTGTCAATGCATTTCGGTTTCACACAAACTCGCTAAATAAGTAATTCACTGCTTAATTTCAACGAAAATCTTAACTCAAGTATGTAGCTTAGATTAGTTACAAATAACCACTACACGCAATTATAGTTGGTACATTTATAACGTTTATTATCTTTTTTGCTGTGTATTCAATATTGTGTTTCGAGCATACATTTTATAATTAGAGAATTTAATAATAAGAGATTATTTATGTTTGTTGAAATATAGCCCTTTAGTGGTTATTACATCGTACACGCTACTTTGAATATATCTACTATACAAATCGAGAATAGTAGAAGAGAGATTCAAAACTATTCTAGGAATAGAAATAAAAATAAATTTAACATTTATTATTAAAATAAAAAATTATTATAAAAATAAATTTAACATTTTTTATTAACCTATTCCTTAATTTTATCTTTTACAGCGATAAAACATGTCGAAAGCTCCAGCTGTTGGAATTGACTTGGGCACCACGTATTCCTGCGTCGGTGTTTTCCAACATGGAAAAGTTGAGATCATTGCAAATGATCAAGGAAATCGAACGACACCGAGTTATGTCGCCTTCACGGACACAGAAAGACTGATCGGCGACGCGGCCAAAAACCAGGTCGCGATGAATCCGAACAACACCATTTTCGGTAAGTGATATTAACCCAGAATTTACCAATTCCTATTCTTCCAATTCTCACTCCTTTTAAATTTTTCAATTTCTATTCCTTAAGCTCCATGCGTAATTCTCATTTTATCGTAACAATCGTAGAGTTTCAATGGCAAACGATGTAAGTACCAAAATGGAGAAAATGATTTTTTTTTTAAATGGATGAGGATAAAAATTCTATACTAAATACTAAATTTCATATACTAAATATTTTTGAAGTTATCGTAAGGTAGGACGAAAATCATAATTTCTTTGCCCATTCGCATCGAGGGCCATAATGTCTGGCGCTTACATCATTTTCTATTTTAGCTCTTCAATCTGTATTACCGCATCACGGAAATGTTTTTTTTACTAGATCAATACATACCTGTTTATGTCTGTTACATAATACTTAATAATTATTTTGCTAAATCGATCTTCTGTATTTTTGCGTGTATTCAGTGTGCTCTATGGTATATATTACACAAAGGAACTTTGCTTTATCAATATTTATATACGAAGATGCACGACATACTCACAATTAGTGTTAGGTTTCGTTACTGACCTTGTACAATTATATTATACCACATCCATTCATGTCTATGTTTATTTTCTTTTCGTCATGCGAAATATAATGACGTAATATCGAACATACTGCGCGACTGAAGCTACGTTACTTCTTTATGCTTCTATTTTAGATATTTTCGATATTTTATTTAAATTGGAAATATTATTTCTTTTTTGTTTCTTGTTTTCATGAAATATTTCGCGAGTGTTAGTTTTGTTTGATGAGAAGTGAAGAATCATTACGAAGAAGCATAGAAGAGACTAACAGAAACATCATGTAATTATACATCTCATTATTTCATGAATCTATTCATATTCCTTATCCTTATTAACTTATCCTTTAAGTATTTTTATTTTCGATATATTCCTATAACGTGTTATTTTTTTATTGAACAGACGCGAAGAGATTGATCGGTCGCCGCTTCGATGATGCAACTGTACAAAGTGACATGAAACATTGGCCCTTCACGGTGGTGAACGATGGAGGCAAACCAAAAATCAAGGTTTCGTACAAGGGTGAAACGAAGTCCTTCTTCCCCGAAGAAGTATCTTCGATGGTACTTACGAAGATGAAAGAAACAGCAGAGGCGTATTTAGGAAAGACTGTCACCAACGCTGTCATCACCGTTCCTGCGTACTTCAATGACTCTCAGAGACAAGCCACCAAAGATGCGGGAGCAATAGCAGGCTTAAACGTTTTGAGAATAATCAACGAGCCAACCGCGGCGGCGATAGCTTATGGTTTAGACAAAAAGTCATCAGGAGAGAAGAACGTATTGATCTTTGACTTGGGAGGTGGCACCTTCGATGTCTCCATTTTGACTATTGAAGATGGCATCTTTGAAGTCAAATCAACGGCAGGCGACACTCACCTCGGTGGTGAAGACTTCGACAATCGAATGGTGAATCATTTCGTTCAAGAGTTCAAGAGGAAGTACAAGAAGGACTTAAGCTCGAATAAGAGGGCGCTTAGACGATTGAGAACCGCATGCGAAAGGGCCAAGAGAACATTAAGCTCGTCAACGCAAGCCAGTATCGAAATAGATTCTCTTTTCGAGGGCATTGATTTCTACACATCGGTCACCAGAGCCAGATTCGAAGAACTTTGCGCGGATCTATTCAGAAGCACATTGGAACCGGTTGAGAAGGCTCTGAGAGATGCAAAAATGGACAAGGCTCATGTTCACAGTATCGTTCTAGTCGGTGGGTCTACCAGGATACCAAAAATTCAAAAATTATTACAAGACTTTTTCAATGGGAAAGAGTTGAACAAGTCGATCAATCCCGACGAAGCTGTCGCCTATGGTGCAGCTGTACAGGCTGCTATCTTGCACGGTGACAAGTCTGAAGAAGTCCAAGACTTACTGTTACTGGACGTTACGCCACTGTCTCTGGGTATAGAAACAGCTGGTGGTGTGATGACAACTTTGATCAAACGGAACACAACGATACCGACCAAGCAAACTCAAACCTTTACCACATATTCGGACAATCAACCTGGTGTTTTGATCCAAGTATACGAAGGAGAGAGAGCTATGACCAAAGACAATAACATTCTCGGCAAATTCGAGCTTACTGGCATTCCACCTGCGCCTAGGGGCGTACCTCAGATCGAAGTCACATTCGATATCGATGCTAATGGTATTCTGAACGTCTCTGCTGTTGAGAAATCAACCGGAAAAGAGAACAAGATTACCATCACGAACGACAAGGGACGATTATCGAAGGAAGATATCGAGAGGATGGTGAACGAAGCGGAAAGATACCGCAACGAAGATGAACAACAACGCGATAGGATATCCGCCAAGAATGCATTGGAGTCTTATTGCTTCAACATGAAGAGTACAATGGAGGATGAGAAGATCAAAGATAAGATCGATTCATCTGACAAGCAGAAGGTTATCAATAAATGCAACGAAGTAATCTCATGGTTGGACGCGAATCAACTAGCGGAGAAGGAGGAATTCACCGATAAACAGAAGGAATTGGAGGCTGTCTGCAGTCCTATCGTTACTAAATTGTACCAAGGCGGAGCCGCACCTGGTGGATTCCCTGGTGCTGCTCCAGGAGCCGGTAGCGCAGGTGCTGGAGGACCAACCATCGAAGAAGTTGATTAAATACAATACAACTGTCCACTGAACTGAACATCTTTTTACGCTTCATCTTATTTATTTCAACTGTACAGTCATGATCATTAATTTTCATATTCGTTTACATGAATGGTATATATTTTGTGAGGTCAGAGACTTTATTTTGCTGTAAGAAAATATTTAAATTCGTAATATATACATAATTTATTTGTTACAAAAGAATCGTGTGTATTATTTGTATCTCTACATCACACTTTTACGTACTTGCCTACATTTTTATTTTTTTTATTTACTTTATCTTTATTTACTTTACCTACATACATATGAAAGGTTTATTTCAATAAATTTATCAATGTTTCTCGTTTCCTGGTTTATAAAATTGGACCAGGATGATCAAGTACGTTGTTATAACGCTGACAAACTGAAAGTACATGTGCGTACAAGACGATTTATTAACTACGTCGCATAAATGTCGTGACTACATATCATCATACTTACTTTTGTTAATAAGGAGTTATTTATTTCGAAGAAATTACATGCAGTGAATTTTATACTGCTGGAATTGCAACAAGAAGTCGTTGCTTTCGTTTCGAACGCAGTCCCGTTCGAGAGTCGATCGCAGAAGACTTTCTATTCCGAATCCGTTCAGATTCAAGGGAACGTTATCATCACGTTCATTGTTAAAGACTCCTAACTGTTCCGGTTCTTTGTTACAAAAATTTCGGAAGCAGATCAGCTTGTTAAATTTCGTCGAGTGTTGGGCATTCAGGATAAATTCATCGATGCACAACGCAATTTTATTTATCTCGCGGTGGACCAGCGTGCACATCCAGCACATCAAGATGAGTTGACATCCGTAAATTATCCAGATTACGTTGTTCAGAAGTATGAAGCCCTCCTTCTGCTCTACAGCGCTCGTGTAGATCCTGAACAGTTTCGCGACTATCATGATGAAAGCATTCGTAGAGCACAACAGAAGATCAACACCATAAATCTCATTCACTGTCGTTATTATGGAACGCATGTCTGCAAGAAATAATAATCAATCATAGAGATAAAGGACATAAAATTGTCACAAAATTGTATCACAATGGCATAGAGTGAGGGACGAACGAGAAAAGTAAATTCCTCTTTCGACAAGGAGGAGCGGGGAGTAGCCAATTTCGTCTTGGATTTTGAATTCTGTTCTTCAGCTAGAAGGATGTACGCTCTGTTTCACTTACGTCACTCACTCTGAATTTATGCGCCAAAAAAGATGCCAGCATTTTGTATACGTGCCGTTATGCAATCTTCTAATTTTCCTGATCTTCAAGGCGATCCAATATGCCGCTATTTTTACGTCTGATCATCTCGTTGATTGCTCTGAATCTATGGCAAATCATGTACACGATAATATCAAACACGAAGCTGTTCACCAAAGTCTGCGCGATTGTGTAATAGAGAAGTAAATCAGACGCAAAGATTTGGTCGACTGCAATGAAATAATTATAAAGACCGTGAACAATTAGCGATACCGGACCGTAAAACAGGCCTTATAAAAATGGCCGAGATCTGGCTGATTTTCACCCATCTGTCATTGATCGACAATTCTTTACCAATATTCTGATCCAACGACTCCAACATCTTCATCAATTCAGGCCATTTATCGTAATGTCTCATTATGTGATAAACGTAATAATAGGCTGAAAAATGGCACACGGTTTCGTTCATGCAGTATATAATTTCGAATAGTTCGCTGGTGAATTCTTTGCCAAAATTTGCAAAGTCCATTGCACTGTACGCGACGATCACCGAGCACATGCTGAAGTGGATTGCTCGAAGAACGATGGTGATCCATTTTGGATAATTTATCGGTCTGGCGACCCCTGCACCTAGAAATAACCAAGAAACGTACGTTATTGGACGTAACGCGTGTTCTGGTTTCGTTGGATTATCCTCCACTCGAACGTCTATCTCCTCTTCCATGATAACTAATTCTTCTTATTAACCGAGTGAAAATTTATAACTGGTAGGAAAATAAGAACGAAATTTCCTCCTGAAACGAGGTGTTCCCTCAGAAGCGGCGTAGACCATTTGGGTTTTCAATTTGATTCGTGGCCCACACGATTTGCTAGTAAATTCGAATCAGATAACGCGAAGATTCATACAAAATTCAATAAGATTTCAATGGGATTTGTGCGTGCCACCGCGTAATACTTTCACCTGATGAAATTAAAAGAAATTAAAGGCCTCAGCAATAACAAATATATTTAACAATAAAATTCTTTTATAAAACTTCCATGAAAGTCTTGTGTCGTTAAAATTTTTTGAGGAAAATTAAATTGACAAGTGAATTTCTACAGTTGTCGAAGAGAGGGAGTGATTAACGAGTTGAAAACATACGATGGCGGGCAGAAGATCCAGCAGTGATTTCGTGATATGTGTGTATATATCGAAAAACGAGCTTTATTTTGCCCAACGACTATATTACAATTTTATCATACAGTAAACATTTAAAATGGAATAAAACGATAACGTTGAACATCGACCTTTTTCCATCGATTTTTTTTCTTTTTTTTTTTCTCTTTTTTTTTGTTCATTTTCTCTGTTCCGTTTTTTTCTTTTGGTTTTTTAGAAATTAGGCGGCGGGTCGAGTTGAATCATCTCGTAATAATAGTAATGATAATCATAATAATCATAGCAATAATAATGATAATAATACGCGGGGTTGTGATGATATAATTTATTCGAATTGAAATCCGTTCGGTATGTTTCAACAACGACTCGTTCACGATCGATTTCGATAGATTAGCTATGCAATCGTCGTCAAACCTTGCCTTTTCTGCGTTCCATGTTGTATTCTTTCCTTTTTTTTTTCCGTGATTTGTATATCTGTTGTGTGTGTGTGTGTGTGTGTGTGTGTTATGTGTGTGTTATGTGTGTAACAATGAATTAATTCATTCGCTGAAGAACTTACAATGTAGAATCGCGTAGCCGCAAAAAAACGTTCTTAAGACTTTCGTTCCTACATCTTTATATTCTTCATCTGTTTTGTGTTCTTTTCTTTACCGGCTTCGTCTTTCTTTTCTTTCTTTTCAATTCTTCTTCTTTTAGATTTATTTAGTTATTATTTGATCTGGAAAGGCAGCGTAATTATTCGAACACGAGACGTCGATACATGACTTTTCATGTTTTTTTTTCTCCATTGTTTTTTAATTTACTTGTTTTCTCGCTCTGTATAGACTGGGATGCTTTCATTCTCATTATTCTTCCTATTGGTTGTCCAATCCCGCTTTCGTTAATGTGCAACACAGCCCCCTCGTGCATGTTCGCTTTCTTACGTATATACATGTATATATAGAATATGTATATATAGAATATATATATATATAATTTGTTTTCAACGATTTTTTTCTTTATCTCTACAATTTACATTTTGGGGAGCCGAGCGACTCGTAGGGATAATCGTATGAACCGATGCGACGAGATAATTCACATTTGGAAAACAATAACAAAATTCAACGACAATCGATTTAACAGAGATTTTAACAGTCATATTACGTCGCTTCTTTTCTTCCTTTTTTTTTTTTTAAATTCGTTTCTTCGTCGCAGTGGGATAAATTATCCCTTCGTTACCTTTCGTGATCGTATACCATAAAAAGTAGCGATACCATCGTGTATGTATCGTTCAACAGAAACGACAAATATTTAATTATCTAATTCGCACGATATATATCTCGAACAACATAAATGATATACCTGTGTCGATATCGGAGGGTGGAATTTCCCTTTCATTTTTTGTTTTCTCGCGACGCGTGTGTGTTCCGACTGAATTTTTGGTCAAAGCGCGTCCACCGGAAATAAAGCGACGGAAAAAGGAGGAGAACCGCTCGTGCTTCACGCAGTTTCGGTCGCAGAGAAGCGAGATAACGAGATCGCAATAGTCGTAGCACAGTTTTTTTTTCTTTTTTTTCTTTTTGCATCTTCTCTTATTCTTTTCCCCCCTCTTTGTAAACGTTTGTTGCACGATTTTTGCTGGTGCCACATCGTTGGGTTCGTCCAAGCACCAGCCCGGTATTTTTCACGGTTTTTATTATTTTTTTTTTCCCCCCCTATTTGGTTCTCTCGCAGAGTAATTTACCTAAGATTAGAGGTATGTTTAGCCTCGACCCCACTCGAGAATGCCCTGCCAATTGCTTTTTTATCGCAGTAAATTCCGTTCGAGCAAACGAAACGATCGAACGCATCGAATATATATTCATATTTCTTCACGTAAAACGAAATATGCATACGGCGTGTTCCTTATTTTATTTATCTGTTTGTTCATTTCAATTTTTTCATTTCTGTGGCTTTCAAACACACGCTTCACGGTGTTTAGTTTCACGCAAAACATTTATGGCAATTCCGGCGTCCTTTCTATTGAATACTGCTATGCGGATACACACTACCGCTCGTAAGTATCTGGATACATTATTTATATCCTCGGTAATTTAATTAGAGTCGCAAGTTTGAAACTGCGGATGAGTGGTGTGTCGGTCAAGATTCTGAGAATTTGAATTTTGATTGTTATTTTCAATTTTTTAAAGCGTGATTCTTCTAATCTCACTCTCAGAAAGGAATATGCACCCTGACCTTTCATAAAATTTCTAAGAAAACTTTCTGGAAGAGAGTTGTCCTATCTAATTTCATTTTTGAAACGAAGAACCGCCGTTGCTAATTCGGATAGTAATATTTAAATTAAACGGAAACCTATTGAATTTTAATCTTGATGTATCGTTTAACTTAATTTCAATACGTTGTATAATTTACAAACAAAATTTATAAGAAAACGATATGTATTATTTTTAGTCATTGGTTTTTCATTAATTTGTGTGTTTTGCTAAAATTCACGTGCTACTGTTATAAAATAGTTAAAGAGTCCGGGTACTATGAGCGGTGGTTGTACACGCGAATAATTATGGGAATAGGTTAATTATCCTTTCATCTTTTAATAACTTCTAATATTCTCGAACGATCCGTTTTAAAATTTGAATTATTTTGTTTCGTCGTTGATATGTAATTAAATCGATAGTAAGAAGTTGTCGATAAAATATATAACGAAACGAATAAGAACCGCGTGAGTTTAACATTGCGCTTACTAAATCGGTAAAATCTTTGTTCGTGACTTGAAAAAAACAATTTGCTGATATGTAAAGTACCTAAATCGTAATGGAGTATCGTGAGGTACCGAAGCGTCGATTCGAGGCATCGAACAGTTGACTCTAAGCTCGACTCTTTTTCTTTTTTGTTTCCTGTGTTCGATCAACCGCTTTTACTCGCATCCGTTACGAACATCCGTTCGAATCTTTGTAAAAAATTCTATCGTCGAACCAATGATTCGTAAATGCTTAAAAAATTTAAGCCGTAAAAAATCATCTGACACGTCAACTCCGCTCTTTCTTTTGTCCGTAAAGTGACAAAAATTCGAAACGAACTACGGTTGATGTGAAACGTTGCATTTCGTTTCTTTTTTTTCGTTTTTTCTTTTCATCATTCCGTTTCTTACCGAGAAGGCCCAAACAGATACTTGATGAGAATTCTTGCAAAGATCTCGCAATTAAAAAAGTAATGTCAGAAAGTTGCACTCGCCAAACAAATTTCTCGTTACTTAGAAAACCATATTATTTTTCGAATTTATCACGCATCCAAGATGCACGGGAGATGTCATCTGAATTTTGTAACCATTACGGACAACGAATCTTTCGCTGCTGGATCAGAATTCCCCGCGAAATCACAGCAGGTACCGCTCCTATGTTCAGGTACAACTTCATATACCCGCATCTACGCCTGCCGCTTTCAGGTATACGTATATACTCCTGAATCTTACATATTTTATGCGCCGAACGGTTTCGCTCGATCTCGCGTTTTTTATCATTTTTTTTTTCTCTTTTTCGTTTCTTTTTTTCTTATACTCAAAGCTGGCTCAACATCTAGGTACACACGATTTCGCACCTAGGTTTAATAAAAACATATCGTTTTAGAATAAATTCTAGGCCCTCGCGCGTGGCTCAAGCAAAACTTCAACTTTAACAACATATCATGCAACCCATTTTATCTTTTGTATCGTTTGTGTCTATACAGTTTCTTCTTTTCGCTTTCAAGCACCATGTTCGTGACAGAGCATTTTACACGTGGACTTCCGCTTTGTCTCAGCCGCTGGTATTTTAGGCGCGTTACGTTTTCTTTTTTAGCAATTTTATCGTTATTATTATTATTATTTCTTTTTTTTTTTAGATTTTTTTCTTAAACGTGGGACATTATCTTACTCTTTTTATTATTATTATTATTATTATTATTATTATTATTTTTGTTTTATACGATTCGGAACTGTGCTGCTACGTGTTCGTGTACAGAATTTACTCGTCTCTTCACTGGCTTATATTACGTGTTCGATTCGAGTCACGTGTGGGTTACAAGTTCGTCGATACTGTTTTTTTTAGTCCTTAGCTACACTTGAAAAATGTCACCGGTGGCACGGGGCGCGATGTTCGTTTCGAAGATGGACGTTGTCGAGGTCGTGACGGGAGCCATTTCGCCGAATCTGGTTGCGTTCACGTTGGTTGTCGTGATGGCCGTCGTCATTACTGGCGTTTCTTCGGTCATGTCCGATGTCGTCGGCACCTGCTAATGTACCCCCGCGTTTCAATTCAGAATTGATGGTTGCCTAGCGTAATCTTTTTTTCGAACCCTCTTTCTCTTTATTACCGAAGAAACGAGATGAATTGTGAAAGAGAAAGGACAATTGTTAAAGCCGCGTGAATTAATTTGAATCGTTTCAATTTCCAATTGGCTCTGATAGTCTTGTGGCATCGAGAAATATCTTGGTAAATGTCATTTGTAATCGTACTGTTAGGAAATACAAGACGAGTCTTGTACGAAATTTACAACTCAAATTACGCGAAATTTTTTAATATTGTTTTTGAACACTTTTGCAATAACTACATATGAAAACTGTTCCCTTCTTACGTGCAACATTACAATTATAATATAATTTCACTTGTACGAGTTCCAATTAATTGACAAGGAAGACTACTTTGACTTTGAGATGGGTAAAATGAATTAAACAAATGTCACATGGATTGCGCATGCTGACAATTTCTACGAAATACCTCGTTGTAAAACACTTCCTTCCCTTCCTCCACGGATGGCAACAGCTCGTCCATAGAGTGTGGAGTTCTCGGACTGGGCGTAGGGGCGATCTGCTGCTGTTGTTGCTGCTGTTGCTCCCGTTGTTTGGCCAATCTCAGCTCCTGCAACGCCTGCCGTTGCTCCTTCTCGCTTCTCTCTTTCTCGAGTCGTCGCGCGCTGTAACTGCGGGCCGAGGACGTCGAACTGTGAACCGACGTTAAGCTAGGGCGGCGAGAACCTATATAGGGAAACAACGGGTAGAATTTAATTCTGAGGTGCAGTCAGTGAGAATTACAACGTCTCCCCCCCTCCCTTTGGCCGTTCCCTTCGGCTACGCTAAGAGTTCAATTAGCTAGGCTTAGAGATCAATCAGAAATATAAAATCTAATTGCGACTGCTCGGCTAGTACCAGCGTGACTCTCGCTCTCTGTGAAAACGACGTTTCTATCGATCATCGATATCCAGGTATGTAGGAGCGTTAAGTAATTACTGGTGCTGGTCGTTGATTCAACGAGATCCCTCGATCGCTAGCTAATTATTCGTAAATGGAAATATGCAAGCTCGATGGTCGCATCGGGGGAGGGGGGAGGGGGTGAGAGAGGAGAGGGTGGGGGCGAAAGATACTTTTGTTTTTCGTAGGATCGTCGAGCGTAGGAAACTTTCGTAGCGCCCTTTGCTACGATTTATTCTCAGAAAGCCGATAGGAGGGAAACGAACGAAGAAGAAGAAAAAAAAAAAAAAAGAAAAAAAAAAAGAAACTCAAAATTAGGATTTCACGCGCGAGACGAGTGAGGAGGTTTTGAAGAGGATGCCGTGAATGAAGGATTTAGAAAATCGTAGAGAGCGGAAATGGATTCGAAGAGAAATGTTACGCGGTTGCAAAGTCGTTCGGTTGTTGGTTTCGGTTTTCGTTGAAAAATTAGGATTTCGGTGTTCGCGAGTGACTGTGCAAATTGTCATCGTGTGGAGATTGTCCATCGACAGCGAGCATTGCATGGTGTTATGTAATGTAAGAGGAATGACAAGCGGTTCTCTTCAGCGTGAAGCAAGCACATGTACGAAAGCGAACGCTCTCCCCTCGCGATTTCGTGTTTCAATTTCCCGATCTGATACAGCTTTTCGTGTAATTTCGAGTGGATCTTGCGAACATGTAGATGAGAGATATATATCGAATGATATTTTTAATTCTCGTTAGGAATTTAATTTCGCGATTAATTATTGTGTGAAGAGTAAGAGTATGTATGTATGTAAGTAGATTATATGCGAGGATGCGAGTATGCTTGCGAGTCGTTTGAGTGTTTCTAATTCAGGGAGCTTGTTCGGGGTTCTTATTGATTGACGACGCATACAAAAGGCGACAGAAAATACAGCCAGACAGAGAAAAAAGAGTGACAGTTACACGCGTGCATCCTGTTGCATATAGAGAAGCTTCATTCGAGATGTGTTATACGTTTTGTCCTTCGATTTCTAGCAAGCGAGGCATTCAGCAAGTATAAAGTCCGTGCATATTCTCTCCTCTCTTGCACAATTACTTTCATTCCTTTCACAGAGAAGCACGTGGATTATTCTGCAATTTAATTTATCCTCTAACGGTGTAACTTTTCGTCGATCGTCGTCGAAATGCTTGTAAAATTCGTCTTTATCGAACAGACAAACAGAGAAGCGGAGAAGCAACGAACAGGCAAATAGAGGACAAAATATATATATATATATATATATATATTTTTTCCTTTTCACTGTTTAGCGTTCGTTCTCGTTGCAGCTCTCGACAGAGAAAGGAAAAGAAAGAAAGAAAGACGAAGAAGAAGAGAAGAAATAAGCGACGTTTTAAAATGCAGCAAAGAAAAAAATATAGCAGCGGAAAGACGTAGCAAGCTTAATTAGAAAATTCAACCCCTTCGTACCCGTTTCCCCACCTGTCGATTATGGACGGCGAAAAAAAAAAGACAGAAAGAAGAAAAGAAAAAAATAAAAAAAAAGAAACAAGGAACTAACCTCGTTCATTAATGATTCGACGTGTTTATATTAAAATTTGGTAAAAAGGAAGAGAAAAAAAAAAGCGAACCCCTCGCATGCGAACCGGCGAACTGTATTTCTTTAAAATTTTGCGTGCGTGTGCGGCGAGCTAGCTAGTGCGTAAAGATTTCGTGTCTCTCTACGTCTTACCAGAGAACGTTCGTTCGTTAACGAGCAACGAAATCGGCCGCTGCCATCTTGCTATCTCGTAACACACTCGTGCAGCGCTTTATATTATATTGGATACACATTAGAATCACATCTCACGTGACAATGTAGCATTTGTGTTCTGATTCACGATATATATATATATACATATATATACATATATATACATATATATATATATATATGCCACACGTATGTGTACGTGGTTTTTCTTACAGTCAAATCGTTATTATCTTTTTGTTTTTTCTTTTTTTCTTTTTTTAATCTACTCGGGATAAGTGTGTAAGAAGACACGGTTGTGGGAAAGAAGTGATACATATAGGTATTATTCTCTTTTTCTTTTCTCAACGTTGTACGTTGTAATTTCGGGATTATCCGGATCGGTGGTCACCGTCACGGCCATCGGGTTCGGCGAGTGTGACGCAAATCGAAAGAAGTTTCAATGTTTTCAACACCGTCGGAGAACAACAGAGAAAGAAGGGGTGGGGTTGTTCGTGTACAGGAGGATAAAAACGTGAGCGGATGTTTGCATTTCCCTCGTTCCTTCGAGCCTCGATGCGACATCGATTTCGTCTCGGTGTAATCAGAAATCGTTAGGTGGTAACCGATACGACAGGCCAGCGAGACGAACGAAGGAACGCAGAGAACGTCGGGAGGATGGTTGGACAACCGGGTGTGCTAAATATCAATAACAACGACTACAACGACACAACAACGACAACTGTATGGCACGACTCAAAAGCACCACCACCATCTTCTTCTTCGTCATCGGTGTCGCCCGCTTTGTCGAGGCGACTCGTGCAGGACAGAATGAATACAAGATTGCAAAAGAGGGACGTGAGAAATGGGATAACCACAGGATCGAAAAGAGATCGGAAAGAATTTAATCGGGAAAATGATTTCCGTTTCACGTAGTTCTAGAAGCTACATCTTTTACGTGTACATCAAAATCCACGTGATCGTTCTACAATCAATCCTTTACGATCGTACTGAGCTCAGATACGGATCTCTTACGGTTGAAATCAATTTATATAATCGAAGGAAATATTCAGAGAAATTTGTCAATGCTCATTTCACTGTGGTAGCATAGTGACGTTGATATTGATGCGTGTCATTGTCATTGTGCGAATTTAAAGAATTCCGAATTTTCAACGCGATTCACCCTGTGACAAAACATTTTGAAAGACAACGACGTCTGTCTAAAGATTCTATAATATTAGAAAGTCGTAAGTTGGTGTATTGACTCAGCGCGACATACAATTAGATAGAATGATTCGTCGACACGTGACGTTGCACGTTACAACTGAAACAGTAAAAGTGCTTCGACATATGACGGTAAAAGGTTCCAGCGAATGACGATAGAAGAGAGAAGGGGGATGGAGCGATTTAAAAGAGTCGAAGAAGAAGAGAAACAAGTAAGTAGAAGTAGAAATAGAATGGGAATAGAGCAACGGACACACAGGTGGTGTACAGTTTGTGTGTGTGACAAAGAGAGAGATAGAGAGAAATAGAGAGAGAGAGAGAGAGAGAGAGAGAGAGATGCGGACGGACAGAAAGACAGAATAGAAGACAGAAAAGGAAAGAGTTAGAAAGAGATCGTTGATCGTCTACCGAGGCCGTCGGACGATCCCTCAGCAACGTCGCTAAGGGTACGTCGATGCTTGTTCCCGCCTTTGGTCGCCTGCAGGTGACACGATATAAGCAAGATGGCGGCGGCACGTGCCGCACCTGCTCTCGACGCTGGTACCAATGGACCGCGGCTACCGCCGCTGCTAGGCCTCCTGGAGAACGCGTAGGTCAAAGGTCCCGCTGTGCTGCTTCTCTGACTGGAACGCGAGGACGGCCGGCCACCGTGAAGCGTCAGTGGGATACCTGTTGGATCGTTTCCATTAGAAAACAACGTTTCCCTGGCAATTTCGATCCTCGTGTCATTTGGATTTTTCAATCTTACAATTGGTCCCTTAATCTAAATATAAAACTAAACGGAGAAATGATTCGATTGTTGTCATTTTTTTTTTTTTTTTGGTACGTCAGTGAAATCGACAGTGATCTAAGATTCTGTTATAAATGGAAACCTTTCACAAAGGTGTACGTTTCTCAATCTTACAATTGGTCCCTTAATTTAAATATAAAACTAAACGGGGAACATTTGGAGAAATTATTCGATTGTTGTCATTTTTTTTCTTTTTTTTTTTNTTTTTTTGACACGACAGTGATCTAAGATTCTGTTATAAATGGAAACTTTTCACAAAGGTGTACGTTGTTGATTAAAAACCAACCGTGTCATATAATCACGTATAATTCGTTGTATGAAAATTATATAACCGGAATTGGAATTTTGTAACTGGAATTGGAATTTTATAATTATAATTGGAATTCACTGATTCTACTCGCTATCTATGATGAATCAAGTCACGTTCAGATTAGCCCAACAACAACAACTAAAGTGTTACGTAAACAAAATTCTACAGTACATGCTCCCATGACATCAAAGAACAAGTAATAATAACAAGAAGTGGACAATCGTTATCAAGTCCTATTATATTCTACCGCGAGCGAGACACACTAGCCTGTGACAGTATCGAAATCAGCGGCCTGTTTTGTATCATAACAGTTCGATAGTTCCAGATTTAAGAATATCGACCTACACTCTTAAGAAATCGAAACGAACGAGACGACAAGAAGAAGAAAACATGAGAAGGGAACGACATGGGAAAGGAGAATACCGCACGACAGGATTCAACGAACTAAGCACTAGCCTAAGCGATCGTTAAAGTTGAGTAGGATTCTTCTCAAGATCCTGGCGAGTGAAACAGGGTGAAACAAAAATAAATGTCTTCGTCAAAGTGGAGTTCTTTATCGATAGTTTGGCGTTATTGATTTTGCATGAGAGAGTAGCTTTTACATAGCACGAGTACAGTTTCCGTGCGCCACGGATTCCAAGCGTTTGTTTCGACGATTGCCAAGGATCGAGACCTGCTAGGAGTTCGAGCGAAATCAATTGTTTTCGAACGTCGATATTTTATTAATACATATTTTACTAAGTATTTTATTAGTTATGCGTGTTAATCGAAATACTTAGAAATTTCACCAATATGGCATATCACGATTATATCACGTAAAATTTGAAACACATTATCAGAAATGTATTTTATTACAGTATTATATTATATATTAATAATATTATCCAATAATTTAATATATTCAATATATATTAAATTATTTAATAAATATTGAATTTACTATATTCACTTATTGTTATACTATATAATATTATTATACTATATATATTCAATATTGTTATACTGTTCAATATTTAACAATTATTACATGCTTTAAATTTTTATTAAATATTCGTAATGAATATCTGGTGACTCTTATATCACATTTTCAAATTTCAAAACCAATGTAAATAATTACAACCACATGGTGTTGGTGAAATAACACACCTACATACATAAGAGTTTTCTATGGTAGATGTATGTACGTGTTCAAATAGTTTCGTGAATCGCACAGTGCGTGTATCTCGATCGTTGATTGTTTAGATGAGTACTCACCCGTGTCGCTGGAGAACAGCATGGGCGGTGCGTGATTTGCGTTGGCATAGTGCCGTGGCCTTGAGTATCTCGCACGACTGAATAACTTGAGCACGAAGCATATCATTGCTGTGAATACCGCTATTCCCGATGCTATGCAGAGGAGAGTCGGAATATCCGTCGTTATCAGCACCAGATCTGCCAACAGATTACAACGCAACGCTTCAATTCCCGAATTGTTAGATTTCTCAGTGGCGTGGATCTTGATTTCATTACGTATACGTACAACCATTGTCGTTGAAGAAATTTCACTCTGTCGAATTTGCTATAATTGTCGAATCTTTTTGAATTTCATTTGATTGTATAAATTATTGCTGTTCGATTTTCTTTTAATATTATATCCACTCATATCTACCGTTTTTTCAGTTATTTTTAACTAACTTATATTTTTCTAAAATTAGAAAATATCGCTCAAGTTCAAGCGAAATATGAAAGAATTTTTTACCAATAGACACGCATGATTCTTCGATTAATTTTATGTTAGAATATTTTTCAAAATATTAGAAATCCCTTTTCAACTGACAATGAGCGTGAAACTGAGATATGAAATTCGAGGATTGCAGTAGCGCTAAGGGTTGAAAATATCGTGACGTTGAAAATGTCAAGTGATCTTGATCCGGAGGTTATATTATGCTAAGAGGTTGTATCGTACTAAGGAAAATAACTAAGATTTATTCGATCCCGAGATATTTTACGCATGCAGGCTGAACATGAGGTGGTGTTTCAATCGAAAACAACAAGTTGTACACGGTGTACCTTCGGCGCAGAACACCTTCTTGTTAGGCCTGGATAAGGCGACCTTATGGTAGCCTTCCTCACAGTCGCACACGGCGTTGTGTTGCACTTGGGTGCAGGTCGAATGCTGATCCGCAAAAGTACAAGTCGCGCGATAGTAACATTGCTCCCCGAGTCTCTTAGCTGGAAAATCGGTTACTCGGTTCAATTCTCTGCCGTTTCCAACCAGTCATTCCTACGATTCGCAACGCCGATTCTGATTTGCCAGTCGACGACGCGAATCGTTATTCCGCGCGTTATACTTTGCGTCCTTGAGTAAAAGTGCGATCAGAAATAAAGAATGAGACAATGGCACAAGTAAATGGACGATCGTAAAATAGCAATCTCCGTAGGATTCGAGGGAAAGAAGAAAGAAACGGGTGCAAAATCGATGAATCGAGGGTGTAGCGCGCGAAACAATAAAATATGCATCGTTTAAAAATAGAAAACAAGGGAAATCGATGCCCGATTGATTTTCATTAAAACGCGAAGGGACATGTACTAAAACGGCGAGCCGAGCTCTCGAGTAAAATCTCGCGAGATCAACACGGAGAGCTCGGAGAACGCGTGGAACATTGTCTTTCACGTTGGACGGAACAATCGACGTTTATTTTCACCGCTTCAGCTGTCCGCGTCACCGCTAGCGCGGTTGTTCCATGCTATCGGAACGACCTACTTGAATAACGCGGGAATAACGTGGGGACCGGTGTGTGAAAAACGTGTGTGCTTTACGTACGTTTGGCACATCCTTTGGTAGGCCCAAGACGAACCGGATAGAATTTCTCGCACTCGCAGAAACCGGTGACCGTGTCGCAGAACACGTGCAGCAGTTCCGGATTGCACGAGACGTCGCACGGCGAGCCCAGGTACTGCCCCTTCGCTGCAAAACACACGAAATCGATAGCATGCTAGATTATCTACGACGTTTCTCGATAGTAGATGAAATATAGGCTGTTCCTCTAAATAGCGTGCACCCAGTGTTAGTAGAATACTATCATATCGGGGTCACGTTTCATGGTTGCCTCTATCCGGGCATCGGAAACCCATTAATTACAGTCTCGCCCGCTTCAAAACTTTATCTTATTTGAATTAATTCTGGCCTGTGGTCTTTCCCCCATTCTCACATCCCCGATCCTGTTTTTCTATCGTCGAGATAAAAGAATTTTTATCGAACTGTTTTAGGCAATTTTAGCTAAGGTTTCGAACTTCGTTTAGGTTAGGAGGTGTTTAGCTTTATCAGTGATTTATCCTTCGATTCCCGGTTCTGGACATGATTTTCACCTCGAAACCTTGGAAGCAAATATATTAACTTTAATTCGAACGACCGCTTCATTATCATTTAACTCTCTTAAATCCCTGAAAAATGTCTTCAACTCACTCGTATTGTTTCATCGTTATTGTCGTGTTATTCTATTCGTTACACTCTGTTGTTCTTAAATTCGAGAAAGACGTGATATAATCCTAACTTCCCGCGAAGAAGGTTTTATTGAAACGTTGGAAATCTTTTTCTTTTCATCGAAAATTTTCAGCGTGATTAATAAAATAAATAGCTATTGTGTACATATGATACTGTATATGCGATATAGATATATATTACTACCAACGGTAAAATTTTTATTCATCCTAAAAAGCGTACTCGGTTTTTCGCTATTGTCACCGTTACTTGATTCTCCGATGAAGGCATCGTTGCTGTTTCAACTTTCAATTATTCTCGGTTTCGATACACGTCTTTGTCCTGACTTTGACGTGTAGCCTAGGTCTGTTGTCACGGGCGTCTGTTTGTCGAGCCATGAATTGCGCGTACATTCTGAACGATTAATGAAGCAAAGAAGCCATTGTTATTACACTCTATCCAGGCCACTTTCTCGCATCAAAAGATGCTTGATATCTGGTGTGCTTCTATGGACGACGACGAGACATCGAGATCGTTTCCACGTCGTCGATTTTCCAATGATTCTATGTATATTGTGATTTTAACGCGGTGCAAGCGAAATCGACGAGGTTTCCTTGCCAGATGTAAGACGAAAAGCTCGTTAAGTGTACGACGAATTTGCGCAATTCCTTCTTGGAATAAAATTCCATCAATCTCGAGAAAATGAAATGACAAAAATTAATTTAGTGTACGCGAGTACTAGGATATAAAATTCTTGATATATATTTTTCTTTAAAATGAAATCTTCAGAGACATTTCTCGCGTTTTCCTGAGACCTGAGACTTTCAACGCGATTTTCTTCTTACGAGCCTATATATAGAATCTCTCTGATTTGATTTGCGCCACGGTGGATATAAAACGTCGGCGTCTAACGACAAACTATTCCACTATAAATTCAACTAAATTACATAATTTTATTACTCGGCAACCGGACGATTAATAAAACCTGTTTCCCAGCCGAGGGAAATTAATGGAGGAAATTAACGGGTGAAGTTTTCTCGGGATAATTGCGCCCGTTCGCATCAGCGCGCGGGCATCGAGCCAGACGATTATCGATTTTCCCTTAATTATCGCATTATATCGTTATTAAATGTCTCCATAGCGTGGACCATGTTTAAGGAGATAGCATCACAGCGATCAGCAAGCGTTGGCAAACGTTCAGGAACGTATAACCGAACCGCCGAGATATCGTGTCACGTTCTCGCGTGTACCCTAATTAACCTTCCATCGAGGACACACAGACTGGCGCAATGGAGAACATCTTGTGCACGAGCTTTCACCTAGAAATAGGCTTGTTCGTTGCGAGCTCTAGAAACTCGCGTTTCAACCACCGATCGATCGATCTTTCGAACTGCAGATGAATGGGGATGTGGTCGGGCCCGGCTGCGTCGTGTAAATAATAAAGCAAGCAGAATTATGCTTTTTGACCTGATTCGTTCGAAAGTTCACGGCGCGCGATCATTAAGCCTCGATTCGACAGTGCGTGCGTGCGTGCGTGCGCGTGTGTGTATGTGTTATTCTTTTTTCATCGCTCATCAAGCTCCAACTCTCCAGAACGGGGATTTCTAGTGAATGGGTCGGCAAGGGAACAGGGGTGAATGACGCACGATATTTCGCCTTCTTCAGTCTCTTTCTCGTTTTCTCGTTTTCTCCTTCTCGGCCATTCTGCGTTCGCGAAGAAGGGGGCGAAGAGCGTGGAGAAGAGGGAGATCTCTTTGAAATCTTACGCAGCTGCAGGCGGTGTGCAAACTCCCACATGCAGACACCGCGAGAGCTTGCAGCATCCATTAAAATCAATACCGGCAGCGTGGTTGGCGCGAAAATCAAGAAGGACGAGCCTGTCCTCTGCCTTGTACCTACGCGCAGGCGTACTCGCGAATTCCAAAGCGTGATATGTTACGTCTTTCTTCAACTTGTGATTCTATTCCACGATGATCGACATACAGGTTGCGAGGAGATCGCGATTAGAGAGTTGAGGAATTCAAGGCGGGTGAGAAAATATCGAGTAACATCGATCTCATTGTTCGTTGTACGAGAAGATTTGTCCGCGATTTGTTCGTGAAGATTCGAAACGGTTGGTTTTAGAGAAGGTTGGCAAATGTACCGCTGAATTTTTTCCGTAACATTTACCTCCTCCTGTCCTCGCGTCAGATTTAATGAGGCGGATGAGAGCTACTTATCGTCTGACGAAGGGAGACGACAACAACGACAGTAACAAGTGTGTTTGCACCCTGGCTGAAGATTGTCGAGCGAAGTGTTTGCACAACCGCGTATCGAGCAGGCGCGAAGAAGGCGAGGCAAGGTATCCCGAGGTACACGCGTTTCTTCGATCGTCCTTATTTCGCGAGAAAACAACGATTCTTCAATGAGGACTATCGTATCGATCCAGGGACGAGCTGGTCGAGCTGGATATTCAAACGCGTACCTCCGATCGGTTTCATACGAAATGCAACAGGATCGGAGAATAATATCTTTGTTTGAGAATAATGTAAACCACTTGGTAGTAGGTTTTGTAGTAAAAAAAGAAAAAAAGAAAACATTATCAACGATCGACGTATCGTTCACGTTATCGAGTTCCTCGCTAGTATCTGTTGCTAGTCTTTCGTTCCACTGCACCACTTCTTCTGCATTGCCTACCAACCCCCGTAACAGCCCCAACAGAATTCAATATCCCCACAAGTACCATCACCAATCTCGTCAGGAAACGTCGACGATTCTCACAAAGTGTCACAAAGTGTTTCGGAGAAGCAAGTCGACAACCATCGCCCATCGTTGCGCTGGTGGTTGAATCGATCGTATCTGGAATATCCATCGTTTCTTGTCCGCGGGTGAAACACTCACCCGCAGTGATGTTCTGCTCGAGATAGTCCTGGTCGTCGTCATAGTCGTCGGCGTCGTCAACGTCGTCGTCGTAGCTGGATCCGCGCACGTCATCACCTGCCAGTAGTTGGCGGTTCAGGCGATCCGGGCGCGCGCCACAGCTGCAGCCGGACACCAGGAAAACGAAGCAGATGAGTAGCAGGAGCCAGGAACGGCAGCAGGTCAGTTTCAGGGCGGAGGGAAGTGCGCTCATCGCCCCCGCGGCGCGAGTCAACCCCCGAAACCGACCACCGGCGGCGCATCGACATCCTTCCCCGTCGCCTGCCCTCCCCCCACCCGCCCTCCTGCACGCCCTCTCGCCCTCGACGCCTCTGATAAGCGCGTTATATCGCGTCGAACCGTCTGTAAAACACCGTGGCCACACCGACGACACCACCTCAGCAGCTCGCCTCCTCGGCTCCGGCACACGCACGATACTCCGACACGCGTCGTCCCCCTTCTCGTTTCCCCTTTCCTCTCTTCCCTTCTCTTTGTCTTTAGTTTTTTCGGCGACGACGACCAACGGGCCAACGGTGACTGTCTAACTGCCACTCTCGGGAGAGTATCACACCGCGGTTCTCGGTTCCGTGATCCCCCGTTCACTGACGCCTTCCTTCCGCTAGCCGGTCGACCACCGCGACTGCAGCTGCGCGATGCCACCCGTTGACCCCTTCCTTTTTCCTCCCTTCGTACCGCGTCGATCGAGATCAGGGCTGCTCCCTCCTCCCTATCTCTCTCTTTCTCTCTCTTTCTCTCGTCGTTGTCCAACCTCTAGCCACCAGGGGGTGAAGGATTATTGGTTTGTTACCTTTCCAGCCGGCTACCTTGAAACCAACTCGATCAGAATTACTTATATGTATGCGATCGTGCGTGCTGATACTTCGGTTAGTATCCGCTCCCCATTCGGTGGGGATACCCAGTTCCCGATATTGTGCCTCGTCTATTTCCTCTCCCTCTCTCTCTCTCTCTTCCTTTCGTTCTCCTTCTTCGTCTCTGTCCACAGGAACCAGGATCTAGAAAGATCTCGGTGATATTCTTCAGGCACGTATATACGATGGCTTTTGCGATCGTTCTCGTTCGTGGATGGCTTTTAGGAGGACTCGTACTGACTCGACGTTGATGTTGATGTTGTACTGTACTACATGACTGTGTGGAATGGGTAATGGAGGATCGTGTGTCGCATTGGGAGAAGTCGTTTCGCTTCGTTCGACGTCGTTGTAGGATATTGGTATGGTTAATCGAGCACAGTTTCCTTCTTCTTCCTCTTTTTTTTTTTTTTTTTTTTTTTTTTTTTGCAAAAACGGGTTTTTTTTTGTTGTTTCTCTTTCGTACAATATTTTCGTACATTCTATAATAATAAAAAAGTGAACACTCGCGTTACGAGGTATTTCGTTCGTCACGCGATGATATCTGTTTCTTCGGGGCGTTCTTAAAGTATTTTTTTCTCCTTCGTTCTAATTTATCCCGATGTCGTTCAAATTCAACGTGAGCAGTGCATCGTGACTTTCCTCCTCCGAAATGAGACACTCGTTCGCTTCGTGTGTGATAGCCTTTGGATACAGTGCAGTCTGCATGGTGGCTGAAGAGAAAACGCAAACGTTTATTATTAGTTTTATTAAGTATCTGCTTAATTTTAGGAAATTCGACTATGAAACCATGTTACTTATGACTTTCGATTAGAAAATTAGCATTATGTAGAGAATTATCTTGTTTGTTGCGAGCAAACAAACAGCATTTGCCACGATAATGAGAAACGGAAATGCAGCGTCACGTTTATCTTGTCTCGAGTATCCGGTCTTTTTTTTTTTTTTTTTTTTTAGAATTTTCTTAAGTGCGTCTTATATTATTTTCCCACGAGTGTCGCGTCACTTCTATCGCAATACCTGCGTGCATCTTTTTCCTCCGATGTCTGCGGATTGTGAAGTACACCGCCGTTGTCGTAGCCGCCATTATTAAGATCGCAACTGTTGCAAACGTTCCAGCCATCCTGGACACTGCGTCGGTGTTACTATGATACGGTGATGGATAACACGGCGATTCTTGAAACAGAAGATAGAACTATGTAATAGATAACTTTTGATGTGTGTCGATTGTTTTGCTTTTATCCGACTAAATGAAATGAGTAAGCAACGAAATTGAAACAAACATAAACTAGCTCACCTTCTGATACTGCTTTTGTTGTGTAATTACGAAACGTGTTATTTATTCGTTATTTCCATCATATTGAAAATAGTGTATTTCCAATAGGAGATATTATTATTTAAAATATTTTTTCGTGTATTTTCAATAGTGTAAAGATATTATTTTTTAAAGATAAATTTATGTAAAAGATATTATTTATTCGTTATTTGCAGCATACGTGTTTTATAACGTGAAGCTTTAGGTAAAACAGAATTTGTTGGAATTTTTCAATAAACGCAACGAGCAATTGCGCGAGTGTATTTATGCAAAAGATATTATTTATTACGTTACTTGCAGCGTTACGTGTTTTATAATGTGAAATTCTGGATAAAGTAAAATTTATCAGAATTTTTCAGCAGATAATGAATATCTGCGTGTATATATGTAAAAGGTATTTACTGGTTAGTTGCAGCATTTATAATTGTGAAGTTTCAAATAAAACAGTATTTGTTAGAATTTTTCAATAAACGCAACGAACAGTTGCGCGACAGTATACTTACGTAAAAAGTAAACCGTAGCTTTCCTAAAGAGGAATAGTTACATTTTAGCAACAGGGGATCAAATAGTACCTCTTTCGACGAAGCAGCCAAGCGTCGATAGACTATCGTTGGAAGTTATAACGAAACAGAGACTTTTATTGCTGGCTGTCTCGTTGCATTGGTAACAGTACGGCGCGTAACGTTTGACGTTCATTAACGTGCTATTCGTCTCGTTGTGAACCGCAAGTCTATGAACACCTTTCTATTAATAGTTCGTCGAATCCATGCGATTCGATGAATCTGTGAAATTGCCATTCTACTCACCCATCGAGATGTGTATTGTTCGAGTCCGTTGTTAAAATACACACAGTGGGTTGGTCACAGTCCCGTCCTGCCCATCCGTAAGAGCATTCGCACTTATCTTCCACGCACAATGCGTGGCCTTTGCAAACGCGTGTGCACGGTTTAACGCAGGTGCCGTTCGCGTTCGTTTCGAAACCAGCGTTGCATCGACACTCGTTCGGTGCGACGCACTCGCCGTTCTCGCATCCATTCTCGCAGAATGGCAAACAGTGATCTTCGGCTCTCCTGACGAAACCTTTCAAACATTGGCACACGCCCGGTTCGACGCATACACTGTTTTCGCACGAGGGACAGATCGGTGCGCATTGACCGTCCACGGTTTGCGTGTGGTTGCCGATGCAAGAGCAAAAATTCGGCGCTGTGCATTTACCGTGTTTGCAGCTTGGCTCGCAGATCGGTTCACAAGCTGATGTATACTCATCCGTGATGTTATTCGATACCTACGTATTTGAAAAGAGAAAGTAGATAAATAGATATATAGATATATATTTATAATAAATATGTCTCATATATTAATTTAAATATAAATATAAATAATATTAATTAAAATTTTAATATAAATATAAATGAAATTAATTTAAATATAAACAGATACATAGATATATTTATAATACATATTTATAATAAATATATATTTCTCATATGTGAGAAAATCATGTATCATATATGGACGCTGTTCTATTCTAGACTCAATTCTATTAAAACGATGAAAAATCTTCGCGAATGTCGGAAGAATGTGTATATCTTTCAATTCAATTCTGCGTTAAAAACGCCTACACATGGGCAATCCACTTTACATGAGCGTACGTAACCTCGCCAGTCGGCAGGAGCGAGGTTCGGATTCTGGTTAAAAAGCCACGGCCACGATTTTACTCACTTCGTTCTCCTTCGCGCTCGTATCGATCATTCGATATCCATCGAAGCAAGCGCAAGTGTCTGGTGCCACGCACACTCCGCGAGGCTCGCAAGGAATTTTGCAACTAGGCACGCACGTTTGCTCCTCTTCCTTGAACCAGTAACTTTCCGTGCAGTTGCAGACCCCTGGCGCGACGCACGTACCATTTCCGCATGGTTTCTCGCAGATTGGCTGGCATTCGCGTTGCATCGTCGCGTTACCCTCGCCGAGTTTGTAGCCGTCGTGGCAGGAGCAGACGTTGGGCGCCGTGCAGTTTCCGTTCACGCAAGCGTTCTCGCAAGCCGGGCCGCAAACGTATTTGGAATCTGCCAGTAACTCGTAACCTGGGTTGCAGTTGCACACTTCCGGCGCGACGCAACTACCATTCGCGCAGGACTCGCTACAGATCGGTTCGCAACTGTTTGTGTCGTTATCCTGTTGGTATCCTGGCTGGCAGGCGCAAGTGTTCGGCCCGACGCAACGCGCGTTACGTTCGTCGCAGTTTTGCTGGCAGATCGGCAGACATTGCGACCTGTCAACAGACAGTTCGTAGCCTCTGTCGCATTCGCAACGATCAGGAGACACGCAAACGCCATTCGTGCAGTTGCCCTCGCACACCGGCTCGCATACGTACTTCTCTTCATTCGGTGCGTACGCGAATCCTTGCTTGCACTCGCACGTATTTGGCATCACGCACTTTGCGTTCACGCAAGAGATCAGGCACACAGGCACGCAGGCTGTGCCCTGCACTGTCCAACCGTAGCAACACGTTTTCTCGGTCACCCAGTTGTGCTGAAAATTAGATAGGACGAGATTTGTAATAAATTTATGATATTTCGAGAATTAAAAATGTATAATGTATAAAATTCGATAGTGATAAACGTTGCATGTTGAAAATTGGAAGATTAATTTCACACGCCTTGCGATAATTTTTATATCACGTTCGACTTCTTACTTGGACTTTGTAGTTTGTTCGAGACTTTATTTTAGTGAAAATGCCCCAAGCTCGTGCCCGGTACGTTTCCGTGTAGGGGACATATTGTTCCGTCAGTCGTCTGAAACGATCATGTTCGTACGTCGTAAGTTTGTACACGAGAGAACTTGACACTTTCTGTGTATTACCTGGTGGTCATGGTGCATCCCGATTCGATGTCGAATGTCGACATCATCGTCAACGTTTGTACAACCGTTACGAGGATTGTGTTTATAAGAATTATGCTGCCAACGTGTCTCATGGTTTTCTCGTTCTTTTGCTCGCACGAGCGATTCGTTATTGTAAAACTCGGACTGATGAACTCGACGGCACCGTATGTGTATATGAACATCTCGCGTTATCAATACGAGACAGGATGCTCGACATCGCAGATAATTTTTCTCATTGTTCATCTTGGAGATGCATTGCGGAGATGCATCGTCGGGAATTTCTTTTTTCCATAGATTTTTCAAAAAGATCTCACTTCGTAATTTGTTGCACTTTATTGAACGATAACATTAGGTTGTTGCGAAAAATATCGCTTCTGTGAAGTTTGAAAACGAAATTTACCGTAATATTTCTAATACTAAATATTAAAACTTTCATTAGCTGTTGTGTACAATCAGAATATTCAAGTGATTCTTTTATCTGAGCTCGGATTTGGAAAAGAGTGGCATGAAGGGAAATGAGTTTTGAATTCAGAAAATGTTAATCATCTCATTAGAAAGAAAAGAAAAATGTGTAAATTCTTTTAACAGCGATTGTTAAGCAAACGAAATGTAAAATCTCCAAAGTCTAAAAATTTCTGATGATTCTTCTAAATCTAAATCTAGATCTAGATAAATGAATCTCTTGAAGAAATGCATTTAATCGCGTGGAACTTATTACTAACAGTTTGGTCGATCATATGACAATTAAAATTTTATTAAAAAAAAAAAAAGAAAAAAAGAGCATTATCTAATAATTTAACAAAATTTGTAAAACAAGATTCATCTTGCAATTAAAGGTTATTATCTTCTTCGGATGAAAGGATAGGTTGTCCTTGAGTCGTTGTTGCGGCGTTGTTACCTATATTTCGTAAAAGATAATTCAGAATTTACACATTACTCATAATTTTATGTTCACGACGCAGCGATGCATTAATTACCGAGAGAAAAGTTCCTCTTCCTGCTCTTCCGTATCAACGAATAGACCATGGCGCCGCTAATAGTTGTAATCGCTGTAGCACACACGATTCCGGTTATTGTTGCATAACTCAGGCTTTTCTGGCGTTCTACATGTGCTCGATGACAATTGGTATCTATAATATAGTGCCAGAACGAAATAATAATTTTAAAAGTGTGAAGGAGAGAATTCGACGAAGAACATCATTAATCGATTAATTGGGAGGTGGGCATGAGCAAGCTGTGCCACAAAAATGTTGAAAAATGAAATGTTTATATAATTCTGGCATTTCTTGGTCTCTTAATTGAGGTGGCAGAATGAAAAAGTAGTATTCTTAAAATTTTAATGCAACGTGACTTACTATACTACTAGAACTACCAAAATAGTCAAAACGATTAATTTATAAGTTTAATTAGAAATTTTGTAGATGAGAAACAGTATATTTTTAGAGACTTAAATGATCCTTCGTAAAATATACAAATAAAAGTTCGTGTAATTGATCGTGCAGATTTTCCAATTTTTTACTTTAACCTTTCCACGCTCTTGGTCACATATGTAGATAATTAATTTACGCCCTAAGCTACTTCCATTCGCTCCCACCTTTACAGAAATAGTTATTTTTTGAAATTCTGAAATGTGGACTTAATTTTTCTTTGTCTGTTATTTTCTTTATTCACCAAAAATAGAATGTAATGAAATTAAATTTCTTCTTATGTGAACTGAAATTGAAAATTCGTCCCTGAAGAGGTTCGAAATTTTATGCTATAGTCTCATCGGTAGTTCCAGTGCTTCTTGCATTGGATCTCTCAATTAATAACAAAATTAATATTCACAACAAAATAAGAAATTAATCAACATTCTTATGTATCAGCATAATCATGTACAATTATTATGACGCTCGCTACTTTATTAATCCTATTGCGCAAGAGAGTTAGTACTTGCAACTCGTAAAATTATTATTAATAATATTAGTTAAGAATTCTCGAAAAATTGTTTTCTTTTTGGTACCTGTGCTGATTAGACAGGCGATCGTGTCATTATCTGTGTCGTCCATTTCATACTTCCCAAAACACAAGGTCTCGTTGTTGATTTCGCCTAAACAATCGCGGTAGCACAGTGGACTATTGGCAAACACGTAACCAATCGTGTCGTTTACCTCGTATTCGATGTTTGATCTACACGAAGATAAATAAAATTAAAGAGACACATTGCAAACATCCGGTCGATCGAAAAGTTTTATCGCTTGGTTTTATTTGATTATACCTTGATTATATCCGAATAATCTTGCAACGTTGAATTTCACTGTTTCGCGGATTAAACAAACGAAATTTACGTTTCCGCGAATTTCACGAGGAAACATTCGTCGAATTTTATCGACGAGAAAGGAAAAATACGACAACGGAAAATTTGTTGATAATAAACAAACTACTAATTAATACAGTACAATTGAATTCTCGAATACTCACGCGTTCAGACGTTCGTCCGTGTAGTTCATCGTCACGATGCAAAATTGCTGTTCCTCGCAATGCATCCCGTCCCATCCGTAGAAACAGTGGCAGGTTCTGTTCTCGACGTCGCAAGTTCCACGATCGTTGCAATTGTTTTTACACGCGCTCACACAGTCGCTCGAATTATCGTCGTCCTCTTTGATGAAACCAGCGTTGCATCGACAGTCGCCGGGCGCCACGCATACTCCATTGGAGCAAATCTCGCAGTGCGGTTCGCAAAAGGTTCGATTCTCCTCCTCGACCGAATCGAAACCTACGTTGCATACGCAGAGCTCAGGTTCCACGCACGTTCCGTTGTCGCAAGATTCGCAAAATGGTTGACAATGATTTCTGGCGATCGTCGCGTAACCCACGTGGCAGGTACACTCGTTCGGGGACGTGCAGCTACCATTCCCGCAATCAAAGTCGCAAACAGGTTCACAGACGAACGTTGTTCCGTTATTTACCAACTCGTAGCCATCTCTGCATTTGCAGGTGTCTGGTGCAACGCAGGTACCGTTAACGCACGGTATCGTGCATACAGGTTCGCAAACGTTTCTCGATGGGCCGTAACCTTCGTTGCAACTGCATGTCTCCGGTGCGCTGCAGAATCCATTGTCGCAAGGGTTATTACAAACAGGTTCGCAAATATTCGAACTGTTCTCCGATGATTGATAGCCTGGTTGGCAGGTGCATTTGTTTGGGCTAGTGCAGTATCCGTTTGAACATCCTTGCTCGCAGATCGGTTCACAAGTGCTGGAGTTGTTCTCCAATTGTCGATACCCTGCCAGACATTTGCACTTGTTCGGCTCGCTGCAGAATCCATTAACGCACGACTGGTCACAGATTGGTTCGCAAGCGGCATCAAAGTCGTGTGACAATTTGTAGCCAGAGTTGCAGCTGCACATTCCAGGAGCACTGCAGTAGCCGTTGATACAGGGCTCGTGGCAAACAGGCTCGCACACTGTTTGGTTCTTCTTTCGATATCCGTCGTTGCAAGAACACTCGTTGGGCGCAGAACAAGTTCCAAACAGACATTCTTCGTCGCAGGTTGGTTCGCAGATAAAGGGATCCTTTGGATTTGGATGGTAACCGTTCATGCATTCACATTCATTGGGACCGACACAGAGACCATTCACGCAAGGTCTTGTGCACAGTTCACAGTGATTTCTCGCCATCAGACTATAACCTGGGTAACATTCGCAGACATCCGGATCCTTGCAGTACGCATTCACGCATTCTTCGTTGCAGATTGGCTCGCAGACATTCTCGTGGTTCTTTGATTCAGCGTAGCCTGGGTAACAGCTGCACTCCCCTGGTGCACTGCAATACCCGTTCTCGCAAGTCTGCTCGCAGATAGGTTTGCAGGCGGACATGGAGGAGTAGAATCCCGTATACTAGAAAAAGAAGAATTTCTTTCGTCGTGTTTCTTTGTTGCTTAAGTATATCTAGAGTCGTAGACCCACGGGAGGTAATTCGAGGATGAGGAAGAATTTTTTGCACTTCTTTGAATGAAAATTTTACTTTCTAATTTCTTTCTTTCATGTTCTTGGGAGCTTGTTCAGAGCTTGAAGTTAATGGCCTTTTTCCACTTTCTCCACGTCAAAAATCCACTTTTTGAATAATAAGAATTATGTGTTACAGGTGAGACATCAGGATTTTAGAGATGGGGCATGGTCAAAAAAAAGTTTGCAACCACCGACCAAGAAGGTTGACAAGCTTGTTTAGACCAAGACAATGGTCCTTTTAGGCTTCCTCCATGTCAAAAATTCACTTTTTGAATAATAAGAATTATGTGTCACAAGTGAGACATCAGGATTTTAGAGATGAGGCATGGTCAAAAAAAAGTTGGCCACCACCGACCAAAAAGGTTGACAAGCTTGTTTAGACCAAAACAATGGTCTTTTTAGGCTTCCTCCACGTCAAAATTTCACTACGTGTCACAGGGGTGGGATTTTATGGCATCAGAATTTTAGAGATACTCAAGTGGGGCATGGTCAGAAGAAGATTGGAAACCACTGATCTAGATTATGTACTTGAACAAGAGTCTATTTAAATTATCTAGGATCGAGATTCTAATTATCAACTTAGATTCAGGATCTCCCTTTATCACGTATTGCTTTTCGTCGCATTTACCTCAATGTGGCTCTGATCGAATTGATAGCCCTCTATGCAAGTACAAGTGTTGGGAGCGGTGCACTCTCCGTACGGTTCGCATGGAATTTCGCAAATTGGCCTACACTCGTAGTCGTTTATCCTTTCGTAACCGTTGTGACAATCACAGTAATTGGGACTCGTGCACATCCCGTTCGCGCAAATTCTTTCACAGACTGGTTGACAGGCGTACATAGAGTCGCTGAGCAATCCGTAGCCCTCGTGACAAATGCAACGTTCCGGCGCTCCGCAATAGCCATTCTCGCAGGGCTCGCTGCAGATCGGCTCGCAGTTGTTTTCTGTCATTTGGTATCCTGGATTGCAAGTGCAGACACCCGGCGCCGTGCAAGTGCCGAACTGGCAACCGTTCTCGCACTTTGGCACGCAATTGAACACGTCCTCGGGATCTGACTCGTAGCCGTCGTGGCAAGTGCAAACATCCGGTTCGGTGCATTCTGAATTTTGGCACGTGACACGGCAGATCGGCTTGCACGTCTGTGAATCATTAGAATTAGAAAAGGAAAGACCGTTTCCTTCTGTCAATCTTATGTTATATAATATAGAGCAAAGAAAACGAATGACAATAATGAGAAGTAGCAATGGAAATGACACCTGTGCATATTGCTGTGACAATCGCGGCGTAAGCTTAAGCAAATTAATATAAATTGTGCAATCCTGGAAAATTTGATAATTTTTACTCAGTTCACGGGCAAAAGATTGAAACAGAAGAGAGTGAATACTGGGCATTTAAATTTCGTATTAAATAAACATTTAATTTGGTAGATAGAAATAAATTTTTCTTTGCAGCACTCAGAACATGATAGATCTTCAAATCTTCGAATCTTCGAACGATGATATCAACGGAATCGTTGATTTAAAAATTAGTTGGAACCGCGACGAGACCAACGATTCACGAATAAATGCAATCTTGATTACACAATTTGCTTTGTAAGTCGAAAAATTATAAATGTAGAATTTTAAGTGTATGGTTTCTCATACGCACATCGCGATCGTCCGTAGGTTCGTAATTTTCTATGCACGAGCATTGATTCGGGGCGGTGCAACGTGCGTGTTCCGCTTCGCAGTCCTGGTTACAGATTGGCTCGCAGATTTCGTTTTCGTTCATCTTATATCCCCGATTGCATTCGCACACGTTCGGTTTGACACACTCTCCGTTGTGACACTCGTCGCAAACAGGCTCGCAAGAGTAATAATTAATTAGCCTGTAGCCCTCCTTGCAGTCACAAATGTGATCTTTTTTATATAAAACGTTCTCCACGCAGTGGGCATTCACGCATTCAGGTATGCAGACAGGCACGCAAGTGTCGTTCCTCATTTCATAGGAAGAACAGCATTCTTTTTCGGTGCGATAGGCGGTGTAATACTAGGAACAAAATCATTAATCGTACGCATTCGATCCCAATCAATTTTTAATCTGACTTTTACTGAGATAAAAATGGATGTTTTATGTACTTGAGAAGAGAGTTATATGCTCAAACATATACGTGTGTTCTAAAAGTTTATTTATTAGTGAAGCTATTTATTTAGAAATGTTACGAGAAGACAAGATAAACTTTAATATTTTATTATTAGAGACTTAAACAGAAACCTGTTGCAGTTAGTACTGAAGGAACGAGAAAATACTTGAGAGTTATTTTAAATCAATAATATATTATGTAGGAATGTATAAAACAAACGAGAAACTGATTATTTCTAGAAATAGTTTCTATTTTCAAATATAGATCACTCAAATTGCAAGCAATAGTAATATAGTAGATAAATAGTAATATAGAGTGGGTCAAAAATCACTTCCTACTAAAATAAATCCGCAATTCTTTTATTATATCTGGCGATCAACATTTGAAAGAAGTAATTTTTAACACATAATGAAAACATCATGTTTGAGCTTAAATTTAATTTGAAATTAATAAAATTAGTTTTTTTTATATTTTGATGTTTTGTTAGAAAAAAAAAAAACAGATGAAAAGAAACGTTTGGCCCACCCTGTGGTAGTAGATAAATCTATAAAATATTCTAACTATTATACTTATGTTATGATCTTTGTTTCGTGCATAAAAATATAAATTTACATAAATACAGCATGTCATGAAAGAAGTGAATAATTTGTGAATAATTTTTTAATAAACTGAGATAAATATATATTTTATCAATAGCTTACTTAGTTTTTTAATTGTATACGAAACATAATATCAATAAAATGCATGCCCCTTTATGATATTTTTATATATTTCTTGAATTTTCTTACGAATGTTTCCTTTTAATTGCTTAGTCGTGAACATTTTCCTTTAAGTACAGTAAAATCTCGTTTACATGAGCTAATTAGTGCCGAGTCTCATATGTACGAACTCATAATTATTCAACTTCTATGATCCTCACCATTATTATTATTCAAACAAGCAAGAGCAGCGAAGAAAATTTTATTACCCGAACTTCGTTATCCAAACGAATAATTTGTCTTCTTACGTAGTCGGATAAACAAAATTTTACCACAGAAAACAGTTCGATGAGGAGGAGAGTAATTTCTAGCAAAATTTATAACTTTTTAAAACACTAACACGTTGTCGGGGTGATAAACGTCGCGATGATAAAACTACATGGTTAACTGATAATTCATAAAACTTTAATGGAAACTAAATGTCAAAACAAAAAGATGTTTCTTTCACGACAGCTTGTATCAGTGATCGACCAATCTCAATGGAAATGGACATTTTTCGCAGGGAATCAAACGGTTTACCTCCTTTCTGTAGTTCCATCGGACTTTCGTTTCGTAAAAGATCCCCCATTTTCTGACTCGATAGGTCTCCCTGTACGGAACGAGCTGCGTAGTTCTGTAACTGAGAAGAAATTTGCACGAAGATTGAATCGATTCTTGCGGTTCTTAATTCTTCTTAGTGACAATACGCGAACATACCTGACTAGCTTGTTGCAATTTCCGTAGGTAATGCTATAGGCCAACATCGTCGGCACGATTCCGGTTAGTTGAGGAAAAACAACGAAAAATACAATGTAAAAAGAAGTCATGTTTCGGGATCTGTCTCGACGCGGTCTGCAGTGTATCAATGGATGAACGATACTAACGCGACAATTCTCCAGAGCGTATCAAATGAAACAGGATGCGTCGGAAGCGATATCGTTTCCAGACGAATAATTAGAAATTATGGAAAACACACGTCACGCTGTTTCCGTGTACATCCTCTTTATTTACGAATGATTGTACAAAGGTTACAGAATACTCGACAGAAATCGAAGACTGGAGCTAAGGACATCGGCGAATCGCTGTTTTCGAATCAATTATGACACACGCATACGTAATTCGCAATCGTACTATTAGAATTAGAATTAATGTGCGTAGTAATTCCCCGTTTAATAGACGAACGTTTTCGATTCTTTGCGCTTCTGAATTCGCTTCGAAGGTGTGAGTGAACAAAATGGAGAGAACGGAGGTCTAGTGTTCCAGATTCGAATGCAGTCATGTTTAGTGTCGTTTTTATCGAGAAAAACTTTCAATATATATCCGCCACTATAAATCCAAAAATTTTATTTCGTCGATTGAGATAGTATCACCCACGTTCCATGGAAGCAGATTCCAAAATTGATGGCCTCAACCATCAATTATTTCGTCTATTACACGAAGCGCCTATTAACCTATCAACCATACATAGTTTATTCGCTCTCGAATATATCTACGGATAAGACGGCACGTAACGAAGAAAAAAAATGAAAACAACAAAAAAAAAAAAAAAAAGATACAAATTGTTAAGCCAGAACGCATCTCTGTCTGCCCTTGACGCCAGACTCTTTCCTGTAACCAGGATTGCAGATGCAGAGGTTCGGCGCTGTGCAGACGCCGTTATGGCATCCGCCTATGCATACCGGCACGCATTTAGTTCGAGTCACGTCGGAGGGGCTTATGGTGTAGCCACGTTTGCACGTGCACCGATTCAGGCCGGTGCAGTCTCCGTTGAGACACGGCAGCTCGCAAAAGGGCTCCGCTATTTGACTTCCTCTTTGAGGGATGCATCTTCCGGTATCGGGATCGACCGCGAACCCGTAGTCGCAGAGGCAACGATTCGGGCCTACGCAGCTGCCATTTGGTCCACAGTCTGGTTGACACTGCGACTCGGTTTGCTGATTCGACTGTTGATTAGACTCGGGACACCTTCCAGTGACTGGGTCGACGGCCATTCCGTAGTTGCAGATGCACATGTCAGGGCCGACGCAGAGGCCGTTGGTACCGCAGCCGTTTCTGCACTCGAATGAATTCGAGAACGGAACGCATCTTCTGGTATCCGGGTCCAGGCGGAAGCCCATGTTGCACGTGCATTTGTTAACGCCGACGCATTGGGCGTTTGGGCCGCAATCGACTTGACAGTCGGTGACCTTCGACTCGGCTTGCAGCGTGTCGACGCATCTACCATAGGAGTCGCGGGCGTAGCCAGTGTTGCAGTTGCAAACCCCTGGAGCGACGCACACGCCATTGCCGCAGTTTTGTGGACAATGCGGGACACACGCGCGGTTGTCATCTGGAACGTAGCCTGGATTGCAGTCGCAGATTCCAGGGGCCAGGCACTCGCCATGGGCGCAACCTTGGGGACACTCTGGAATGCATTTGTTGCCGTTGAAGTTGAGGGTGAAGCCTGGTTTGCATTGACAGACACCTGGAGGAACGCACTCTCCGTTGGTGCAACCTCGAGGACACTCGGGGACGCATTTGTTCGTGGAGTCGAGGTTGAAGCCTGGTGGACATTTGCAGACATTGGGCGCGATGCATTCTCCGTTGACGCAACCTTGAGGACACTCCGGGGCGCAGCTGGTCCCGTTGAGGATGTAGCCTGGTTTGCACTCGCAGACACCTGGCGCGATGCATTCGCCGTTGGAGCAGCCGGAAGGGCAGCTAGGAACGCACGACTCCCTGTCACCCGACGGATTCACGAATCTATAATAGAACAACGAATCTGTTGTGCTGTGGCAAAGTCAACTAAAAAACGCTAAAGTTTCGTAAAGACACGAAGCGTTACGATGTATTAAATGAATATCACAGAAGAAAGGAATTTCAAGATGCTACGAACAAGTTGAACTTAGAAGATTCATTTAGACGATAATCGTTCTTTGATTGATCGATTTACCCTTCGTGACAAGTGCACACTCCGGGGCCAGTGCATTCTCCGTTCCGACAGCCATTTTCGCACACAGGCACGCACTCTTTCGCCTCGATGCCGGTCGAGCTATCCGGCGATGGTTGAATCACGTATCCTGGCCTGCATCTGCATGTCCGGGGTGCCACACACTCGCCGTTTTTACAGCCACCGGGGCAGATTGGTTTACACTCGCCGTTTTCTTCTTCGTAACCTAGTTTACAAGTACACACGTTCGGCGAGAAGCAATAAGCGTCTTTTTGGCACAGTTGCTCGCAGTATGGCATACAGATGCCCTTCTGAGGCACCCAGCCTGATGAACAAGTGCATACATTTGGCCCGGTGCAATTCCCACCCAAACATCCTTCGTCGCAGCGAGGATCGCAGCCATTGGAATTGATATTACGCTCGTAGCCGTCGCAGCAGTCCAAAATCGTGATCCATCCGCCTTTCTAATAACCGAAAATGGGAAACGTGTGCATAAACTGATCGACGAAAGTATTTGTACACTTATTGCAGATTTTTATTTGAATTTCTGAATTGGCAAGTCAGATTGATGATCTTTTAATTGAGAATGATCCAAAAGAGAAGACGTACATATATAGCGGTTGGCGAAAGTATTTGAATAGTTGTTATATCTTTTATTTGAATCTTCGAATTATACATCAAATTAATAAATTGCTAATTAAAAATGGTCGAAAGGGGAAAATGTATACAGTGATTAATGAAAACATTTAAACGCTTGTCGTAGAAGATTTTCATTTAAATTTTTGAATTATAGGTTAAATTTAAAGGGTTCTTCTAATTAAATAAGACTTTCAAAGTTGATGTTTATATAATATAAATACTAAATATGTAAATACCACTGTGTATACAGTGAAATATAATGTTTCTATGTTCTTCAATACATTTTATAAATAATGTTATTTCTAATCTGTTAATTAACTACAAATCGGCAAATATCAAAATTACAGGTGCATAAATTACGGTGGTATAAATAAAATTTGATGTGAAAAATTTGTGAAATGTCGGAACTGGTTCAACGACTTTTATCGTGCAAGGCCGTTTAGGATCAGAAACTATAATGAAGCAACCTTGAAAATTAAGCTTATCTCGTGGAAGATACTCGAACGCTGCGTCTCTAACTATATTCGTGTCCTTGTGTAAAATCATGTCTACGATAAAGTACAATGGTTACAATGTTGCATGTAACATTCTACATTATAAAATATAGGATTTCGATTATTTATTCGAACTAATTGAAAAATGATAATTTACATCTTGGTATTCTAATCTGTCTTTTCAAGTTTATTTACAATTTATTTAGAAATTAGTATTTCTACGAGATTACTTTCCTTTTCTGCTAATAATCATCTATTGGTTGTTACTATTATCACGAATATATGTTTCTGTATTATATATCAAATATCACTATACTTCTTTTTTAAAAAATTTTTTCGTCACTACATGCCTAATGACTAATTAAATATGATAACTTGTTTGAGCAATATGCAACGTGTATGTGTATCGTTAACCATATCTAGAGTGGTAATATTACTGGAATAAAAGTTGACACTAAAACTACTAGCAATTAAAATGTAAAACTTTTCTTCAGAGAGAGAGAGAAAAAAAAAAAAGAAAAATAGAAAACTTTATGACACAATAAAGTGCACGAGCTTTTATTTACACACTTTATGAAAAATCATTTAAATCTTCGAAAACACATCTGTCGAAATATCCAACTAACAAAAATTATGAATTGATCATTTTGATCATTTAACCGCGGTAATTCTAGTGTTAAAAAATAAGGACAATATCTGTCAATATGTCTTCTAATCTGTGTATTTACCGTGTCTTCCTGAGGTGTCGAGGGGAGCGTGTTGTGAGGGAATTGACCCGTGGCGTTCAACTGCAACGCGTCCGCGTAACTGAAAAGAAAGAGAGAAAGACGACAAATTTGATGAGCGTATCGACGATAAAACCATCGTTCAAAGGTCGCCGTTCGTTCGCATATTTGCGATTCGACTGCGATGTATGACCGTCGTCGCGTCGTTGCTCATTTAAAATTATCGAAAGTTTTCTCGTTTCACTCACCGTATCCTCTTGTAGCAGAGTCCAGCCTGCACGGTGCTGTTCAAGGCAAGATTCGATCGATCGTGATGAACGCGACGGCCCTTGACACCTTCGATCGCCAAGGTGTCGGACAACAGCAACGTCCAAATAAACGAACAGACGAACAATGTTTTGTACATGTTGAATCCGCGAGCACCAATGGATTACTGGTTTCTTATTTTCTCGGCGCGCAGGATTACATCTCTTCTGATAACATCGTGGGGTCACCACGGCGTTTCTTTTTCGATTACGTAGCTGTTCGTAGAAGTGTTTATGAACGCGACCAGCATCCGTGTATCGGAATTCAGCGAATTTTACGCCCCTCCACTCTCCCACTCACCAGTCTAGAGTCTTTTTTAAAATAATCGAAGACAGTGGAGCACGTTATTAATTAAGCGCGATCTTAGACATCGAGACTGAGTGTAGAAGATTTACGTACATTCGAGGCATATTTTTCAATTGAACATTACGCTGAACATACATACAATTACGTTGGCAGTTGCTGTAGGTCAGTTGACTTTCTTGTGTATCTCACTTGCATCTCCTGTTTCTCACTCTGAGCAAAAGAAAATTTTGATTGTATTTAATTTTTCTACGGAGCAAGAGCGAGTAAAAGATAGAGAGAGATGGTTCGCAAAGTTGATTCATTGATTCATTGACGTAGCAATCAGTGTATTCTAAGAATTGCTTGTAGCTAGAGAAAAAAAAAAAAAAAAAAAGAATAAAACACTCGAGCGACACTTTTGTATTGCTGAAGGCGAATTTTCCTCGCTTCGTTGACGTTTCTATAGAATCTCATCTTCTGAACGTCGGCTACCTTCTTTCTCAACATTCTGCATATCGTTTCGATTTATCATAATTGTTTCCTTTCTTTTTTCTAATTGCATTTAGATAACATTTCCGGAGTTTAATTGCAAAGTCGTTTATAAAAACTATTCGTTTCCTTGAATCGTCATTACGTATTGAGCTCAACTTGACAATATGAGAAAAATCGGGAAAACGAAAAGAAATAAATACACAATATGAATAGCCATTTAAAAAATGATCGAATATTGAAATGCGTTAAATCAATAATATTGACTGTTTAAATATTTAATAACTTTGTGTTTTCTATGAAATACACATCTGTATCAAACTTACACGTAAATTTGCTTTTCAAAATCTTATTGGAATGCTGAAAATGAAATTTTGGAATGCCTCCGTACGGATGTAATACATTCACAAGAAACAAAAAAGAAACATCTACATGTGTTCGACTATGGACAATGGAAATGTTCGGCACGCGTGAAACTCGCATATTGCCAGTTTATGTAATCCATCGATACCGTTGCTTCACAGAGGATGCAGCGCAGTGCGACGAGATAAAACAAGCGAACGGGAGGCGCGATGCCGTCCTATTTTTAAGTATGTGATAAACTGGACGTTTCAACTCGTACCGCGATAACTTGTGAATGATTTACTGTGGATTGACCAAAAACAAAAAAATGATAATTCTGTAAAAGGAGTATACCATCAAAAAAATGACTATATGAATATCGAAACCTTCGTTGTCGAAACCTTCAGTCTATAAAACAGTACAGTGATTATATTATAATCTGTTGAATTCTTCCATCAACTGAAGATTCTAACAATAAAAGAATTTGCACAGTACAAGTTGTTTTTAATGAAAAAGAAAAAGAAAATTTATACAAAGCCTTCCGACATATAACTCATTTAATGAAATCTCGGTATTTGAATAAAATCGTGTAACACCAAGGTCTCTCTTCTATGTAGTTTATCACAAAATTCTCGAAGAATTTAACGAGAAGTGGACCAGATTACGACGAGTGCAACGATTACGGCGAATTTATCGGTTTAGCATGGCGAAGCTGAGGGATTAAACGCGCTGATATAAATATGATTATGCAAGCACTATCCTAATTACGACTTATCTGTTTTTTTCTTTTTTTTCTTCTTTTCTTCTTAGCAAATATCACTACGACGTTAGTTAAACGCATGACACAAATTTGTAACTGTAATCTATTATTATCGGTGATGTCAAGTGAAGACATATGTATAGCACAGACGTTGTTACATAGTCGAGTCTTAAAATGTAAAATTTAGATCACGCTTAAATCGCTGCTTGATTCTCAAACTTGAAATCGTTGGGTTTATTTTTAACACTATGACGATTGGATTAGATATTCTGTACATGCTGTATATTTTTTGAGTATGCAAATTTCTCATAATAATGATATCATTGTGACGTCACTGGTCCTTACAGATCTTTAAAAGATATTTATATATATATATATCTTTTAAATCGATCAACAATTTCCAATCTTAATAATTATCACTTAATAATTATTAATATTATCACTTAATAATTATTAATATTTATCACTTAATAATTATCAATATTATACACGCTGTTCATTCAAGTATTTTCAGGAAACGCGGTTTAAACTCACTCGTACATTCTTAATGCACTAATCGGCAAAAATTGGATCAATTGCGATAGAGTACGTAGATATTTCACATTCATTAGTTCCTAAGCTATATTTACGCGTTATTATTCTATTAAATATCTCCTACGCAATACTGTGCTGATAATGTTATTGAATTAACAAGTGACAAGTATAGAAACTATTACACAAACAGTTTTTCATCATTCTACTGCTTGCAAATCATTTTTTTTTTTTTTATTACTGTTAAAACCTGTTCTCGACGTACACGAGAATTGATTAGTATTGGTAACTGGTGACTCGTGGCTTGCAGAATAATCCTCCAATAACAGCGTGCCGCGAAAATGTTTTCAATTCCCTATTTCGTATCTTTAAAAGATACTTAATCCCATGAAATTTCTTCGAAGCAAATTTTTACTCTTCCTGAAGAAAACTGAACTTGAAAACTAATTGTACAATATACTCTCCCTTAAAAAAAAAAATTGCTTACAATTACTCTTCCTTAAAAAAGGAAACCTTTCGAAAACTTAAAAACTAATTGTACAATATAAGAAAGACTTTGTCGAGTAGCCCAAAGTTCCTTAACATTTCTTAAAAGCCCGCAACGGTAAAAAAAAAAGTTCAACGTGAATATGTGCTTTCCTATTAAGAGTAAAAAAAAAAAAGAAACTTCTTTCGAGACATTCTCGTATTGGTTGAATTACGCAGCGTTGACGTAAGCGCGTTCAGAGGGCTCGATGGCCGCCGATTGATGTGAACGGTTTCCGAGGAGAGAAAAGTCTCCTTGTCACGCCCCGGATCGTTCGATCGGAGCTGCGAATGTTTTTTTTTTTTTGCTTGGTCTAGGAACGATTGCAGTCACGTTCAGCCTTGCACACTTAGACGAGACCCGCGTAAGGTCGACAACCAGTTCAGTTGGATTTTTCCTCGTCCCGTAGACGAGCTGGCTGGCTCACATCCGCCTTCGGAATTGCGCTTGAGCCTGACACTTGAACAATAGACGCATAAACATCCCCGACAATTTTATCATCACTTTCTTCCTTCCCTTTCTTTCTTCGAATGCTCGAGCGCATTGTTTAATTACACGGCTCATTGGTCGAGTTAGCCAGGTGATTTGCCAGTTCTCTCTAACTTTGAAGTATTAAAGTGATTGTCAGGCTAGACAATGAGGTTCAAAGTTTCGCTTGCTGTTACTTCTACTTTTTTCTATCATATATATTTACAGGCTTGTTGATCAAACGTGTCCCTAATTGAGCTGCAAGTCGTTTATAGATTTCATTTTATGTCTCATTGAGACGTCAGAGTTGTATTTAGCTAAATAATTAGGGTTTCTCGTAGGCTTTCTTTAGCATCCTTAGCTTCACTTCTCCAAAGATGTCGAGATTTTTTAATTAAACGTGCTGTCGATCGATTTGTATTCTTCTCTTTTGCTAATCGAAATACAAGGATGCTCGTTCGTTCGACCGCAGTTTTCCATTCAAACTCTGGTTTATTATTCAAATCACGCGTTCTTACGGGAATTTAAAGGACTCGATTGCAAAGGAATCTCGTCGTAAACGTGTTCCGTGTTTAGATCGAAGTCGTTTTGCAGATGGATCCGCGTTGCTGGCGGTCGATCGTAATGATCTTCTTGGAAAAGACCTGGGAAACATAAAGTAAAAAGAAGAAAAGAGGAAAATACTATAAAAATATAGAAAGTAGCGATATGACGGATAGATTCTTTCAAAAGGAAGGACGTATACTTGTACGTGAATAAATCTTCGTGAAAGGAAGGTGCGAAGATGATTAATGACAGGAATATTGGCACATGTGTTTACCATGCAGATTTCCAGATATACGTAGACCAATCGTGGCAGCTCCATTGGCGTAGTTGCTCGTCAGATCGTTATTAGCCATGGATGGCATCACTCTGGGCTCTGGGGTGGAAGCAAACAGTGGCACCAAGCGAATTGGCGTTTCTATAATAGAATTATAATAGACGTACGGTCAATTAATTGAATTATGAGATTTCGATTTAAATAGAACCTTGATTATCGAGCAAGTTTCTCTCCCGTGAAAGATAATTTATGTCAAATTATTTTTAATATTAATAAATATATATTAAAACTAATTTTAATAAATATTAATCCTCCGCTGGATTTTTTGTAATTTTTCTACTGTTTTCGACTCTGAAAAATTCGGAGAATTGAAATCTCCACTTTGATGTACGATCGATCCTCGAACCAAACATTTGAGGGGATAATGAGCAAAAACAGAAATTCGCTTCGGAGACAGTGGACACAAACGACCCAGATTCCTCAGATCTTCGATTTAAAATGTAACGATTTTCAGTTTTCATTTTGATTCTTTCTTAGGCAGTCCTAAATTTTTTTTTTCAATCAATATCCTTGTAATCGGTCGTTTGTAAATATTAGAATATCAGAGTTCTCGAAGAAACTAAAACATTCAATTACAATTACTCGATTCACCATTTTGCCTCGTAGGCTGGTTTTTCTAAGAAACTCCCCGATTTCTGATACGATCGAAATAAAAGAAAAAAAAAAAAAAAATAGAAACGTGTACGGTATTACACCAATGCGAGCGAAAAATCGAACGCAGCGGCCTTCGAGAAAAAAAAAAGGGAAAACGCGTTACCGGATACCGTTCTAATTCCCTGCGAATAATCCACGCTTGAAGTATGGTTCAAGATGGTCATCGAGATAAGATTACGTGTGCGAAATCGAGGTCAAGGACAGACAGATTTCACCTGGCTGCGAGAAAGGAGGATTTCGCGAAACGCGTCTAGTACTCACGGGGTAGGCTACCGGTGACTATCGACGAGATCTTCGTTGTATTTGTGCTTTCTTGGCTCTTCGTCTTGCCTTCTTCGTATATCGAGATCCTTGCTGCCTCCAATAACTTTGAACGCATGTGGAGGACCATCACCACTGCTACCGAGGTTAGGCCCAATGACACGATCGATGCTACCACGATTAGAGCAATGTCCAGGGAAATCGGCGCTGGTTGAATGTCTGTAAAGAAGTTGTTATTATTATTAGTCTATGGATGTTTAAGAAAAATTTATATCTGCGTCATTATCGCCGATTTAACGAATAGATAAATATTTAATCAAACATATCGTGGGCAAATCTTCATGACAGAAATAGAAACAATGTTGAGGTTTCTCTCAGTCATAAGAGTATAAAGATGATTTTATTTTATGTATTTGGTGCATCTTTATATATTATGGGAATTTGTAAAATTTTTATAAACGTATTAGGCTGTAACATAAATTTTAAAGTTATTAGTTTATGAACGTTTAGAGAAATTTACTTCGGCGTTGAATATTGCCGATTTAATGAAATGATCATATCGCGAGCAAATCTTCGTGAACGTAACTATAGAAATGGAAACAATGAAATCGAGATTTGTTTCATTCACTACGTAATATAAAGATTATTTTATTATATTATATTATGCATGCACCATGTGTATTTATAAAGTCTCTATAAATGTAATACTGTAAATGTAATTTCTCAAGACTTTACAATCTTATGAATATCAAGCAGGCATTTATGACATTTAAGAAAACCTTAAATGTGATTCAGTACTTGGTTCGTAATAGAATTGTTGCATGAATAGTCGCGATTAAATTAAAGTACAATATTTATGACAACGTTTGGTTCATAGCGGATTAATTGTACAAAATGGTCATGATTGAATCGAAGTATTTATGAAATTATAATGAATTACTGCTCGATTCATAATGGATTAATTGTGTAAAATCGTCGTTTGTTGAAATCGAAAGTGAAGGTCACGTTTCTACTCTATAGAAATATACGCACCTTTGTGTATATTTTTGACATAATCGGTTTTAGGTGGGCCGATGTCGTGCAGGTTAACGTTGTCATCGACATGACTCACGAACGGAGTTTTCATCGCGAATTTCCCTCGGTCCTTGTCCAGGTTTCTTCTTCGTTCCGGCACGGAAACCCAAACGATCACAGGCTTGGCGGTGCTCGAGTTTCCATCCTCATGGGCCTGTGTCCTAATTTTCCTCTCATCCGAGGTCGAGACGCTGCTAGTTTCCGGACTCGTTGTTCTGACGCCAGGATTATCCGGCGTGACAGCTGTTTCGCGCACATCTTCCAACAATTCGTCAAACGAAACGACGATTATTACGTAAATCGCGCGAGCCTGTTTGCCATGAGTTTCATCTTATCCAAATGAAAAATATTTTGCCTGACGTGTGTTTAAACTCGCGGCTCTCGGTCAACAAAGTTGCATCACGCGCGAATAAATATCTCACAGTCAGCACACGCACGAACACGCGAGCTCATCTCATTTCTAACTAAACAGATTTAAATGTGCAAGAATGTACAGTGTGTATATAATATTTGAGAAACAATTATAGTCAGGCAATGAACTTACAATTAAATATTTTACATTTCAATATCTTAAATATTTAATTACATTTCAATATTTTTATATCGTCCAATTGGATCCCATTTTTTTAAATATATATTAAAATGTGAATTTATTTATGAACAATAATTTTCTCCATCTTCAACGTTTAAATTACCAACCGACTAAGGTATAAAACTTGTACCAGAGAAATTCAAAAGCAAAGAGTATAAAAAAAATTGATAATAAAATGAAGAACAGAAGCGTTCACATTTATGTATTATATTTGACGAAAATATATTCTAAAATGCATCGCGTTATGTATCAAATAAAATATTAAGAATCAGCCATTTTGACGACTCTGGTGTTAAATTTTCGTTCATTCGTTCAATTGTTACTTCAATGGACCGCTCCGCTTGAAATATTTTACACATGCGCGTTTTTATACATCTTTGAATTCTTCACTGAACGTGTAGAGATTTTTATTTGTTACCTGCTGTGCTGGTCTCTGTTGTTTCCCAAATCCGCGAGGATTCTTTGTCGAGTTGAATGATCGTGAAATTCACAGCTACGCTGTTCTCCTCGTTCACGTTCCGAGAGTAGCTGGCGTTCTGCACGGGAACGGTGTTATCCAGATCTTCGTGGATGCATCGACCTGTTTCCGGATGACATTCCCCGATCGGATCCTTGCAGTCGCATGGGAAAGCGCATCCAGGTCCCCAGCGATCGCTCGAACACGGCTTATTGCATCTGAAGGTGAAAACCGTGATTATATGTGCCACACGTGGCAAACGTCTGCTGAGGTTATGCATTATAGGGGCAATTATTAGGCCATCTGTTTCAATCAACAGGTTGCTCACAGTGTGTGTTATGTGATTGTACGATAAACAGGATGCGTAGAAATCAATCAGAACTTGTTGAATCGACGATGAGTCATGACATTTCTCTTCTTCGCGGTTTTTCAAAATATTTTTTTTAAACTGGAGGTCGTGGTTTTGAACGTGTATTAAGGAATCAAGGACTTGTGTTTTTTATAGACGTGTGCACGAAAATACTTTATTATTACACGCATTTTTGTATATATTGTATAGCATCATGTCCTTAGTATTTATATCTTTTTATGTATTATACTATAGTGACTATTAATGCAACGCTAAGTGTTGAAACTGCTATAATTTTGTAAACAGAAATTATGCGGTAATGAACTTGAGCTTGTTTTAAAGTTTTCGAAGAAACTCCTCTTTCAAAATGCATCGCTCATTTTATCCTAAGATATAACAGACGACAATGTGAAAACATTTTTCTTTTCGAAAATGCTGTAAATTGTTATAGTATATAGGGCTATCGAAAGATTCTTTTTCACGAATCGAATTACAATGGATTTGAAGATTAAAGTCTTTCCTTTGCGATTTTCAATCTTTCAAAATTTGCCGTACGATCTTCTTTTTATCGCTAGTTTATTGAATTTTGAATTATCGGGCGAAATGTCATGATCTCTTGAATTTTCTAACCGTTCAATATTCAAAGTTTCAAATCCATCGTGGAGTTCAGTTGTAAAAAATATTTTTCAATGTTTCCATATATTATGACAATTTAATGGTATTTTAATCTATTCTAACTGTAAGAGAAGATTTCACATTTAGAGTCAATCTTCTTCGATGTTTAAAATCTGTTACTATTCTAACAAACTAGCGATACATATTCCGGTGAATGGAACAGAATATAAATAAAACTTTAGTCGAACTAACACACGCCATTTTCAACAGAAGAATGTACATTTTGTAAGGGAAATGAGATGAAACCCCGAAATTACCAATTTTCACGTCCAAAGTCAAGCCACCTAATCTTACATTGGACTTTGAGTTTCAATGTCGCAATACATTCTTCTGGTAAACTAACAATTTTCTAATTTACGCTCCCTTGCTCGTCTATCAGAGATGTGATTTACAGATGAGGTCTTACATTTGCCCGTGTAATCCCGGCGGACAAACACAGTGTCCATCGATGGGGTTGCAAGGCACGTCCCCGGCGCAGTTGCATTTCTCCTGGCATTTGAAACCCCATGTGCCCGGCGGACATGCTGCAACGAAAATAGAGCGGATTTCTGCGTGAGCTGCGTAATTATCGATCAAACTGTGAAGCTCGAATCTTTTCTTACACTTTCTTTTTTTTTTTTTTTTTTTCCTACTCTCGAGATAATTGCAACCGACGATGGCGCAACGAAGCCAGCTGGTCGGTTACTTTTCCGTTTTCTCGAGTAACCGATACACGAGCGGTGCGTATATGTTGCGAGAAAGAGAGCGGAATATCGGATCACCGATTTCAGAAACGTAACAGAACGAACGGGTGAAAATTATTCGCGTTCTCGCGATTACGGAAGGTCGGCCTGTTTCATTGAGCGTGAAATATATCCGCACTGACGCGGAGTTTCGTGAAGTTCGTTCGTTTCGCGATCCACCGAGCGAATCTGGCCGCGGTTAACGAAAGATACGCGATCGATCACAAATTGAAAAGTTCGCAACGAAAACAGTTCTTGTCTCTCCCGTGTCTGTATTTTTTTTTTTTTTTGTTTCTTTGGCTTTTCTCGTAGAAGCAAATTTTGTGTTTTAACTTCAACTCGGTTGCGTTCTTTGAATCATGTCAAGTCCAATTATATTATGAAATTGTGAATTTTGTGATTTACGATAAAACGAAGCGTATATCATTATTATTACCATTATCGCTTGAAAGATCAAAAGACAAGAGATTGTTTTATTAACAAAGAAAAAGAGAAAAGAATGGAGACTTACTAGTTTGACAATTTTTATCCTGACTGCCGGGAACACATTGACACTGATTTGGAGAAACACAAATTCCTGACGAGCATTTTTCACAGAGAGGCACGCATTTCATGCCTGCGGATGATGTCTCTTCATTGGACGAGATCGTTTTGTAACCATCGCAGCATTCGTTTACGATCCTAGTTTTTAGTTCTGTCTGTTAAATAAAAGTATTATTATTAACCTACTATAACTCGAGTAAATTAAATACATATTTATCTATTTATATGTTTTGAACATTTTTTTATTTTATCATTGTGCTATTAGTTTGTCAAGTAATTGTTTATAGCAGTTATTAGTTCTTGCAAAGTAGGTACCTTCGTTAGAATGAAGAACTATAAATAATAATAACTAAAAGTTAAGTTTCAAATATTCGGATACTTTTTAAACAACCATTTTCATTTAAATAACGTGCAGCAATAAAATTATATATACGTTATAGAATAATTATTGATATTATATTATATATACGTTAAAGAATAATTATTGATATTATATTATATTGATAATATATATTTTATTTAAATTGAAATGATTCTTTCGTAGATTGGACGAAGACTCTTGCAGTATACTGATAGTTTCTTTAGTTAATTTAATTAAATTCACCTCGACATTGCCAGTGATCCCTACGAGAATCTGCCTCGGCTTTTCTAATTAGTATTCGAAATAAGCATGCAATTTATTCGAACGAAGTAATATAAGAGCAAGTTCAATGAGCGTCTAGTTTTCAAACTGTACTGCAGTTGAAAAAGCGATTAAGAAACAAAAACCAGGTCGCTTTGGCCATCGAACGAGGCAGTGTTCTGGCAACGTGACTGCTGGATCTTTGGAAAAAAGATCCTATTTTTTTTTTCTTTTCTTTTTCCGAAGTAGCTTCCTGAAACGAGATCTCGATACGTCGAGAACGAAAGCGTGTAACGGTTACGTTCGTAATCCTTTTGTAAATGGATACGCGCGAGAAAATCAACCTCTGTAAATTACACGCCTGTCTTTTTCCTCGCGCCTTTTCGTTTCACCGTTTCTTTTTTTTTTTTCTTTTCACTTTGCTCTGTCCTGCACTGAATGAAAGTGATAGTTTTAAGCATTATTCGCGATCTCTTTGTTTGAAGGCCGCACAAGTGCCATTTTTATTAACACTTTTTATTGAATTTTAGAAAAAAATTTTATTTGGCTACTATTTGATCATATGAGGTGTTATTTTATGAAAAAGGACTTTTAATTAAATAATATAAAACGAATACAAAATTGCAGAGAGTGTATTTGAATGTATAAATGCAGAGTGCATTTTATATATATATATATATATGTAAATACAGTGCTTTCTGTAATATTCAGTGGGTAGAACCTAAACAAGACGATATTCCCAAAAATATATATTTGCATAAAAATCCGCAGAATTTACATGACACAGCGAACGTAGTATTGCGGATGCGGGTTTTAAAGGATTAATTTTTTAACTTTTATGTCACGTGTCAAAAGCCGACGTGAATAATACATTTTTCATGGAAAAATAAGCCAAAGAAAAAAGAATAATATTTTCTTTTTTCGAGAAAATTGAATTAAAAACTTTTTCAGATATAGTTAAATTTGGCTCATTCTGAGCTAACAAAGGAGTATAATTAATACGAGATTATTCTATCTGTGAAAATAAGTAAAAATCGAATGAAATTTTATCACAAATCCTTTTAAAAATTTTGTCAAGCAAAAGTGTACAATTCTTAACCAAACACGTCCAAATTCTATTTTCTTAGAAACCAGGCCTTAAACTTTTATTATTCTGTTGTTGCCTTATTTATTAATCTTAAATTTTATTCCACACTTTTGCGAATGTTTTGATTTCGCTAAATTCAGAAATACCTGACAAACTCACAAACTCGAATTTCTCGAAAACGAATTTCTCAAACGAGAAAAATGTTGTTCCTTCCTTTTGATTCATTTCCTTCATATAGAATTACTCCTTGTCACGATTTTAGAGACACCCTCTACGTTCCAAAAGTCTTCTCTTTCTCAAACATTGATGATTAAATAATGGCTCGACCCAAACTGATCGATCAAGATCAGATTCGAGATGTCAGCGTAACTCTTAATCGAGACGATCGTCGATAAATGAACAGAGCGTTCGCCCTAGTATCAATGAAACAATCAAAGCATTGATCGTTCGATATTTTTGCATGTTAAACGTCATCGTTCATAGCTATTGCTTACTGCATTCTTTCCGGGATGGAATTCGCGCGATTTGCTTTGAACGACACTGTCACGGTGGCTCGGCGAGATCGTTGCGAACGATAAAGTCGATTAACGTCTTACGAGTGACGCCATCGAATCGACACAATGTTGCAATTAGGATCTATCTGTGGAAACCAGGGACTCGTTATGCAATCGAATGTCTCACAGATTAATAATATCGGTTATTAACGTGTTAATTAAGCGGAGAAAGAATCGAGAACCGAGTTAAATTGTGTGACTCGATGAGATTCCAAGATTATCATCGTGTTTTCGAAAATTAAATTATTATTACATTGTAGTGAAAAGGTTTATCTACCATAGACTTCGATCTTATTGAAATAATATATTTCAGAAATGAATGAATTGAATAATAGATGATATTGTTGTTATTATTCAATTTTAAATGGCGTGTCATTCATTAGATTATCTGAACATGAGAATGATTTTTCTCTAGACTGTTCCATCATTTGACTATTGATGGAAATATCGTTTTACTGTCTTTTTAATTTGAATGAAATTTTATTCAAACAATTTCTCCAATATTTCCTAATTCTTGATTGCATGACAGATATCAGATAATTTGATTCAAATAAGAAGTTATTTTAGGAGTGATTTATTTGAATCTCACGCTACAATAAACTTACTTTTTCTATATCTGAAATGAATTCTTCAAGAGACAGTTCATTATTTAAAGTTGTTACTTTTTATTTTATTTCAAACAATTGAATTGTATGAAATTATCATATAATATAGCGAATTATAAAATTCTATCCAATAGAAAATATATTATAATAATATAATATATATATAGAAAATATATTATATTATAATATATTTACACATTTATTATTATTATATATATACGTTTATGTTTATTATTATTTATTATTTATACATACATATATTTATGTATTTATATATATTTATCATTATTTATTATTTATACATACGTATATTTATATATTTGTTATTATTTATTATTTATACATACGTATATTTATATATTTATTATTATTTATTATTTATACATACATATATTTATATATTTGTATTGAAAATGTATTTAAACACGGATATACGAGACAAATCTTTCTGTTCAAGTCCTGTTTATAAAATCCTGAATTTATGTAATCATGCAAATGATCGTAGGATCATATCTGAAACAAAATTTATTTCAACGAGATTTAATGGATCTGGAAAGAGATCTTCGCTGAAAGTCACGCTATGGAAAAATGAGTAATTTAAAATTCCATCAGGGAGCGGTTCGATAATGTGTCAATTAGCGACGTCATATCACGATTCCGATGAATCTTTCGACATCGATCAAAGTTCGTTACGCCACTACTACTATTAATGCTCGGTTCAGATGCCAGTTCTGCGTTCTAACGGTAATAGCGTGTCGAATGGATTTCATCTAACAGTCCCACAAGCCGGGAAATATCGGTTCGTTTTCACAGATCATTCGAGCGAGCCAGCCTCATATATAAAGTCAATGCACGTGATCCTCGTTGCACGATTTCCGTCATTCTTGAAAGTTTTATGTACTTATCGTGTGTTTCGTTACTTCCAATTCATGTTTTTTCATGAAGCCCAATTACTAAGATCTTAAGCAGCCTTCTTAAGTTTCAACGTACAGTGGCTTGCAAAAGTATTTGATTGCTAGCATAAATGTCATTCTACTTGTTGATTAGCTGGAAATTGATGATTTAATTGGATATTTATTTACTTACATTATTATTCTAGAATGTGGATATTTGCGCGATTATAGATTTTTAGTCAATATATTACAGTTAAGATATTGCAATACGTATTTTATTTTGGATATTTTACACATTCTATGTATGTATGTTTTCTAAAGTTTTGGAATTTTAAAATTGTCAACAATGTATAAACACTCGCAAAAATGCACACTATTAATTTTATTTGAAATAAATATAAAAAAGATAACAATTTGAAATAACGAGCTGTTTCACTGATTCATTATTTTCATTATTATCAAAAATAACTTGGGAAAAGTAGATGACTTTATTTTGGATCCAAATCAAATAAATCATTTGCAAATAATTTTTTTTATAATAGTAAATAATCCCAGTAGAAAGTGGAGTTTACAATAGAATCAGAAACTATTTGTAGAAACAAATAGAAAATGCAAAACGACGATAAGAAATTTTTTTACTTGATAGCCAAATAATCAAATAATTCAGAGAAAAAATGTTTGCTCGTTCAAATAAACATACGATTATTTTAAAATAACACGAGGAAGTTGAATGAAATGTGTCATTCAAATCATCATTTCTCAAACATTTTATTCGAATAACACCCATGCCTGTTGTTCCATCATATTTCAATCACGAATTTTAAAATTTTTAAAAATTGCACGTGAAATATACTTTTGTAACCAACTGTATCTCGTTTAATGACACTTAAAGTATATCTTGCGCACATATGCTAAATTCTAAGAAATTCCGTTAACATTCTACTACATTCCATTACATAAGGCACACATTATTATATTATACTGTACCGATTAGTTAATTAACGGTATTAGATATGATTTCTCTTCTACAACTTGTAAAGAACGCTTTGGTTAATTATGTTGTATAATCGGTTGACAGGTTCAATCGGTGAAACGAATTAATTAGGAGGTGAGAACGAATATTAGCATGATTAATAATGGCGACGTAACATAGTTGTGACGATTTTTACGATGTAGTAGCTAACCACAACAGAAACAGAAAGTGGTATTCACAATCTGCTTACATAATATCCTTTTTCTTTTTCTTAAAGTTAAATATCTTTTTGACACGCAACTCTAGTTTTTGTTCCGATAATCAGCGTCCTAATTTCGACAACCGAGGATAATTTGTCATACAACGTGGAACATAATGTATACAGTAACAGACAAAATTATTTGTACAGATAGAAACAGAG